GGAACTGCTGCTGCTGCTGCGGCATATGCGTGCGTGCGTCCATGAGTGTGTGCATGCGTGCGTACATAGCAGCAGGAAGGGTATAATTTTGGTAGATGCTTGATTGCTTGACCAGGGTGAAAAAAACTAAAGGAAAATGGATACGAGCTGGGTGCTGATAATTATTATGTCGTACCAGGTAACAGGTTTGGGTGAAACGAAGGTTCTTTTCGTTAACGAACGAAGCTCCGAAATGATTCTTTACATCGACAAAATCCCACAAACTATTTTTCCCGTACATCACTTGAACCCCAAATCAACAAACGCAACAGTCATAATTGCTATGTTGTGGCTATAATTTTCTTGGAAAATCAAGGACCGCCATCCTAAGAAAAGAACATAAATGATCGGCTGTTGCTGCTACCATTGAGCTGATAATATCCCTGAAACGGTTGAGGTTCAAAGTATCTAACGGTTGACTGAAGTGAAGTCAGTGCACGCATCCGTCAGCGTAGTCTAGAAGCGCAGATGAACGTGTGCATGTGTGGAAGTACACCGTGCAAATGAAGTGTGCACGTGACTCCCGGCGTTCCGACACGTACGGATAATGTAACGTCAAGAGCACATAAAAAGGGAGCTTATCATGCCCATCCAGTGATGTAATTCTTATCACTCGCTCTTCCCATGCATGCCCTGCATTGCTAACTCACACCTCCTCTAAATGCCCACGCGTATCCCCCACCGTCAATAAGAACAAGCTATCCCGCGACAAAAGCATTAGTTGTCTGATGATTGCCTTAGCATTTAGCTACGTGCATGAAACGCAGCGTTACAACGTATGTATATATAATTGGTTGAACCATTCTTTTTGACCTTTGTGGTTACGCTCCGCCCTTGTGGTGTTGAGCACTGTTGAAACCTGGGTATACCCACTTATGTAAAAAAAAAAAAAAAAGGGAGCTTATATACTCTTGATAACATGTTGTGTGGAGTGCAGCCCATCCTGGCGTACAGTGAAATCAAGTGCAGCATGTGAACTGGCGAATACCCGTCCGACGTACATGCACTACAAGTCTGAACTGTGCATGCGCACGATTTCGAAATTTTGACCTTCCTTTGAGTTCTAACGAAGGTTCGCTGCAAATTCTAACGAAGACCTTCCAAAGCTTTGAAAGCTTCGTTTCACCCCTAATGTGTGTGCGTGTGTATGTGTTTGTACCTACATATTTGCACTTGTGTACTGCTTGTATATGCGGAGAAAATAAGGGTACGTTTGAGAAGAATGTGTGGTATTCCTGAGATTTTTCAGACATCATGGTATGTCTGACAAAGCCAGGGCCCAGCATCCTGTCATGTGCATGGGTAGTCTGAATCTGTATGAAACAGGTTGTCTTCTTTCTTTCTTTTCTTTCTTTTCCTTCTTCCTTCTTCACATTCTTTTCTCCTTTTTTCTTTTACATGTATGATTCCAAGACCTTTGGCCGCTGATGAGCTTCTGGCAAGTGCCAGCCCATCGGCCCATAGCCCCTACTTCCCTTTGTTTTGTTTTTCTTGTCACTTTTCATGTCCGCTCTCCTTGATATTTATAGGCTGTGTTTGCTAGTGAAAAAAGTATGTGTATGTGGTATAAAATGCTTGTAGTCCGGTATATGATATCCCCATGGACTAGTGAATGTATTGTTGAGCACAGTATAAACACAGTATGCATACTATCACTTTTGCCGAATCGTTCTGTGCTCAGTTTCAACCTGCTGCGAGAAGCGCGCATTATCTACGGAGCGTTTGAAGAGTTGGACTTGCGAGGCATGAGGTGTGAAGATTCACATGTTGCCACAGCGCTAAAGGTACTATTGCTAATCAATGAATTGGGGTGTGATGCAGTAGCAGTGATACTCCCTGCTGATGGTGCAGAGAGTGTATTTCCATTTGGCGTTGCATGGAAGTGACATGCATTGTTATATAAAGAAATAGACCGAACACTGTTTGAGAAGGGGGGGGGGGCACAGCGAACACAACGATTCAAGGGCTGGACAGGGCAGAAACAATCTTTTGGGTGAAAAACTGAAAAATAGCTCTTGTGATTCGAATGACATGTAAAATAAAATAACGTAATCAAGTAGCATGCTCCACTGTCCGAAGAGTGCTGAATACCCGTATAGGGCAGAGCCTTGTACACAAGAGAGAGATTGGAAGCTGTGTCGCAACTCCGAGTTTCACATATTACTACAATCATCAGGCAACTGATGGCTCCAAAACGGGCAGCCTGAACATAAGGGGGAACAAGGTGAGAAATACTGAGGGGAATCATAGCGAACGAGTCAAGTGGAGGCGTGTAATTGTGTGGATTTGGCACTTAAGTCCCCAGCTCTATTCTATTCTACTTTATTCGCACTGGAACTGCTGCTGCTGCTGCGGCATAGCCTCAAGTCTAAAGACTTAGCAACTTCTCGCCATTCAGGCTGCCCAGTACATATCTGATAACGCATCATTCTCAATGTATGTGTGTGTGTATGTGTGTGTGTGTGTGTGTGTGTGTATGTGTGTGTGCTGTTTGTAGATCTGTGGTCTGTGCATTGCCCCTACTCGTCTCACAGTGGAGGTATGTGAGTGAAGTGCTCACCGACTGTAGGCTTTAACAACGTCCCGCCGGTGTTGTGGTGCGTGTGTGTGTGTGTGTGTGTGTGTGTGTATGTGTGTGTGTGAGGTGTGCACATGTGTGTGTGCAAGTGTCATATGTGTTACCGTAATTTCTGTAGAAAGAGTCGCATGCGGATATACATGTACGTCCTCCCTCTCGCTTGGTGACGAAATTCCGGGGCACACTCAAGTTTGTACTCTTGTTTCTGTGAGCATAGAAGAATAGCCCGATTATATTGGGTTTGTCATTGGCATGCGGCACACCGCCACAGAGACATACACAGCAACTCATGCATAGCAGAAGCCATATACTGACTAGTAGTTGTATGGCAGCCAAGATCAGGCTACTTGAACAAATAATAACGCTCCAATGATCCCCAGCATCGGATCTATCCTTGCTGTCACTGAGCTTGGCAGATGAGCACGGAGTGGAGACTAGGCTACATTGTACTACAGTCTACTGTACTATACCAATACTATACTCTGTATGCCTAGCTACATGTACCACTATACTCTCTGTATGCCTAGCTACATATACCACTCTATTCTTTATGATCAGATGGCTTTTCAGCGGTTCTCTCTGATTGTGCACTGTCCTGTTTGTTATGCAGCTGCGAGAGCTGCAGGCGACTGAGTGCTACCGGCGTGGTCGCATTCAGCTGTGGGAATTCTTTGACTTGATACCCTTGTAAGATACACAACAACCTACTGTAGAGGCAGAACATTTCGTCGGTCAATAATTTCGTCCAACTCCAAAGAAAAGGAGTTCGTCCGGTTGAAAATTTCGTCCATGAATCATAAGAGTGTATAGAAAAGCTGGGCAAATCGACATTAGTCCTACATTTAATTTAGTCCAAAAGCTCCTTGGACGAAAAAGACGAAATTAAATTCCAGACGAATATTTCTGCTTATACAGTATACAACGGTAATACCCAGTCTTGCAAGCCGGGCATGATCGTAACAATAGTCACCATTTTGTGATAGCGTACTCTATTCCATACAAATACTTGACTCTATTCCATACAAATACTTGAAGTAAAGCTAAACAAACAAATATACAAACAAGGAAGACATGTCCGTCGATGGCCGATTGGGGGATTCTACACAGTTGGTGTAGGTATTGGGGAGGATCATTTTATTCTAAAAGTTGACGACAGCACTTCACTTACACATGTTGTGGCATTGCTGTGTACCGCTTAAAAATTTGGAGATTCCACCAACTCGTTAAAAAGATTATTTTGTCCATTTCCGTTTAACTTGTAGGTGTGAGCTCTATTCGTCCAACGCGCAAGAGTGTCCCACGTCACTAGGAAAGCGTAGCGAGGATTCACTGTACCCGGTGAGTTGCAACTAAACTGATCCCAGCGCATTCAGGAAAACCGGGGGGGGGGGGGGACTGTTTATAACATACTGTAGGGGAGATTTTGCATAGTATTCTTGATGTAACTCTTGAGGGGCCATCTGGCATTATCGATCATTTTCACGAAACGAAATAGTTTAGTTAGGACCCCCTCCCCCCCCCCCCCCCCGAACGAAAAATAACAGGTTGACAGGTGGAATGCATTGATGTCTCACATAAGAATATTTTTCAAGACGAAACTCTACTTGACCAGCCCAACCATAAACGGAGACATTGCATTGTCCCTGCCCCCCATGCATTACTTCATCCATTGGCAATAGAAACTGTCTATTGCTTCATCCATTTACCGTGGAACCTGTTTATCGCTTCATCCACATACAGTGGAACCTGTCTATTGCTTCATCCATTTACAGTGGAACCTGTCTATTGCTTCATCCATTTACAGTGGAACCTGTCTATTACTTCATCCATTTACAGTGGAACCTGTCTGTTATGGACATGCTCGGGATCAGGCATATCAGTGTCCTGTATGAGGGGTTTGCTACCTACAGCATCAGCCTTACCACTTAATTGGGAACACGTGTGTTGAGAATGTGGAGGTTCCCTTTGTTGAGAGGTATCTCAGGCTGTGCAGGAGGTTGCCACTGCAGCATGCACTACGTGTAATACATGTACTCGTGTGTAATTATGTGCATCCATTGCTCTTTGTGTGCTACTGTTGGCAGATTGAGAACTTTGAATCCATTCTTATGACTGGAAACGAGCGGACGGACAGTTTTCTTGAGCAGAAGTATCAGGTAGGCTTTGTCGGCTTTGCATTACAGTCTTGGCACATTAGACTAGCTTCAGTCAATGCTGGCTTTGCCGGAGTGCGTCCTTGGCACATTAGAGACTTCAGTCAATGCTGGATTTGCTGTACAGCCTAGACTTGAGTCGTGTTGCGGCCATGGCAACAGTACATTGACGTGTCATCATGGAAGTTGCAAGTGACACCCGGCACAGGGAGCAATACCATTGGATAGATGAAAGTCTCAGCCAAGAAGTCGAGCACCGGCGCGGTCACTACTACTTGTAGTGGCACGTAACACCGAATGTACAGAGTTCATAGTTGACAGCACTTCTGCATGAAGGGCGTGAAGATTAGCTAGCCCATGATACAATTACTGATACAATGATATAATGATATGTACGTCATAGGCGGCAGGGAGACGTGCAAGGCGCAGAGTTCTAATCATCGAGTCTAGGTTGAGTGAGTTATGAAACTTGGCTTTTGCAAGCATACCTACAACTGAGTGCTATCATGGTACAAGACAAAGAGAAGCGTGACGATGACCATCTGGGTTCTTTCTTGCCGGATGATTGCAGAAAGCTCGGCATCAACAACATATTCTGGACACATCTGCCGATAGAAACCCCACAGGACTGTTGGGCTCAGTGAGGCAAGTCCCTCGACGAAGACAGGCAAGTATTACCTGGAGCAAGCCGTGTCTGCAATACAAAACATAATATCGACAGCAAAACTGCCCTCAGAACAAAATTAGGTATTTGTAAATTCCTCCAAGTCACACCATGTGTATGCGTGCACGTGCTATCTGTCAGGCAGTATCTAGTGCCACTGCAGCTGTAGCAATGTGGGAGAGGATTGATGCGGCTGAGAAGTCTGTGAAACTGGCCCGTGCCGGTGTCTGGACAAAGGAGATGGGTGAGCAGTTACAGCATCGCCGTGACCAGGTAGGTGTGTATAATAGTCCATGTATTGGGGTGATCAAGGTGTGTGTGTGTGCCAGTTATGTGTTGCAACGTGTACTGCTGCTGCTGCTGCTGCTGCCGCTGCTGCTGTTGCTGCTGCTGCTGCTGCTGCTGCTGTTGCTGTTGCTGTTGCTGCTGCTGCTGCTGTTGCTGCTGATGCAGTTGCAGTTGCTGCTGCTGTTGCTGCTGCTGCTGCTGTTGCTGCTGCTGTTGATGCTGCTGCTGCTGCTGCTGCTGCTGCTGCTGCTGTTGCTGCTGCTGCTGCTGCTGTTGCTGCTGTTGCTGCTGCTGGTATACAACAAGAACAGTACAGTAAGACAGTGGTCCTCCGATCTGCCGTTTGTTGCTGTATTGTAATGAATAGTGATTACTACTGAATATGGTATTGTAATGGCTGCCTGAGTGGGTAGGTTTGTGGGCTACATCTACAGTCCATGTGATCTGGCTCAGTTGATATTGAACATGAATTATGAATGAGCATTGCATGATTTAGTCTTTCCGGTTGTATCGTGCCAATCTGAATCGACCTGTAGCGGTGTGCTGGCAGAGCAGTCTCATACCCACACAGTCTGAGTATCTACAACAGTCAGTATGTTTTGCCTGACTAGCTGTGATCTCTTGGGCAGCATTGCGACTCTGTACATTGCTTCAAACGCGGCCTTTAGCATAGATTTCTGCTCAGTACATAGTATAGTCTAGATGCTGAGTGTAGAGTAAAACAGAGACTGGGGTTCCAGGCTGTCCAAGAGAGTGCTCAATACCCAGTGGTAGAGCTGGTTCAAACAATAGGAGGACAGAGAAAGTGCGTTTACTCCGAGTTTCACGCACTAAACGATCATCAGAAAACACTTCCTACTGTTTGGCTGTACAGTAGCGAGTCAGTTATCCAACACCCTTGGGGCCGGGCCCTGTTGATCACGGCCGTCGGAACCGGTCTGGCTTTTCCCAGTTGCATGGCCCACTTGATTCGTGCAAAACCGGTGTAAAATTCCAGAGGTCAGGACTTGTTGCTTGACAAGGATTGCTCCCAATGCACAATGGCTACAGCACGACGTCACCTTCTACCAAAACAGCACCAGCCGCTCCTATTGAAAATATATACACGAGTCAAAAGGAAGCGAGCGGGAGACTCGATCAATCGATTGAGGAAGCTGCAAATGGTCAAAAGTGTTCGGGGACCGATGTTACCCATCTTGACCGTCTTATCACAGATACTGTGTGCTGTTTTGTTGGCTTCTGTTTTGTGGTCTTGCATCAGGATCTCACGGTCACAAGTTTTCGTTTTAATTATTTTTTCGTTGCCGTAACAGTACAACGGTGCCTAAATTTGCCCCTTTTCACGAAAAAATCTTCTTTTTTCCGGGAGGCATCCACCCCCTCACGGCCGGTCCACTCCCAAACTGTACCAGACTTGTACACCAAGAACTTTAGGTGCCAACACGTTGCCGGATAACCGGTATGCCAGATGACTGAACACCGGATTAATGACACGCTATTGTACTGCAAAGTCTGTGTGCTGGTAGCCATTGCTGTGCTTGCAACAGTACTACCGTGTGCATGCACAATGTTCGCTAATACAAACAATGTGTACATGTGCGTGCTGCCTGTTGGTGTTTGCTCAACGTTGCTGATGCATGCACATTTGCTTGTCATGATCATCTGGCCGTGAAAGCAGCCTCTACTGGACGAGGGCAGCCCATTCAAGAACATGCTCTTAGAGTCACTGCCGGCAAAGCAGCATGACTGCAGTCGGTGGTACATGGGAGCGACAAGGTCCAGGGGACAGTCTCTACCATCAATACATGTCAGACATGTCAGTCGACGGCCGCAACCTCCAATAGAGGCAGCAGCAGCGGCGGGGACTTCATCCAACACAGGTACACATCATCCTGCCAGCCATTCCTCATCACAAGTGGGCGAAAGAAGCACAGAGTGCGAGTATCGACCTAACCCTGCATCAGCTATTCCCACCAACACTCGCCGAGAGATGAGAAGGAGTGATGCCACCTATGCCGCCGCGTCAGCCAGTCAACAATCCCAACAACCCGACAGTCATGGACAGCAATCGTCAGCCTGCTTGTCGAGTGAAATGGCGATGAGGAGCCCCACTGTCCAGTCAACTAGACACAGACGTGCTCACAGTGGACCAGGGACGCACCATGCTCATGTACACTCTGCCCATGTTGACCAATTATCACCGCTTGTCACAGACAAGGTCAGTTGGTGACTGTTGCTGCTGCTGCTGCTAGTCCATGAGTTAGAATGCTCCGCGGCTCTGTGGCATATTGCTAGAGATTTAGTGAGAGTGGAATACAGGTGTGCTATTGCTACTGTGACTACTGGACAATAACAGCATTGCTGCTTAGGATGATAGTGAGACATGCTAAAGGCAAGGCAGTTGAAGGCACACTGTTATTAGAACTTATTATCCTCTGCCCCTCTCCCAGTACCAGTCATCCCCCTCTCCCAGTACCAGTCATCCCTCTCCCAGTACCAGTCATCCCTCTCCCAGTACCAGTCATCCCTCTCCCAGTACCAGTCATCCCTCTCTCCCAGTACCAGTCATCCCTCTCTCTCCCAGTACCAGTCATCCCTCTCCCAGTACCAGTCATCCCTATCCCAGTACCAGTCATCCCTCTCCCAGTACCAGTCATCCCTCTCTCCCAGTACCAGTCATCCCTCTCCCAGTACCAGTCATCCCTCTCCCAGTACCAGTCATCCCTCTCTCCCAGTACCAGTCATCCCTCTCCCAGTACCAGTCATCCCTCTCTCCCAGTACCAGTCATCCCTCTCTCCCAGTACCAGTCAACCCTCTCTCCCAGTACCAGTCATCCCTCTCTCCCAGTACCAGTCATCCCTCTCTCCCAGTACCAGTCATCCCTCTGTGTACAGCTACCTATTGAGCTACAGTTCAACGTTGTGCCTCACTATCTTTGAATTCGGGTGTGCTGCCGCTGCTGCTGCTGCTGCTGCTGTTGCATCTCTTGGCGCAGGAGCTTGAAGACCACAAGAAGCGGATGGTTGAACTGGCATGGAAGATGATGAATCAGGTGAGTACCTACCCAACTCGGCCTCAGTATGCAGTCAGGTATGGCTCTGTGTAGTAGCCTCAGTATGCAGTCAGGTATGGCTCTGTGCAGTAGCCCATCACCAATACCATTCTCTCCGCAAAGTTGACTGCACACGTTTGAATTGGAAGTGATTACGTCACAAATCGAAGAATTTAGGACTTTTCGACCAAATAACAATTGGTTCCAGTATTCCTCTAGGTATGTATGAAATCATGGAGGTTAAGTAGTGCTGGATGCCCATTTCTACTTTAGTTGTGTTTGGTTGGTGCGCCGCCCCTGCCACCATGGCCCAGTCCACTGTCCCTGCCACCATGGCCCAGTCCACTGTCCCTGCCACCATGGCCCAGTCCACTGTCCCTGCCACCATGGCCCAGTCCACTGTCCCTGCCACCATGGCCCAGTCCACTGTCCCTGCCACCTTGGCCCAGTCCACTGTCCGTTCCACCATGGCCCAGTGCACTGTCCCTGCCACAATGGCTCAGTCCACTGTCCCTGCCACCATGGCCCAGTTCACTGTCCCTGCCTTCATGGCTCAGTGCACTGCCTCTGACTACACATGGCTCCGTGCACTGTTCCAGACTACATGGCCCAGTCTACTGTCTCAGACTACATGGTTCAGTACACTGTCCCTGACACCATGACCCAGTCCAGACTCAATCCAGCTCAATAGAAGTTCATGTCTTCGTTTCATCTTGTTTTGTTCCACTGTGTTAAAGCCTGTACGCGTCCAGTATGATGTTCCACTGTGTTAAAGCCTGTACGTGTCCAGTATGATTTGGAGACGAACTACACTGTAGACGAATCTTGGAACGGATGTTCTGCTACAGAAGGTGAATCTGGAATCGTTGTGTTGGTCAAACTCGATCAAAATGAGCTGAAGGGCCATGGGCCATATCGTGTTTGTTGTGTGTATGTGTTTGTTTGTGTGTGTGTGTGTGTGTGTGTGTGTGTGTGTGTGTGTGTGTGTGTGTGTGTGGCGTGTGTGTGCACGCACATGTGTTTACTGCCATAGATGCGAAGACTACAGGACACCACGAAACTCAGAACACAGAATACTCGTACAGCCGGTGTTGGACGTGTGACTGGTCGTTTTCATCGCTAGCACTAGTGCTATTACTATACCTTGGTCCAGGCACTGGCAGGCAGCATGCTCTTTGCTGAAGTCCATGCATCATGCACACTGCTGCATTGGACTATGGCATAACTGTATGTGAACCCTGCCCCCCCCCCCCCCCCCCCCCATTATAAGTTATAACTTATTTTATTTCCTCTTCATTCAAGTCTAAACTACGGGGAAAGTACGTTACTTCTCATTCTACGGGTACTAGGTCTATCTACAGGTACTAGGTCTATCTACAGGTCTATCTACAGGTACTAAGTCTATCTACAGGTCTATCTACAGGTCTATCTATTATCTGACAAATGTTCACATACAGTACAGGTCAGCCATTAGCAAGTATGCTTGCAGACCTATAGACCGTGAGTACAGGAATCTAGGATGTTTAGTTCTTTATGTACCTCTCCTCGGGTGACTGTTTGAAGACACAAACCTAAGCTAGCCTGACAGCATGACAGCATGTACATGACTGTTTACTTTACACGCTCGGCGTTAAGTGCATGTACGTGTACCGGGCCTACTGCCGTACAGGTGTTGGTCGACTTTGCTCGGGACGCATACTGCAGTGTACCCGATTCTGGAATTGGTTTCCCGATCCAATAGCAGTGGAGCAATAGCGAACAATTGTGCTACTTTCTGGGGAGCATGGTGAAGTATACGTTACGTCTTCTTTACTGCACCAGTGGCATCTAGCAGTGAGTTGCCACTGGCACGCATTTGCCGCAGCACTACTATAATTACGTTTGCGTGTGAGTATTCATGGACGACCTGCTGCTATCGAGAGTAAATAAAGCTCCCAGGGAGCTTATGTACTCTCGCAGATTGAGTATCGCTTGTGCTCTTGTAGCAGTTGAGTATCGCTTGTGCTCTTGTAGCAGTTGAGTATCGCTTGTGCTCTTGTAGCAGTTGAGTATCGCTTGTGCTCTTGTAGCAGGTGAGTATCGCTTGTGCTCTTGTAGCAGTTGAGCACTCTCATGTGGGGTAGTGCCTTTGCTGTTTGCATTACGCAGAGCTCACTAACTTGTCAGTTTGAGCACTCTGGCAAGGTACATTCGGGCCTGGTTTATATCTGGCCTTGGAAAATTTATTTCATTGCTATCAGGTCCGGCCTCGTTTTCTGTGCGGCACTGATGAGTTGGCAAAGAACTAAGGGTTTCCACAAAATTCAAGAAAAAAATCTCAAAATTCAAATTCAAAATTCAAAAAAATTAGGCAAATTTCAATGATAGAATTCAAAAAAATCGCAAAATTTAAAAAAAATTCAGCCAATCACTCTGGTTGCGCCGAAACTTCTGGATATCACCATGGCAACACCATGGTAACGTAAAAATGGTGGCCGAAGAAAAATGGTTGTGGTCCATCTTCTGTCAATCTGCTTTCCAGTTCCGGTGATTATTATTATTTTTTTTGATCCAAGGTTTCTCCATCCACACACTCACAGGTCGATGGGACGATGGCATCCAACAGCTTACTGAAAACCCAAAACCAACCATGCAAGTGGGTAATGTATGGCAAAATTCAACAAAAGGGACTCAAAATTCATAACAAAAATCAAAAATCAAAAAATCGCCAAAATTCAGAAAATATTCAGAAATTTTTGTGGAAACCCCTACAAAGAACGAAACAGCATGCTGTCCGCAGATTGAGTACTCCTGCTGGCTGGTACGTATATGCAACGTGTGAGTGTGTCAGTACATTGACTGACCCGTGACCGGTCCGTACTCATGGTACTTGTTCCTGGAGGCATGGAGAAATGCCAGGTGTCCTGTGCCACAGTGTGTCCTGTTGGCCTGGTACCAACGTTATTACCATGCGGGCCCTGATTTAATGCCACGGTCTGTGTGCACAACATGATCACACGTGAATGCAAATCCATTGGTACATGTGTGCACATCCACTTCCTACGCGCGCGCACACACACACGCACACGCACACACCACCACCACACACACCCGCCACACTTACACACGCCTATTTCCTAGAGGATTCATGGGTATGCACCCAGCTGCACGCACATCTGTTTCCTTGCTGTGTACCAGACTCATTCTTGTGGGGTTCTGTGACTATGCGAAATAGAGCACCTGTGTGTGTGTGTGTGCGCGCCAATCTGTCGGAAGGCTACCTTCGTGCCAAAGCATCTGGACTGAGTAACTAGTTGGACTAGTTTCGGCTCCACATTCCAGCGTGTCGTTGGCATGCATAGCTTTCATGGCTGAGGTTGTTGGTATGTCTGTTGGCTCTGGGTTCCCAGTAGGCTGGTTGGTAAAGTAACTCCAATTTCACATCAAGGTACCAGTGCATCTAGTGTCCGCTTCTATCAACGCAGCGTGCTGTCTATACTGGTTACCATGGTCACCGCAGTAAGTGTACTTATGCGAAGTTATGGGTCCTTGGCCTTTTCTCACAAAAAATGGAATGGGTTTGCTCCCCCGCGGCCCCGGCACCGGTCCCTGGACCTCGCGCCAGGAGCGACACTGACTCACGCTGCTATCTGGTGTTCACGAGGTGTTTGTCGCGCTGGAAACGGAGCGTCTCTGTAAGTTTGTATCCCTGGTGATGTTTGTGCCTGGAGAGCACTATAATAAGTGGTGCTCTTCAGGCACAATCTTCATCAGCCTACTCAAGCTCAACTGATGAGTGGTGAATTCCCCGAAACACTGTGTATTGAGCAGGGAGTGGTGCTTTCTTTCAGGTTTGCCGAGTCGAAGGTTCGATGGACTTCTCGTGTGCTCTGGATGGCAGTCGTGAGTCAGTCAAGTGTCAAGTCGGCGGAATAGCGCGACTCGCGGCTCCAGTCATTGTGGGGAGCAAACCAGGGAGTCGTATACAGTGAAACCTCGTTAGGAAGAACACTGATAAGACAAATGTTTGCCTGTGAAGAACTAGTACTCGTAACTGTATTGGATAAAACCCTGTGTATTCACTGGGTAAAACATAATAAGAACTCCCGTTATTGCGAACAAAAATTAATAATATCATCCGTCCCTTGATGTTCGTCCTAAATAATTATAAAGAGGTTTCACTGTACATGTACGACTGCCCATTCCTATCAAATCATCGATATCGCCGAAGTCACAACCACAAATTAATGAAAAAAATGGCAATGAATAAAAATGAAATATTCAAAGACACAAACCAAAAAAAAGAAAACATGCCCTGGCTAAGGGGCCGTCCGGGGTTACCAATAGCTTTTGCGAAACGAAAAGCTTTAGTATTTTTCAGCACCCACCCACCCACCTACCTTTTCTGCAGGTAAAACGAATTCAAAATATTGATGTCAATTTTCGACACCCAGAAGTAACTGGGCATTCTCCATCTGCATTCAATAATTATTTTCAAAACGAAACTCCTTCAAACACACCCACCCCCAAACGAAAACTTTTCGTTTTGAAAATACTATTGCCAGTATTCATGGTATTGGTAACCTTGGACGGCCCGTAAAAAGTAAAATTCTAGTAGAAGTGCCTCCTTATTGGACTGTTTTCACAGCCATTGTAGCTTCCTCCGTATAAGACTGTTTTCACAGCCATTTCAGCTCATTTTCTCTCGGTACTAAGCTGTTGATCTTGCACTTGTGTTTATTTTGCCCGTACAAGAGGCTTGGAAACCTGGAAAAAAAAAATAATAATAAAAAAAAAAAAAGTAGAAGTGGTCGTTGAGTGGCATCACGGCTCAAAGCTGTCGGCTGTGCGCACCTACTTGTAAGTAAGTTAGTTGTAGGCTACTCCTCTGCATGTTCTCGCTGCGCTGCGCTGCAGTTTCCAGGAGTTTCCCCCTGTTGACGATTGCTTTTTCTGTCCACCTGGTCCACGGTGGGAACAGTCCACGGAAATCCCCTACAGGCTACAGTACATGATCGTCATCCACTGCACCACTTTTGCAGTACAGAGTCGTGGCTCATGCACACTATTTTTGTAGTGTACTACTATTACTACATGACAGTGTTTTTTAGAGAAGTGATCTTGTTTTCCTTGACCCCCTGAAACGTAACATCGTTAGTTATTATTATTTTTAGAGCTTGCTGTCCTCAGTTGCTTGACCCGCATGGTTCAAGTTTTCTCCACGCGGCACTGACTGTGGAGTGACGAGTTGTACCGGTATACATATTCACTGCTGCGACTGTAAGGGTCAACTTCGCCATTTCCTGGTTGGAATAATTTCTTCCGCAGCTATCGCGTTGAGCGCACCATACATTTTTTCTGCAATCTATTTTCTCCAGGCCTATGGACGTTCACACATGCAACAGAGCTTGGCCGACGATGATCATGCCGTGGTGATGTGGATCGAGTGAATCTGGGGGTTGTAGCGGTTAGTAGCGCGTTAGTATTGTTTTTTCATCTCTCCGCATCACTGAGCACTACCTTATTGGCTGTCCCACTCCACGTTCACTCACTGTCTGTAACATTACTACCAATACATAATGTGAGGCCATATCTATTGGAGATACCGGTAGGTAGGCACCCACTCTCACACAGGGGCGTAACATTTTCCCAGGGGGAGGCCTCTTCGTGGCTGCACCAATGTCGAATACCTTCCGATGCCCCTGTCACAGGTACGAAAGTTGAAGACCCTGGCTCAGTTTTGGGCTTCATAAAATGTACAGTACTCAGTAGGTGTCGGCAAGAGTACATAAACCAGAGTGTGCAACTGTGCATATCAGATCTGAAACAGCGCAGTTCGTGCACTACGTCACCCTGATGAGGTCAGCCAAGCCGCGACTTGCATACAGCTCAAATTTTCATGTTTCATAGCCAGGAAATCAGCCACGTTTGCTTGATTTTAGACGTCCTGTTTCAGGATTTCGGTGTTTTGTGTGACTGTGTACGCTGCGTACATCCACCGACAAGTAAAGTCACCAGGCTATCCGTATCAAAAAACCGAAATCAGGACAAACTCAGTGACCTGCACCGCCGCGACTGGTTACGCAACTTTTCACCGTACCTGTGGCTTACCATGCCGTCAGAAATGACGTACTGCACAAATTACGCTCCCACAGGAGCCATCCCGAGTTGCACACTCTGGTTTATGTACTCTTGGTGTCGGTTATAGCGTGGGTGTTTGAAAAACGACAGATGAGCAGTGTGGTGCGCTATCACATACATGCCAACCGTCCAGGGAATAGGGTGTTTGTCCCGGGGTCCAGGGATGTCCTGCGAAAGTCCAGGGATTGAGATGGAACTTTTGAAATTGAATTTCTCCTTTTTATGACTCATTTTCAGTGTTTTCTCGAACTTGTAGATCCGTAGTAAGTACACACAGCACGTAGTAGACAAAAAACTGCAACGGATCGCCGGTTCAATGGTGGCCAACAGAAAGTTTACTTTTGCAGTTGCAGCTCAATGCAATGAGATCACTTTTGCTTTAGCAGCAGTCATGAAAAATACATCTGGTAATGATGGATTCGCTAAAAAAATTGGTGTCAAGGGAAAACGGTCAAAACCAAGGGAATGCAGCCTCGTTGTCCAGGGAACTCAAGACTCCAGGTTGGCATGTATGCTATCAGAGTGGGGGGGGGGGGGGGGGGGGCGCTGACCCCCCCCCCCCCCTTCCCCTCTTTGGCTAGAACCCTGCGTGTATAACACGCTGGAGGCGAAAAAGATCAATGCATGTATTGCCTGATGAAGGTGGCAGCTAACATTGCAGCACGGTAAAGGGACCAGGTACTTTTCAGGCTCTGAAATGTAAAGGGACACGTGGATACGAGTTATGCGTAACCGACTAACCCTCCACCAATGTGACTAGATAGTATCCACCAATCCACCAATGTGACTAGATAGTATCCAGTCATGTGACTAGATAGTATCCAGTCAGACAAGTGAGGCAACTACAGTACTGTTGGGCGCGGAAGAACAGCCTGGCTAGAATTTCACCAATTTTAAGACCGGTTTAGGCTGGATTTTGTGCAGATAAGAATAGAAACTATAATGTACACTGAGCAACATAACTCTGCATAGGTTTGGGTGATACATTTCTGCAGTTGCATGATGTGAACTGGCAGGTGTGCATTACTAGAGGAGTCATGTACATGTACCGGTACCGAAGGCGATGCATGCATGTACGCTCCACAATGTCATGTAGATTTCCGTACATACAACGACATGTACGTGTGTATGTCGTTGTAATTCAAAAGTATGACTGTACCATTGAATAAGAACAAAATTTGTTCTTATTGGCTGTGTTCGTGCGAAATAAGAACGAGCTAGGCTAGAACCCTGACCCCCCGCCCCAGTTCTTCAGTGCCCGACAGTACTGTAAACATCAAACTGACAAGATTCCTGAGACAATCAATGACCTGACACGTAGCTCTAACACACCTCGAAGGCACAAAACAACAGCCTTCCAATCTGGAAGGTTCATGGTTAAGGAAGACCAAGAGGGAAAGTAAGCGCAACAAAGACGAATACTAGCCAAGGCCCACAGCAACAAAGAAGGTTGACTGTTTCCGGGCGATGACAAGAGCAGTAAGGTACTTGACAATGCGGTCTAACCGCAACTCTCAGGTACAAAGCAGTACACCACCCAACTTCGGGATGGCTCAGGTACATGTATATCGAAGATAGATACGGAAGGAGGATGGGGAAGTTGTACTTACCTTTTCCCGCTTATTGCTATGTGCTGCACTGCGGGAGAATAGGCAAGTTCACTGCCGCTTTCTGTGTGTTGCGCTGCAGGAGAATAGGCAAATGCACTGGACTGGAGCAGTACTTGCTTATCACTGCCTCACACACATGCACAACAGCATCGAGCCACCACCAGCACCACCAGCAGCAGCGACAACACCTCTACTGGCAGCAGCAGCAGTAGTGCCCTACACAACAGCAGTGAACCAATGTCGGCAGAACTACCGTCAAGCCGGAATGGGGAGGCAGAGCAGAACACGGTGCGGGATGCTGACTGCTCACCGGTGGTGTCGGTAACAGAGGATGCCGATCATGGTGCAACTGGGAGTTCAAATGCCAATGAAAACGGCGGTGAGCTCACACACAATGTTGCTAACATTGCGACAGTTACGATGGACGGCACAGCCACTGGTCCCATGTTTCTTCCGACTACACCCTGTTCTGACAGTACGCATGGAGCAAGTGCCGAAAAGGTCTACTCGCGACATCCATCTACGGAAGGCAAGCAGGAGAATGCAGTCGCAGCCACGGCTGCGACAGCAATGGCTGTCCCAGACATGCATCCCAAAGCATCACTTGAATCTGATGAAGCACCACCTCCAGCACATCCTAGCTCATCGCAGACACAGGATAGCAGTGATAGCACCATGGATGAAGATCCTGATAAGGTGACTGCTGCAGCTGCCACATCAATGTTACCACCACCGGAGCAGATAAGAGGAGCACAGGATGGCGCTGCTGTGGCACTGAGACGCAATCAAACTTCAACTGTACCTGTTGATGAAAGCATGGAGACTGTTCAAGGCATTCAGGAAGTGACAATAAACGAGGAAGATGGTGATGATGTCATTAGTGGTTCTGCATCTGCAGCTGCAAAGGTACTTGTGGATTAATACTATGTGTGTGTGTGTACAGTAAAACCGGGTTTAAGCGACCTGGCACCCCATGGTGCGAGCAAAAGCAGTCGTTAGTCGTTTCTTTCACGGTTATTCTGTCAGGTGACATCTATGGCATACCATACACACTGCCGTGCTCTTATCAAAGCAATGGTGCGCGCGTGTGTGTGTGTGTGTATGTGTGTGTGTGTGTGTGTGTCACCTGCCGCCGTATTGGCATATGATGTGACTTGGCGTGGCAGTATGGCGAGGATGTCTGCACGGCGAAAGACGCGGTCCTGTGCCTGTGGTATGCTGGTTAGCTAAGGTTTGTGCAATGCAAAGCAACATATAAATTGCAGCCTTGGGAACTGACCCATTAGGTACGGTTAGTCCTGCCCAACCAGGCCTTGCCAGCCTTTTATCTTGCATTATGAGATGCTGAATGCATCGTGACTTGTGCCTTGCTAGCTGCCAGTATTCTCGAGTTGTAAAGGTGGGCTTCTTGTTGCCATCGTCATTATTATCACTGCCACTGCCATCACTGTTGATTTTCCTGTTTGTGTGCACTATGCACCCAGGCTAGCTCGGATGTTGAGAATGCTGATGATGGCGACAATGGCGATGTGTCAAGTCAAGAAACAACTACTAAAGTCACGTTTCCTGATGCTAAAGCCCTGCTTGTAACTGGCCTTAGCGCCAGTAACAGCAGTAGTACATTGGCCACGCGTATGAACTCGCAATCGCCAGATCTCAGCCAGAGAATACTGGTCAGTTTCTTACTATGGATTTTGCACTTTTTGTTGCACTGTGTGTGGGTCACAGTTCTACCCGGCTGTAATCGCCTTATGTATTGAAGAGATTTGTTCTAACGGGCCAGAAAAGACCACTCTATGGACAAGAACATGCTGTATGCATACTCAATCTGCGGACAGAACATATATGCTGTATGCATATATGTACATACGTTACTCATACCATAAAATCCCGCCAGAGCGCCCCTACCTCCTCGACGCTTCGAGTAGGTTCAGGTGGGGAGGGGCGGATGGGCGAGTCCTACTTGCCGCATTCAGTGATACATGAACAAGAACTCACCCTACGAAAACTGTTCGTGCATCTCGTACACCGACCAAAGGTCAAGAGCCAGGAGTCGTACAGACCAGTCAAAACTCAGGGTTTGTGCGATCCCAGGTCAAGAGGGTGGGCACTGTTGCGTACATTTCCAACGGGGTCGAGCACGCGTCTGCAGTACAGTACGGCATCACAGAGTCATACGAGGATACAATCAATCACTTCCCTGACAAGAAGTCAGGGAGGGGCGGATGGGAGAGACGGGGCGCTCTGGCGGGATTTTTACGGTACATGTGTCATGACCCGGACTCGACTCGTCGTGAAAGCGACCACGCAATGAGATTCAGCAGCCAAAAGCTGGGCTCCGAAATATTCTAGAGTTCTGTAAGAACCATGATTAGTCCTGCGAAGGATTTGGCACTTTCGTTAGTTGAGCAATCATGGCTTACAACTCGTGGCCTCGAGTCACAAGTGTTGTCGTACGGCGGCTACACCTTCAGTACAAGTCGTCAGCATTGTACTCACTACACTGTTGAGCTTGAGGGGACCCTGCTTAGTCCTGCAAGGGAGCTGATACCTTTGTTAGTCGAGCAAGCATGGCACCTCTTCTCGCATCGTACGACGTAAAGGGTCCTGCAAGTGTTTCGCGCACTGCGGACTCCGTTATCCCTTTTTTGGGAGAGGTCGCGGCTTGACCGTGCAGCGCCCTACGGGGTAATGAGAGGGAAGAGCCTACGGGGCAGAAGATGAAGGGTGACCCAATCAAGACACCGTACGAAGGCGGCGCGCTCTAGCTGCGGCAACATCCGACAGCGTACTCCAGGCTCTGTTGCACGATCGACGTACGAATAACCTCGGACATCACTCATATTTGTAACTCTTTCATGTGATGTGGGTGAGCAAGCTCCCCGAAGCTATACTAATATTTCCTACTAATTATTATATCACAATTATACTATAACCAAAATCACATAAAAGCCGCCTTCTTCCAACTAATAAAAGTATCTTTGATCGCTCCCCTTCAACCTTCGACTACCTTGTGTGAGCCGGAAAATAGGTGTGAGCTAGCAACTTGGATGGCGACTATATTGGTCGTCTACCTGGGTAGCCACTAGACTGATCTAAGTCAAGTCACCAACCCGCCGAAGCGCGGCCATGACACATGCGTGAAACTACTTATCCATGTATGTATATGTGCTGTCTGCTTGGACCTTTGTAGCTTACTATTAGTGCAGTATCATTGTCCTAAAAACAGTATCCTTACTGTTTTGCTGTATGGGAAAGATTGAATTACGCATGGTAACCGTCACACAATAATCCGTAGAAGCTGAGCTTAGTTCAACATTTCACCGTGACAAGCACACATGTTTTCCCCGCATGCGAGCCAAAGTATAATTATGATTGTAGTGCTTTAGATTTTCAGAGCTTGGTGATAGGGTTGGAGCTTCAAAGCTAGCTCTTAGCTGGTGTTCAAGCAAGGTTCTGTTTTCAGTAGCGCCACCAACACTCCATTCGGTATTTCCTGAGAATGGCATTGTGAATGTGTTGCCATGTACGTACTCGTAACAAGTACATGTGCTCAGACTGCTGTACTCTTTGCATGTGGTGATCTTCCAGCATCATGCTAACTTTAACTGCAGAGAGTACATAGAAAGTCTTCAACAGCAGCTCAGCGAATTGCAGAAAGAGAACACGTTTAAACAGTGAGTCCTTTGCTTCTTCTTTCCTTCCCCCTGTATCGGGGATGTGCACTATTATTAGAGGGATGTTAAAACTTTTAAAGAAGATTTGAGTGTGGAGTACAAAATCAAAGGTATAAACTTCGAAAACTTCAACGTGAAGTTGCAGTGATTTGCAGAAGTTACTTCCTTTTTCCTCAGCACGCACTTGAGAATGGGAAGAAGAAAATATTTACTTCTCCCTGCTTGAGACTGACTGTTTGAGTATGGAACTGTAAAAATTAAAATAAAATCCCCCCGCAGCTTGACGGGGTTTTTTAAACCTGATAATTATTTGGCAGAATATCACCGGCACCGAAAGTTCGAACTTTCGCATTGCTACAGAAATTTAAGCGTCCCGATTATTGGCAATGATGCGGCACGCGTGCTGTAGTGGTAAGAAATTACTAAGAATACTTCTCAACAGCCGTAGAAAGGTGATCGGTCGATCCTAGTTAAGGCGCTTGGCTGGTCCCTGAGTGGGTGTGGGAGGGTTGAGTGTGCATATGGATGTTGCCCTGGAGACCAAGAGCTGATAAGGCGCACATTTCCATTAAAATTGTATGCCGAGTCCAAGCATACCACTGAATGCAAAAATTATCCTGTTATCGGGGTTATCAGTAAGGGCTGGTTCACTTTATTAAAAGCCAAATTGGCTCCGGGAAGCACCGGCTGCGGGCCAGTTCCCGGTCCGCCCCGATGTCAAAGGAGAACACATGCATACGGTTCGAGTATTGCTGCAATACCAAACCTACTACAAAGTAATACAAGATATGCCCAAATGCTAGGATTGGATTGTCAAATTGTGCGTATGTGTATGTGCATGTGTGTGTGTGTATACATGTGCACATGTGTGTGTGTGTGTGTGTGTGTGTGTGTGTGTGTGTGTGTGTGTGTGTGTGTGTGTGTGTGTGTGTGTGTGTGTGTGTGTGTGTGTGTACATGTGCGCATGTGTGTGTGTGTGTGTGTGTACGTGTGTGTGCATGTTTGTGTGTGTGTATGTGTGTGTATGTATGTGTATGTGTGTGTGTGTGTGTGTGTGTGTGTGTGTGTGTGTGTGTGTGTGTGCGCACGCGTGCACATATTATTGTGTGTTGCAGGGCTGAGGTGTGGAAGTACAAGCATGAAAATGAGAGTCTTAAGAGCCAAGTTGAGAAGAACAAGTGTGCGTTGCAGCAAGTACAGGAGGAAATGAAGACGATGGATGAGCGGCTCAGGGTAGAATTTAATGAGAAGACAGAGTCCATCGTCTCTGCAGTGCATCAAGCATTTGAAAACCGACAAGCTGCCGATTACCAATGGTGTCGAGAACTGACCAGTAAAATAGAGCACATGGAGATAAAGCACAGTGATGAGGTTGGAAGACTGACTCAACGGTAAGTACTCTAACCGACGGCAATGCCAGTGCTCGATCTACACAACTACTACAGTGCAATGTTTGGGGACCTGGCAATGCTCCCGTGTTAGGTCGGATTAGCGGAAATCTGTCCAATAGGGATGCGATTAGGGCTGAAACGATCGTGGATTTTCACGTATCGATTACTCTTTTGCTTAACGATCGAGTTATCGATTATAATCGTTAGCAAATAGTCATAATTCTGTGCAAACATTACTCTGTTTCCACAAACTATGCCTTCATAATACCAACAAATCTGCATTAGTGAAAGGGTAGCTCCGAAACATGGCAGTTTTGAAGTCAATTTAACCTCAGAATATGAACCATACCCCTGGCAACTGCATACTCCCAGCGGAAACTGATTCAAACTTCACAAAACGAGGGTTTACAGTACTTTCTGGACACAAATTTAAAAAACGCAAAATAATCGTAATCGGTAATCTAAACGATTGCTCGATCGTTAGAGTTATCGAACGAGTACTCGATTATTCGGTATAATCGTTTCAGCCCTAGATGTGATTACTGTATTTTCCGGGGTGTGTTAGCCGCACCGGGGTCTAAGCGGCACCCCCTTTTCGGGTCCTAAATCTGTGTTTTTAATCTGTGTTTTAAATCTGTGTTTTGTTGACATTTGGTGTATTAGCCACATGTCAGACTTTGAATTTTTTGCAAACCTAATTTAATGGGTATTGGAGGGTACCTAATTTAATGGGTATCGGAGGGTACGTATAATTTAATGGGTATCGGAGCGTACGTATAATATGTTGCTAGTGGTTGAAAAGTTGAGAAGTGCGACTGAATTTCTACAGAAGTTGCATACATTGAAGTTAGTCCTTCACTCCAAAGTGACAACATAATATTATAGAAGCTTAGCACTAGTACAATGATGTATTGCAGAACATGAAAAGTAGTTGAATGACACCATGTATGCTTTACATGCATGAAGTGCTGTAGCGCTGGTCAATTCGGAGTCTAAAGCTGTGTTCATAACTGGCGCGTGGACGCGGTACGCTTGCGGTTCATGCGTGCCTAAACGCGCGCTCAAGCTTTCACAAAAAAACAGCAATCCGAGCGCGTGCGACACCTTCGAGGACTAATTTTTTGACCCCGCCAGTCAAAGTGACTGGCATGTACGCTTGTACGCGCCTGATACGCGCTGAAAATTCCAACATGTTGGAATTTCCATTTCGGCGCGTTTCCGGACGCATGGCACCCCAAAAGCCAGCAAAAATACGCACAAACGCGTGGTTTCACGCGTACACGCGCCAGTTGTGAACACAGCTTAACCGCAGGGGAGATTTTGAGTTTTATGTGTTTTGAAGTGCAGCTAGCACCCCGAAAATACGGCGCATCGTCAGTTGAGATGCTTTGGCAAAGTCACAGCGATGCACTAGTGATGCACTAGCGATGTACAGCGATACACTAGCGATTCACAGTGATCACTAGCGATGTACATCGATTCCCAGCGATGCACTAGCGATGCACAGTGATTCACTAGCGACTAATTCTGTATAGTAGTGCCCATAAGCGGTTCCGCTAACTCACCATCATGACTTTTTCCGCATAACCTCTATACAATCGTCCCTCTCTAATCCGGCACTTGTTTATCCAGCACCCTTGCAAAAAACCAGCACACTTTCTGGCAAAACGGATTTTTTCAGTTCATTTTCTACGCTTTAATCCGGCACTTGAATTCCGCCTCCAGCAGCGATTTTCTGCAACAAATCACTCAAACTGTATATAACTTGATTTTCTAATCCAGCAGTTGTACATCGCATACCGTCAGGGAGCATTGTAACATACACAACACATGTTACATACACTTGGGAATATCCTATGCCAGTGCATAGGATATTCCCAAGTGTATGTTATAGACATGCATTCCACAAAGTACTTGGATTGACACAGAAAATCCCTACGTTTTGACGTACGGCACAAACATGTATGTTAATAGGTGGGCCGGGTTGGAGGGCAGGATTTGATAACCCAGCACCCTTGTTTATCCAGCAGAAAATGACGTTGCAAAAGGTGCCGGATTAGAGAGGGACGACTGTATATAGAAGACGTGTATTCCAATCTGAATTTTCTCAGTTTGTGTTTCATCTCAAATTTTGTCTAATGCGGTGGCGTGTTCATGTTTAATTGCGGCACATCGCTGGAAAAATCTCCTTTAAATTCTGGTTGAAATAACAGTGTTACCAAGTGCCCTCTGCCCCCATGCGTACTGCCCAGTGCCATTTTGCAGAATTTTGCAGAGTTTTCCGTACTCGTTTTTCAGGTCAACATTTTGACTGATTTAGTGTAATTTGGAACAAAAAATGATACTGTACAACTTACTTTTCAAGCTACAGAGTTCACTTGTGAAGCCTACGAATTCAGTACAATTTTCAACTTCACCAGGTCATAACTTTGGTCTACTTCGCTTGATTTTCACAATCTAGGGCTTGTTGGAAAGCTCTTGGCAGGAGCAACGCCAGGATGCCAAGCTCCATGATGAAGCCGTCACAAATCAGGCGCGGTAACACAGCAAAGTTGTCTCCAAGGCTAATCATGACGCAAGCAAATTCGTCCCAGCAAAAAGGGATTTCCCCCACAAAAGGCGAAGAGATCGATCAAAAATTTGATTTTGCCGAGGTAACTTTTTAAGAATACCTGAATACGGCGCACGATATCTCTGGAATCCGATATCGTAACGCTTCAGCGATTGTTGCATTGGATAGCTTGGAGTTGTTGCTACCACGTAGACCCTTCGATTATTGAATTCGCGCAAGAAACGATGGAGTTACGAAGGTATTAGCAATCGTTCATATACATGATCGTTTGCGGGATATTCGATTGAAATCCGTACTGCGGACAAAACTTCGTTTTTCCGTAAAAATACGGACAAATACGGGCGGTTGGCAACACTGAAATAAGTAATATGGTGTATTGTTGTGTGCCTGCCACCTTTGTTGGTTTCAGGGTTCATGTACTTTCTATTTAAAGTGTACATAATTATCTGTTACTACTAATGGGCTACTTCTGGCTAGATTACAACTATTGTATAATCAATGGTGCTAATGAAGCTTCTATCAGATCCACTCTGATTTAGCCACCCACACATAGTAACAAGTATTACCTTCTCTAGGGGCAGGGGTAACTGCTGTTGGATCCCGGGACAAATACCTTGATGCCGTCAATCTCAGTTTTTTCTGCACCTTGTCCTCTCCCACTCACTGAAGTGTGACGAGCCCATAAGTGGGATTATTTCCAAGTCCACCTAGAATTTGGGAATTTCAGGGTGTGTTGGCCGTTGGGTGGGTTCAATAGCCAATGAGTCATCTTTCCAAGGTTCAACGAGGGGAGATTACCGGCCAAGTAATGATTGTATTGCAAATGCAGTGCTAAACCATGGTGATGAAGGCCCGTGTTAAAGAGATGATTAATTGGCTGCAGTGGAGCCTGCGAGTATAGAAGAAAGTACAAGTACACGCACCAACACATTTAGCATGGATTGTAGCTGTGGCATGCTGCTACCCATGCAACAATACCATGTAACATTGATACTGGTATGCCTAGAGTCACACACTGAAGAATATACAATCTTTATGCATGAATCAGGACTTGTTGTTAGAGATGTGACCATTTTTGATTCTTGCAGCATTGATGCTGAACGCAAAGAAAAGGCTCAACTTGAGCAGGAGGTTCGCAACTTGCAAGAGCAGATCAGGGACTTGCGGCAGAAGAATATGCGGCTGGACAAGGAGCTGTGAGTTGCTTTGCACAGTTTATGTTGCATATGTTCTTCTACCTGATAACAGTGTCTTTAGTTTGCTACTGTAACAAACTGTCAGAAACTGGCAACCATGATGATGACTGTGATGCGTGTACCCGTGGGCCGGGGACATGCACATGTGTACGTGTGTATATGTGAATGTGTACATGTGTGTTTGTATGTGCTTGTGAGTGTGCATGCATGTGCGTCCCATATGGTGCAGTGGTATGTGCAGTTGATTTCGAATCTAGAGGTTGCGGGTTCAATTCCTGACGGTTATAGTCGCACACGTCCTTCTTCTCTTTCTCATCCTCGTAGCTCTTCTTTCATACTCCTGGGTGATTACTAACAGCCAGTGCATGTCGGCGTATGTGGTGTGGTGTGTGTGTTAAAAAGTTAGAGTAGGGATTCACTGGCCAGAAAAAACAACACTTCAAGTTCAACCAGCTGTGTGGTATAGAGAAAAAGAAAAAAAAAAAATAGACCAGGCTAGTGTGGTATAGACCAGGCTAGTGTGGTATAGACCAGGCTAGTGTGGTATAGACCAGGCTAGTGTGGTATAGACCAGGCTAGTGTGGTATAGACCAGGCTAGTGTGGTATAGACCAGGCTAGTGTGGTATAGACCAGGCTAGTGTGGTATAGACCAGCTGTGTGGTATAGACCAGCTGTGTGGTATAGACCAGCTGTGTGGTGTAGACCAGGCTAAAATTAGTGGTGGTCGATTCATCAGCCTTGCGAGTTGTTGAATGGTGTGATACCAGCACAAGTTGCTATGTCTAACATAGCTTGTTCGCTATCATCGCTTCAGCGATAGGCAGGAGTATGCGAATGAGTGTGCGCGTATATATGTGCGTGCATGTGCACGCGCACGTGTGCAAATCCTTCTAAAGCCGTGTGGTGCAAACCACGTTGAATACTACAGTGGCAGCCAATTCTTCAACCTTGCAAGCCAAAATGGTTAACATGGTGCAATCGCAGCATAATGTACAGTTGACTCCTGATATAACGAACACCACTGTGCAGGAGAATTAGTTCTGTATAGCGAAAGTTCTTTATAACAGAAGTGCACTCTCACCATACAAGCAGCAAGTCATGACTGGCATGGCCCATGACAGTATGAGTGCACTCGGTTTACATGCATACCTACAAGATTTGGTTTGTTATACATGTAAACGAAAACTGTTCGCTATAAAGGGTCAATCAGTTTTGTATGGGTTCAAACAGGGCCATGGACAATGGTTCGCCAATTATATCTCGAAATTCGCTATACATGCGGGTTCGCTTTAAGTGGAGTCGGCTGTGCTATGGCTTCTGGTGTCTGCCTATCACACCCACTGCTGGCATGCAAGCGCCGCCTATTGCAGTTTACATGCCCATCACTAAACTTTAACCTAGCCTATGGTCCAAGAGGACCACTTACTGTAGACCAGGATCATAGGGTATCACTTCCACTGCTGGTATGACCCTGGATAAGAGGACCACTTTTATATGAGGCCCATGTTTTTTTGTTTTTTTGGGAGGGGGGGGGGGGGGCTTGGGTTGTCGTCGGCTCAAATACCCGGTAGGCTATATTACTGATTTGAAATGGGCCGATATTAGCAACTATCTATACCGAGGCTGTATTAGCAACTATCTATACTGTATTAGCAACTATCCGCCTACTTGAATACTTAGTATGGTGTAATGACTGCCTACTGTGATGATCAAAATGTTCTAGGGGTGGCTGACCGCTTATGGTGTTCTTCACCTAAATTGCTTTTCTTGTTCTCTGTTGCCATGTCTGCAGGGAGGTGTACAGAGCACAACAACTGGGCCTTTCTGTGGACCAGTAAGGCGTTTTTGGTGTGTCTGTTATGCACACGGCTTGTCCTTTGTCTTTTGGAGTACTGAAGGAAAGAGCCGACCATGCACTCATCAAGGCCGCTCTTCTTCTTCTTTTACAATCCGTCGGACAATGAATTGTCCCCAGTCCATACATTCAGACTGTCTGCACAAAGTTCCCAGAGACATTGAAGCTTGGCTGTCCATATGGCATGTCCCTTCAAACTATTACTAAGATACACCCAGGGGAGTTTTAACTGAAGCAGAGATACCTTTGCAGGTCCGATTGATACCGGAACCAACAACTGTACAGTCCATTTCAAAACTATAGACGCGTAGGGTTTTTGAAATATTTCAAATTTGGCTGGAACTTTTTGAGAATAGTTTTCGGAATATTGCTCAGGACCGCTCCACAGTTACTCTCATATAGTTTCTAAACGATTGGATAACAGACGCCCAATTTGGAAAATTTTATGCACAAAGTGATCACAGATTTTATGTGGTATAGATGCTGGCATAACGGTTTTTGCCTAGGTACGCGTCTATAGTTTTGAAATGGACTGTAGTGTTTACTTACACAGTAATGTCTTAGCTTGTGACTTGTTGCATACTACATGTAGTACATGTACTACATGTAGTACATGTAGTACATGTAGTACATGTACTACATGTACTACATGTACTGCATGTACTGCATGTACTACATGTACTACATGTACTGCATGTACTGCATGTACTACATGTAGTACATGTACTACATGTAGTACATGTACTACATGTACTGCATGTACTACATGCAGTACATGGATTCTGTCCCTGTACTCTCTTATATTAGCCATCTTTGGATATTCTCCTATATCCCCGGGCTGATGATATCCTCCTGGGTGAAACTTTGAAATTGGAAATGCTCGCTGTATGTGGTGTAGCCGAGGACTGTTCATATGGCACAGGTGTAAGGTGTTAGTGGAATGATAGTGCTGCAGTGTTAGATATAACAACACCTGGTACTGTCAGGTATGTCCGCCTTATGGATAGTCAGTGCCTGAACGTTCAACCGTGATTGTATTGTTGTTCTGCTGTGGGTAGTCTTGGCAAAGTGGATGATCTAAAACAATCTGACCTGTTCAATGTGTAGAGTAACTTGCTGTTGTATTTGCTGCCGTTTGCTAGGCCTTTGCCAACATCTGATACAAGTGATGTGTCGACCGTGGTAAGTTGCTTATTTTTCTATTCATAAACAGAACATTGTGACTTAGTACTAAAGCGGGATTCAAATCGCACCCATCGCGCAGCTCGCGCACTGTCGCAACATGCTGATAGCAGAGGTTTAGCTTGGCTAAACTGTCGCAATGCGATGTGCAGGTTGCATACCTTCTTTGCAGCAAAGGTTGTATGCGAGGTCTCAGGTTAAGTCCTGGTGAGGTTTGACATTTTTTCTCTTTTCAGGCAGTTCACTTCCTTGCCAGTTTTCATGAAATCCACTTTCTTTTACCTCTGGTAGTGTGTTCCAGAAACCGAGGCTGACCATGGTTGGTCCCCTGGGGGAGGGAAAAGACCAATGTGCCATTGGTATGTGTGACACGTGTTGTAAGCTGCCTTTGGAATGAAACATTGTCAGCGCCTTCTAGGTTCGGCCTGGTCCCATAGGTCAGATGGTTAGAGTATTGCTCATGACAAGCAAGTCCCGGGTTTGAGTCCGGGTGGGGTTGGCATTTTTTCTCTTTTCAGGCAGTGCATTTCGAGTCCCTGACAGTTTACATTGATTGATTCAAACGGTCGTAAATACACACCCAGCAATACGGCGGTAAATACACGCCTGCCCACACACGCCTCTAGGCTGCAAAGTTGTTCTGGCACAGAGCTCTCCTTCTCACCACCACCACCATCAGTTCGCGCCTGGAGCCTAGTCGATTCATGGCCGGTGGTATCTGATATCCGATATAGCTTACATTGAATTTGACATATTCAATCAAGGTAAACTGTCAGGGAAGTGAACTGCCCATGCATGCATGCATGCATGCATCCATCCCTCCATCCACTGATTCATCCACCCACCCCTCCATGCATGCATGTATCCATCCATCCATTCACCCACCAATCCCTCCATCCACAGTGTACTTCAAAGTATCCAGCACGTATTTCTATATGTGTATCCATCCATCCATCCCTTCAATGATTGTCTGCTTGTATCGCTTTGGCTCCGTATCTAGACACGTCTGTCTGCCTATTTGCCTCTGTCTTTTGACTGTTCAGAGCAGTGTGCAAGAAACCACTGAGAACAGGCCTGAACCTGGTGTATCAGCAGCTTTGAGACCTTCGGTATGTTACTGTTGCGAGTGTAGCTATCCTAGCGTCTATCTTGAATGACTTCTCAAACAGAACATCAATCAAGTGCTTCAGATCATGTATGAGGTGTACAAGCCTGGCTCCCTTATCTGTGAAGTTATTTCAAGTTAAATCTTGAGGGTTCGAGAAAATTCCTGTACTGTAAACTGCCTGTATAAATGTCCCCAATTTTCGCTAGAAGAATGTAACATGTGTACTAACCACCGTGAAATCAAACTTCAACAGAAGGCGTAATTCTAGCAACAGTGATCCGCGAACATTTGCCATCGTACACCTTTTCAGAGAAATAACGAAAATGTAGCGACGCGGATATTGGGCGGTTTTGAGTTATGTACTGCATTAAAACTAGGTTCAAATGCTCCGTTGGTCACTGGTATATGAGTTTTTTATGTCATTCACACCATCCATTTCAGGAATTTGCCAATGAGGAAATGCACACAAAAAAAACAGCTACATGTACTACTGTGATGAAAGGAGTAGTCCGAAATGAGATGGAGACACTGGACAGTGTGGACGAGGTTGATTGCTCCTATTCCGAAATGAGATGGAGACACTGGACAGTGTGGACGAGGTTGATTGCTCCTATTCCGAAATGAGATGGAGACACTGGACAGTGTGGACGAGGTTGATTGCTCCTATTCCGAAATGAGATGGAGACACTGGACAGTGTGGACGAGGTTGATTGCTCCTATTCCGAAATGAGATGGAGACACTGGACAGTGTGGACGAGGTTGATTGCTCCTATTTGGAGCTCACGCTTCTTGCCGAAATAAACTGACACTTGACTGACTCGTGCCTGGCACTTGACTGACTCATGCCTGGTACTTGACTGACTCATGACTGAGACTGCTACACAAGGAGCATGTCAAACTATAGGCTGCATTTCTTCTCACATTTCCCAACTGCACCATGGTTGTCGAATACAAATTTATCACTCTTATGTTCTTCCTTTGTTTGATTACTGCTCTCTCGTTTGGTCCTCTGGTCGATCCTCCGCTCTTATGCCTTGCTTAGATGGCACGCACCGTATCTTTCTTTGATTAATACGTATGTCCCCTCTAACCTCCTCTCAGATGCTATACATGTTGGCTCAAGTTCTTCTTCCCCTCTCAGAACGCTTTCCCCACTCGGCATGCAAATTCATTCACCGTATTAAGCTTAAAAAACTTGCTCCTCCGCATGCACTTGCGCATTTAAGCTGGTTCAATAATAGCTCGTCTACTAGATGTTCTCTCCAGTTCCCACTTACCAGATCATCGATCCTTTTAAAATCGCCTCTATTCAAGTCCTATTCTCGTTGGTCTCGGCTTCCGCAGGACTGAGGTAAAGTCTCGTGAGACATATGCTGCATTTTGTTCCATTCTGCCCACGCCTACCTAAGTTGAATTGACGACGTTTCATTGTTTTCATTGCTAGCCTAATCTCTATACTGCTCCGCTCTCCAGGTTCCTTTAGTACTCTTTTTATTTTGTTTTCATTTTTCTTTTTTTCTCCTTCTTTTTCTCAGTTTTCCTCACCATGGCTGGTTAAAATTGCCCGCATCACATGGCACTATGTCATCGTGATTGTGGAATCATAAAAATAAAAATAATATTTGAACAAACGGCGAGGAGACAACAATTTGATAACCGCAATCAGTAATACAAGCTGGATCGACATTTGTGTACACTTTATTCATGTATTGTAAAACTGTGGAGACAATGTGCAACCATTTCTTCACATTTTCATCGTTTTATTGCACATTATCTCCACAGTTTTACATTACATGACTAAAGTGTACACAAATGTCGATCCAGCTTGTATTACTGATTGCGGTAATAAAAATAATGATAAATAATAACCCTACACTCGACACACCTACAAAAAAACACACAACTCCTTGCTCTCCACAGTGTTGCAGCGAATTCACCTCGAATTCACCCCTCATCAGTTCCGCATCAGTTGAGCTTGAGTGTAATCTCCATGTACGAGTAGGCACAACCATAATTAGGCCAAACTAAAAAAGGTGTGTGGTTCGACTAACATCGACATTTTTTTTACGGGCGGGCGGGCGGATTTTTTTTAAATATATTTTTAGTACATGTAAATACACTGTACTGCCTTTAGACACCCAGTACATCGGCATTATTACGCAGTGTTATGCCATACATGTTGTATAAAGGGATCACTGGCTAATACTTTGAAACATTGTGTGACAGAAAACGAGGAAAGTGCAATCTCGTCTGTCCTTCATCCCAAAACAGAAGGCCGTCCTTAATCTGGAACGAGGCAATCACTCTCAACCGGACGGTCACTTCAAAATAAGTCTCGCCAGTCTGCCGGTGGTCGTATCGAGTAGACTCTACTACCAGCACAAGGCAGCAGTCGTACCACTCACTGCACTGCACTGCAGTACAACTACAAGTCAAGTCCAAAAGGAGCCGCCTGCGTCCGCAGACTCACGCTGCACAGCACGTAGACGTGGACGTGTTCAGTCCACGTACGTCAGTCACACGACAGCCCGCCGAAAAAAAAGTTACGGTCGGGCTGAAAAATGTACGGTCGGTCGGGTGAGTCGAACCACAGACTTGTTTCAGTGTGGCCTTATGTCAATAATTTATTTTCACCATTGAACAGACTCGTTACTTCTCACTTCACACTGACTCATCGTCTGACTATTTGCTTTTGTGGACATCTGATATCAACCTTTTCTTGTACAGGATGATGAGCGACGAATTGTGGAGATCAGAGAGGTGAGTCTAAACTTGGGATCAGATTGTGACCTTTCAGAAGAAAATTTGTGATGCCTGCTTGCTATAGTACCGTGGCTGCACCCATCTCAACCTATTTTCATGTTGCTACCGCTGTGTAAAAATTAGAAGTGAAAGTCTTATACTGAATTTCCGAATACTCGGTCCAGCGGTTATTTGAAAGATCATCGAACTTGAATATTCATCATACTATATGTAGCTACTCCAGAATTTAGCAGCTTCTGAGTGTGCGTGGAGTGGATGCCGATCTGCAGTCTGTGCAGCACATATTGGTACAGCAGTGCAGAGGGCCCAAATGACCTAGCGATCAATCTATTGCAAGGACAAATGACCTAGCGATCAATCTATTGCAAGGACAAATGACCTAGCGATCAATCTATTGCAAGGACAAATGACCTAGAGATCAATCTGTTGCAAGGACAAATGACCTAGCGATCAATCTATTGCAAGGACAAATGACCTAGCGATCAATCTGTTGCAAGGACAAATGACCTAGCGATCAATCTATTGCAAGGACAAATGACCTAGCGATCAATCTATTACAAGGACAAATGACCTAGCGATCAATCTATTGCAAGGACAAATGACCTAGCGATCAATCTATTGCAAGGACAAATGACCTAGCGATCAATCTATTGCAAGGACAAATGACCTAGCGATCAATCTATTGCAAGGACAAATGACCTAGCGATCAATCTATTGCAAGGACAAATGACCTAGCGATCAATCTGTTGCAAGGACAAATGACCTAGCGATCAATCTATTGCAAGGACAAATGACCTAGCGATCAATCTATTACAAGGACAAATGACCTAGCGATCAATCTATTGCAAGGACAAATGACCTAGCGATCAATCTATTGCAAGGACAAATGACCTAGCGATCAATCTATTGCAAGGACGAATGACCTAGCGATCAATCTATTGCAAGGACAAATGACCTAGCGATCAATCTATTGCAAGGACAAATGACCTAGCGATCAATCTATTGCAAGGACCGTGGCAGTTTTAAGATCAGAGTCACCTGCACTCAGCATAATTACTGCTGCGAACTTTCACTTCTAGTAAGTTGGTGTTTATAATGACTTTACAATCGTAATCTGTTGCCGGCATCAGGGAACAGTGAACCACAGTGGTGGCAACCGAAATCCTACCCCAGCTCGGTGCGCTCGCATTGCAAAAATCCAGCACGTGCGTGTACACTACCAAATAAAGGCCGCTTGAACCCGTGCTGCACTCGACCAAAAAAATCAGTTATCGGACTACAGTTGCCAGCACTATAGTATAAATTGCTCCAAGAGTTGTGCTCGCTGTCTTGTGAGCACCTTACCATAATTGTAAAACAAACTTAAATTGTTCCTGCTCTGTCTGGCACTGGACTCATGGTGCTCTGCCGCCGATCCGGCAGGCGAATCCTCCCGATGACTATCATCAGCCATAGCATCCATAGTTTCCAATGGCACACTTGACTTCACTACTTCAGGTTGAAACAGAAGGGATTTCCAAAATGGCTTTCTTCTCGAGCGAAATAAAAGGCCAAAGGAAGATGGCAGAGAGGGGACTTTTATGGCAACGAAGAGAAAGGAAAAAAAATCACTTTGAAACGCTAGGAATTGACATGAAAATCGAGCGAGTTTAGGCCTAACACACTGTTACATTCTTGCCTTCACCTCCTTATACAACCTGAATTCCACTGCATACTCCATAGAGTACTTGCGGAATTCCCGATTGTAAAACAAACTTAAATTGTTCCTGCTCTGTCTGATTACTGTTGTGTTGTGCAGATTCAATGCACTATCCTGTGGAAAGGTGAGTGGCTGGCGAATTCTTTGATATACAGCACATCATGTCAGTCTGGTTGGTTGTGGAGCAGGTGGAGTGCATGGTTACAGAGGCAGTGGTGTGCATGGTTACAGAGGCAGTGCAGTGCATGGTTACAGAGGCTGTGGAGTGCATGGTCACAGAGGCAGTGGAGTGCATGTCACAGAGGCTGTGTAGTGCATGGTCACAGAGGCAGTGGAGTGCATTGTTGCAGAGCAGGTGGAGTGCATGGTTACGGAGCAGGTGGTGTGCATGGTGAATGTTTGATTCAAACACGTTGCACAGTTCACTGTTGGCAAGCGCAACACCAATACATGCAGTGGGTAGTAGTGTCCGTGATCATCATGCCTCTTTCATATTCTGCCCATGTGATCATCATGCCTCTTCCATATTCTGCCTATGTGATCATCATGCCTCTTCCATATTCTGCCCATGTGATCATCATGCCTCTTTCATATTCTGCCCATGTGATCATCATGCCTCTTCCATATTCTGGCCATGGTGCAAGGTTCAACTCTAGTGTATACTGTGCACACGTTTGAAGGCTTTGTCTCCCTGTCTTGCTATCTCCATCTCCAGCGGAAGAGTGTAGCCAGTATGTGATGCAGAACTCTCTAGCCATGCTTCAGTCGGTACGAAGACAGCAGCAATGTGCAGTGTTGGCTGATAAGAAATGTGCACCGTGTCACTATGCACTTCCGCCTTCTGTTGCGGATCAAGTAGATACTAGGCACAACTCTTCACAGACAGCCACAGCAGCGGCCCTAAGTCCTGGCAAGCTGTGCCTCCCTTGTAGTATCGGAGGTGTGATCAGGGTGCCGATTATCAATAGGCGTACTGCAACAACGCCCATTGCGAAGCGCATCGGCCTGACCGAAGAGAAACTCGGCCAGCTGCACAATCATATCTGCTTGCACTACCAGATCGCGAAGTATTACATGCAGGGATTGGTGGCTATTGTACCTGACTGGGACGTAAGGTCGAATGGCATCAGTCAATCGCGTACGCTGCGTGTCATTGTCCTGGACGAGCAGATCATGGGCCACTCGGTCTCATTGAATCCCGAGTGTGAGCGATCCTGCCAAAAGGCAATCTGCCTGGACACTCTACCGCTGTGTATGGCAAGCCTTCATGGTAGACACCTCACGGTTGCTGAACAGGACTGGCCAGATCCGGATGTTCTTGCCGTCAACATCTGGTATGTGTTCCGTAAGGCAATGGAAGACCGACAGCGTCGACTACCCACACTGGACCCAACCACGCGCCAATTCAGACCGTCCTTCTCCAAGGCTACACTGGAAGTTGTGGAGCATGTCCGCCAGTTGTGCACCGAGCTGTTCAGAACAGCCGTTGGTGATGACCAGCTTTACAAGAGCTTTGTGAAAGCCATGTTCCTGGCCGATGCTGCCAGCTTGGTTGATGAAGATCATTGACAGTCAGATGATGATCATTGCTGCATGGCTTGTATTGGTGTCACTTTGTGGCACAGGAGTGGTCACTGGCTTTTCTGCGGACGACCATCCAGCTAGGTCAGTTACTTGTCTGACCTGATATATCAAAGCAGCATGTTGGTCAGTCTTGACCAGTCACGTGACTTGAGGGTCAAAGTTGAACATGTATCTAACTTACTACATGTAGCTCCACTGGAGCAAAACAGCTGTCCGGAGGGTCTGCAAAATCAAGCTCTCAGTGGCTATCGTCCTGGCTGCGGTGGAGATGTGCTAGTGGCGTTGTGAAGGGTCTGATCTTGAACATGTATGTTCCAGAAGAGAGCCGCAGTAAACACTGGCTCAGCGACCTGCCAAGTACTGTGCAAGTGTTTCAATTGAACTGAGATGAATAGGTAACTCGAAACAATATTTATCACATTCTTAGCATTCGACCTCACTGATTCCCCTGATAGCTAAGCACTCAAATATTTTGCATATTTGACCTTGAGTATACATGTATCACTATTATGACACATGCATGCAGTAGATATCTATCTTAGATCGAATTAGAACTTTTGAGCTGAGATATCTGCGCAAGCGGCTTGGCATCAAATACTACCATCATCACACGAATGATCATAGTTAGTAAGGCATCATGACAGCTACTGGCACTACTTCTCGGATGGAATGGGGTCTGGCTCAAAAAACTAGTGCTGAAACGAGTACTCTATAAGCTATCGAGCGAGTACTGTCACTATCGAGTCGAGTATCGAGTACTCTATAAGCACACATGCGCATATATGTCAATACCACATACCCAATTTTTTGCACACCATTTACACAATTCAATATCCTTCAATAAACACACATTTTCATTGCAAAGCCACATGGACGACGGACGTGTACGTCACTACAGGTCCTCCCTCGTTAGTAGATAATCTCTGGGCCATCGAAAAAGTTATCTTATAACGAGACTTATCTTGTAGCAGGACTTGCAGCTAAAGGTGAAATAGGCACTACTTCGTACTTACCGGGGCTACCCTCGATACAACATAAATTATCGATGCTTCAACTCGTTATAAGATAATTGAAAATCTCCAACATAACTCTTCCTTGGATGCAAAGGATCGTCCATATTCACGAATACATAGACATCATACGCTTCCTCGTTCTGCTTTATCCTACATGTTTTGGCCTTGGTCCTGCATGGTCAATATTATCTTATACTGAGGGTTTGGCACTCCAGGACCTGGGCAAAGGGTCGTTATAACGGATTTTATGTACTAACGGATTATGTTGTAACCGGACCTGTAAACAGTTGTATAGACCACGTTTCGCCAGGGGATTTCAGATTTCTATTTACTAACGGGGTTTATGTACTAACCGGACTCGTTATAATGAGGGAGGACCTGTATCAAGTTTTTTTAGTTTTTTATTTTATTTATTTATTTATCGAGTATCGAGTCCTTTTTTGATATCGAGTCGAGTACTCAACGAGCGGGTACTCGAGTACTCGGCGTACTCGTTTCAGCACTACAAAAAACCCTGTGACCACAGTGGTCATACTGGGTTTACCAATATCAAAGACTGGACACATCAATCATACAATTCTCTCTCCCTGTCTCGTTGCTGCTGATGCTGCCTTATGACATATTTGGACGTCCCAACGACCAGAATGGTTATTGGATACATGGATACGCTGTCCCCTTGGAAAAACGTGATTTCGCCATCATCCGCGGAAATCACGGAATCACTTTTGCCCGCGGAATCTGAATTTTTGCGGGTAAATTGTAAAATTACTACTCAGCAAGCAGCAGAAAAGCTACTTTGCGATCTGTTTGAGCACATTGCCAGTGTAGGTGGTGCAGGTCTCTCCAAGATTCTTCACTCCCATTCAGTATGTGACGGCAAAGAATAGTGTGAAAACTGAAGAATACTCCTTCATGCAACGAGTTGTCATATCCTCTACAAGGAGGGTGAGAAACTTGCAGAAAGTGCCGCAGATTTTTGATTTTACTGCAGAAAATGTTGCAGAATACCGTATATTCTCTATTACAAGCACAGGTATCCATTACTAGCACAGTCTCTAATACTAGCACACTGTGAGCACCTTTCGAAACATTGTAAGCACAGTCTCTATTACTAGCACGGTCTTTGTGGAAATCAATGCTGCATGCATAATATCTAGCATATATTTCTCCTTGCTCTGTATGGATGTATTGGTTGAAAAAATATAAGCACGGTCTCCAATATAAGCGCGGTCTCCAATATAAGCACGGAGTAGAGGGGTGTTGAAAAAATATAAGCACGGCGCTTATAATAGAGAATATACCGTAACTCTATTTCGCCCGCGGAATTCAGAATTCTTCTCCGCGTTTTTCCAAAGGGACAGGATCATACGTACAGTAGAGCCGCGCGTCCAAGAACATTGTTTCCAAGGGGTTATCCTGGGGCATTCTTATTTTGTTGGGCAATCTGGCTGCGTTTTTCTGTTCCCCGTGAATTCCGCGGCAGAATTTCAGAAATTCCGTGCAGAATTCTGCCGCTGGAAACAGTAAATTCTGCAAATCACTCTATATTCTGTGGCAATTCTGCAAGGCGAATGACCGTAAAATAGATCGAGTTTCCGCAACCCCACCGAAGTTTGCCGTATATTTTCGCGCTTTTTGGATCAAGATTTTGCATAATTTTGGTTTTAGAATGTACAGTGGAGATTGGATATAACGACACTCCTTCGGGAGAGAACAAAATATCACTATATTCGATCTGTCACTAAACCCGATCTTCGCAAAGCACTTACTAAACGACTTGGGCAACAGAATTGTGTCGCTAAACTCAATCTGTCGTTATATGCAAGGTCGTTATATCCGATCTCCACAGTATATAACTATGTCCCTATACATTCTAAAACCAAAATTATGCAAAATCTTCCCAAAAAAATATATATACGGCAAGTTTGATTTTGAAAGTCATGAGCAGGTTGCTTCAAGTTGGCTGTGAATACAGTCCAAAAAACTCCAATCATCAGAAAAAGCACTTTTTCGCTCTCTTCTGCAATATTTTGCGGGATTTTCTGAATTCTGCGGAATCGCAGCTGAATTCACGGGGGACAGGTTCTTAGAAACAATTCGTACTGGATCATATCAAGAGTACATACCTCCCCGTGTATGTATATAATAAATGTAGAGCCGAAGGATTTATTGCAATTACATACCAGTATAAAAACCGAGGTCCCCCGAGATTTTTATAACTGGTATGTAATGGCAATAAATCCTGAGGCTACTACATTTATTATACATATGTTGACCTTCGCTTTCCCTAAAAAGGAGTATTTTATAAACAGTATTTATTGGCCTTAGTGGTATTTTATAAACAGTATTTATTGGCCTTAGTGGTATTTTATAAACAGTATTTATTGGCCTTAGTGGTATTTTATAAACAGTATTTATTGGCCCAAAAGCCAATAAATACTGTTTATAAAATACCACTAAGGCCAATAAATACTGTTTATAAAAATACTCCTTTTTAGGGAAAAGTGCAGTGCTGCATGGAAAAGTACAGTGGTATTTATTGAGTCAAGCAAGTTTACTTGAATTTGATACTGTTGATGGTGTGGTCACCAATGAGTGTGGGTATTTATCAAAGGTCAATATATGGGGTTATGTACTCTTGATCATATCTATCCCGAAAGCTGCCGGAAAACCAGCACCGCCTGTGGCGTTCTTAGCATTTCAGGCTGGACGTTCTTCAGCCCGCGACTACTAATACCATACATAAATACAGTATTGCTCAATGAAATCCAGTCACGTCACTCAAATACGCACCGGTCGTAGCGCAGCCCTAGACCTACTTGAACAATAGCCTGCGAAATGGCGCAAACTTGAGTGACACGACTGGATTTCATTGAGCAGGCTGCAGCACTGTACATGCTGTCCGGATTGAATTTCAAGTTGACATCATTCTTATGATGCAATATACAGTGCACGCATACTATCAGGTGTATCTGAGACCTGTGACATTCAAATACCCTTTTGATTCTCGCAGCATCCTCTACAAACTACCGTAAAAGTCCGTAAATAAGTACGTATTTACTTTCGAATTTAGTGGCCACACCCGTACTAACTTTCGGGCGGGTACTGACTTTCGGGCACGAACTAACTTTCGGACCTGACTTGTGTGTAGTGGAGAAGTCATTTTCATGTTGATGTACATGCTACGTGCTGCATGTGCGCATCGTACCGGTACTTATTTCGGGCAGTATGTTTATCGGGCTTGACTTGACTTCAACAGACAGAGCCAAAAGAATGATGGGGGTATTTCTTTCGGGCAGGTACTTATTTACGGACTTTTACGGTAGGTCAAGTAAACCGGTGTCATGTGTTCACACCAGGGAGTAGTACTGTATAAGCAGAAATATTCGTCTGGAATTTAATTTCGTCTTTTTCGTCCAAGGAGATTTTGGACTAAATTTTCAACCGGACAAATATCAATTTGTCCAGCTGTTCTATAGACTCTTATGATCCATGGACGAAATTTTCAACCGGACGAACTCCTTTTCTTTGGAGTTGGACGAAATTATTGACCGACGAAATTTTCTGCCTCTACAGTATAATGTAATCCAGTGGAGATTGGATATAACGACGAATCGAGTTTAGCGACAACATTGTGTTGCCCAAGTCGTTTAGCAAGTCCTTTCTGTACATTATAGATCGGGTATAATGACCTCGAAAATAACGACAGATCGAATTTACTGACACTTTTTTGGTGCCCGAAGACCTGAAAACGCATCGAATATAACGACTTTCCTCTTGTATCGGGCGGATTGCTGGTAGCCGCAGTGCAGCGGGCGGTGTATGACTTTTGGCTTGAACTATGCATGCAAGACACTTTCACATGCGCATCTAAAATGCATTATTATTCACATGCATATCTGCAAGACATTTCTGTCATTTTGATATACATGACTGTACATATTGAATACTAAAATGTGAAGATCGGGTTTAGTGACAGATTGAGTATAGCGACATTTTGTTCTCTCCCGAAGGAGTGACGTTATATCCAATCTCCACTGTATACTACTCCCTGGTGTGAACACTATACGTCCAAACATAGCAGGGGAGCATTGCATCATAAAAATGACATTAACTTGAATTTCTGCTGGGACAGCAGGGTATGTGAGAGTTGCACACTCTTGGTCTGGGGCATAGCATCACATTGACCATACTAGTGTCAGCCTGGTCAGGCAAATTATAAATCTCCCCCCCCCCCCCCTGCCAGTATTGCACACAGACTACTCGATGAGTATTCATAGAATGGACTAAAAAATAGTTTGCTTCAAGTTGTTTGGTCAGACAGAGAAAAAGTCAAAATTGGTCAGCAGCGAAAGCACATGCAAAAGGCTTGCAAAAAATCAGTTGAGGAATATAATATAGGGGAAGTTGTTGGCAATGCTCAATACTCATCTTCATCCTCAATCTGCTCCCCATCAACAGTGTCCATGCCCACCTCTTCATAGTCCTTCTCAAGAGCTGCAAGGTCTTCACGGGCCTCAGAGAACTCGCCTTCCTCCATGCCCTCACCTACGTACCAATGGACGAAAGCACGCTTGCCGTACATTAGGTCAAATTTGTGATCAAGACGGGCCCATGCCTCGGCAATAGCAGTGGTGTTGGAGAGCAGGCAGACTGCACGCTGCACCTTGGCCAGGTCACCACCTGGCACAGCTGTGGGTGGCTGAGAGTTGATACCAACCTGGACACACACACACACACACACACACAACACAAACTGAGCATAGACCAATGCTTACGATGGGTAACTATACGCAGAGGGAAAAAGAGAAAACCAGCAGGGAACACACGGACGTGGTGAACAATTCTGTGTCTCTGCACATGTACAACAAAGGAGTTGAGGAGAAAGTACTTGTTTGCTAACCTTGAAGCCAGTTGGGCACCAGTCAACGAATTGCACAGTGCGCTTGTTCTTGATAGTAGCAATTGCAGCGTTGACATCCTTAGGCACTACGTCACCACGGTACAGCAGACAACACGCCATATACTTGCCATGGCGCGGGTCACACTTCACCATCTGGTTGGCCGGCTCAAAGCAGGAATTGGTGATCTCTCCAACACTCAACTGCTCATGGTAAGCCTTCTCAGCACTGATGATCGGTGCATAGGTGACGAGGGGGAAATGAATACGTGGGTATGGCACCAAGTTGGTCTGGAACTCAGTCAAGTCCACATTCAGTGCACCTTCGAATCGAAGTGATGCTATAGTCACAGGACAAAGTCAGAACAATACCAACACAGATTACTGAGATTAGCGTAGAGTGTTATGTGAGAGTTGGGAAGGGCTGGTACAAGGAAGCAGAGCACACACAACTACATGTATGCATGTGTATGGAAGGAACATGACAAAACACACACACGCCCATCGCGGAAGCGATGATAGCGAACAGCTACAGTGGCGGATCCAGGGGGGCCTGCCCCCCCCCCTTTGAAAATTTCGACCTTGGTCTAGGATTACAGTAGACTGTAGAATGAGCGCTCGGAATGACTTGGCGTGTCAAGTGGGTCACGCGTGCTGGGTACTTTTATACGTGTCCGGTGTCACGCACTGTACTAGTCAGCGCGCTGTGTACAACTACTGTACGCACTGCGACCTGAGGACACGGCCGCACTTCAAACATGTGAAAAACGTGCCAAAAATGCAGGGCCTGGTACATACTGCAGCGATCGCGTTGGGCTGAAGTCCTGTATCAGTGTATCATGGTGTATGGTGCACGGTGCTGTCGACTTCGTCCTTCCTTTTTTCTTTTTCACTTGTCAGAAACTAAACGCTCTCTAGTCTAGCTCTCTACTTCGCTTGTAGCCAACGGGTTACCTTCAGATACTGTAAATCATGAATATGTAACGAACAAGTAAATCTAACGAGTTAACGAGCAAAGATTTATCGTTATTTTAAAATTCGTTAGCAAAAGTCGTATGATTTGGGCCTCGCACGATTGAAATCGATCATTTCACATTATGGCATGCAGCGCGTGTTCAACGGATCGTAACTCAGTCAATTCTCAATGAAATCCAACAATCAAAAGATCTAGATGATAGCAGAGACGCTCAGCAGTCGGCTCAAACAATTCCGAAGTCTCTCAGATGATTTTTGACGAAGCCGCAGGAGATCGTTAATTTGAATATTTTACGCTCTTACGCTGGATAAATTTCATTTTCTTTATTCTCCTGACATCGAGGTATACTGTGATGGACAACAATGAATGTCCTTGACGAGCATTCCTAGTATTATTGCATCTGTCTGAGAAAATCGTTAACTTTTCAAACCGTTAACCTTCGAAAATCAGAAAATCGTTAACTTTGCGGGTCGTTAAAATAATATAATTTACAGTATGCGATGAAGAGGAAAGGGTCTGACATCAGGTCGTTCTTCAGTGGACCGGTAGATAAGAGAGCTCGCGTTGAAGAGCCGTCCAAAGGTCCGTCGCGGCCGCTGTCGAGTGGAAATGTTCCAGTGCAGTTTGAAAATGTCGTGAGAATGGAATAAAACTAGGGACCGGCGGATTCTGCTCGAAAAGGTGGCATATTCTGCTCGAAAAGCAGTGAAATTGGCAGAACCATACAAACCTTATGGCGGGCAATTCCTCGAACTCTGCTCCATTTTTTTATCCAAATACCAAACATGCATGAAACTTACCAGAAAAAGTACCGAATTCTGCCAATTTTTCTGCCGGCAGAATCCGCCGGCCCCTAAATACAACAGCTCTTTACACCTTCAGGACTTTGTTGTTGTTGTTGTATTTGTTGTTTTGTTTTGGGGGGGGGGGGGGATACCTTGGGCCCCCTCTTCGGCCAAGTCCTGGATCCGCCACTGAGCGGATGTTAGACATAGCAACTTGTGCTGGGATTACACCATTCAACAGCTTGCAAGGCTGATGAATTGATCGCCACTAATTTTTAACCTGGTACCCACCACACAGCTGATTGAAGTGGCTTTTTCTGGCCAGTGAATCCCTATTTTTCATTTTTTCATTGTTTTCTTTCTCTCTTTTTTTACACACACGCCACTCCACATACTCCGGCATACACTGACTGTTGGTAACCACCCAGTAGAATGAAAGAAGAGGTAGGAGAATGAGAAAGAGAAGATTCAAGAAAGACGTGTGCGACCATATTCGTCTGGAATTGAACCCGCAACCTTTCGATTGGAAATCGACTTCACATACCACTGCACCAAAAAGGACACACACATAAACACACACACACACACAGCACTCACCGGTGATAGAGGACACAACTTGAGCAATCAAACGGTTGAGGTTGGCGTATGAGGGCCGCTCAATGCCAAGGTTGCGACGGCAAATATCGTAGATGGCCTCGTTGTCAACCATGAATGCACAGTCAGAGTGCTCCAATGTAGTGTGCGTGGTCAGCACACTGTTGTACGGCTCAACAACAGCAGAAGCGATCTAAAGAAATGCAAAACAAAGGGAGTGGGTCAGTGTGCACATCACAGAATTACACCAAGTAGCATTACTGTGGCAGAACTAGTGTCTTGTGTGACTAAAAAAGCACACATTCTTCAAACAGTTCCATCTCTCCGAGTTCTATACTCCTACCCATACTACACCAAGATGACATTTCACAGGCGGTGTTCACAAATGCTTGGAATAATTGGATAACTGCAGGAATGGAGTCATGCAGTGGTGTCACAGCTGCTGCTGCTGTACACTGCTGCCTAACCTGTGGTGCTGGGTAAATAGCAAACTCCAGCTTGGACTTCTTGCCATAGTCTACAGACAGGCGTTCCATGAGCAGCGAGGAGAAACCAGAGCCAGTACCACCACCAAAGGAATGGAAGATGAGGAAGCCTTGCAGACCAGTGCACTGGTCAGCCTGTTAAAAGTAACATAGACGACAAGCAGATAGACAGACAAGTGTATGTCAAGATAGACAGACAAGTGTATGTCAAGATAGACAGACAAGTGTATGTCAAGATAGACAGACAAGTGTATGTCAAGATAGACAGACAAGTGTATGTCAAGATAGACAGACAAGCAGATAGACAGACAAGCAGATAGACAGACAAGCAGATAGACAGACAAGCAGATAGACAGACAAGCAGATAGACAGACAAGCAGATAGACAGACAAGCAGATAGACAGACAAGTGTATGTCAAGATAGAGATACTGACTGTACATGCAGTATGCTAGACTGAGACAAGCCTGCTGCAGCCTGCATTTGCCTGCTGCAGCCTGCATTTGCCTGCTGCACCCCACAGAACACTATGCTGCTGTTGTGAGGGTGGCGGGAACATCGTATTCTCAAATTGGCCCAAATTTACCGAGCACCCTTGGTGCAGCGGAAACTTTCATGATATGACAGGATCAGACTTGATCCAGGGAGGTAAGTTCGAACTAAAAAAATGCATATCAAATTGATCAGTGCAATGTCATATCAACGTTTGTGTGCAAGGAGACCACACACAGTTACAGCAGCCGGGGAGCCGATTGTTCTTTCAGGTTTTTACCGTACCGTTTCTATGGTTGTAGCCAATGAGCGACTTTCCCGCGGTGGCCTTGATGAGCCGATAAAGCCCGTGGTCAATGGATACGGAAAAATACGGTAGCAATAAAGCCCGTCGTCAATGGCACCCCGTACTCTGTCAGCCTAGCTCTGCAGGGGTCTGTGGCAGTTTTTCGTTGTCAGCTCAGTTCGCACCTCACATTCGACTGTGAACATGCTCTGGTACCTGGAAACAGCCTGTCCGAAAACGGCAACATGAAAAGTGTCTACACATCGTGGTCAGTTTTCAACTCAAGTTCTTGTTGTCGTGAGTGGAGATGAAATTTTACGATAGTTGTGAATAAGCGAAAGAGCATGCACCCATCTATCTGCTAAGAACCAAGCTGAAATAAGTTGCAAACATCGCGATCAGTTTTCCACTTTCTGCTCTATATGTACCGGTACTAAAAAAAGGAGTTGACGAGTTGCCGAACCTTTCTGATAATTTTGAGGAAGCGAAATATCATGGACCAAGGATCATCCCATCCATGAGAAGCGGACGGAGCTGAAACTCACAAGCTAAAGGAGCTGAAACTCACAAGCTGAATCCACCACGTCCCCGACCACCACCCCTAGACGTGTCTTGCTTTTATACCAGAAAGACGGAAGACAAAACCTGAAACACCATCATAGAGGTCTGGCAGGACTTTTCGCCTTCATCAAGGCCTCGTGCGTACGGCCGCGGGCCTTGATTCAGCCGTAAAGTCCTGCCAGACCTCTATGATTGTCTACATCCGCTCTTCCACTACGTTGACTGCGGCGATACTCTCACGGACATGTGCTCTTGAGCTCAGCAGCGTTCTGTCATTCTGTCTTTCCAAACATTCTCTGGTCAATACTCAGCGCTTTGTGTTGTCAAGACACGTAACAACAGTGTAGCACGTGCTATGCAGACATACACACACACAGTAGCAGAGACTCCCTCGGACCCTTGATTTAGGCTAAGGCATATGAATAGGATGGAGTCTTACCAGCTTGCGGGTACGATCCAGTACATTGTCAATCATTTCCTTGCCAACAGTGTAGTGGCCACGAGCGTAGTTGTTGGCAGCATCTTCCTTGCCACTGATCAGTTGCTCAGGATGGAAAAGCTGGCGATATGGACCAGTACGTACTTCATCTGTGACATTTGACAAAAGAAACACGGGCTCTGTCCTGTCCTGGCTAAAACCTCGAATTCGATTATGTATCCTATAAAGACAGTGTTTACAAGAGAATTTTCAACCCAGCTAAAAGTCTGTACATTGAAAAAGAAGAGTTGGGTGTTTACATGAGGAGGATTGACCTGGGTGATTGCTGATAGACCAGCAAAAGTTCTGTTCTTTATTTGGGTAGTGATAGGTGACTGCTTTGGTAGGAAAATCACATGTGCGATGCTGTACAGGGTTTACTGTCATTGGAGTATGGAAGAACACAGATCCGCGTGCAGTGTGCGTCAGACTTTCCGTAGATCGACTTCAGTTTTTACTAACGTAATTACGTAGTGCGGAACCTCAGTATTAGAGAGGTTCCGTGCTATTATGTAAGTGGGTGGTAAAGCCCATAAATTCGTGAGTTTGCACTCCACTAAGGGCCGGGTTCCATTGCGGCTCCGCTGCTCGTCTTTCGCGGCTTGAAACGACATCATTACCATAGTGACCGCGGCTCGAGCTGGAGCAGCGAGGCCGCGGGCTTTCGCTACGATTCTTGACCAAAAACTGCGAGCCGCGGCTCGACCTGTTTCCCATACTTTGCATTGTTTTGCACGCCAGAATTTTAAAATTTTAATTCGTTGCGCAGGCCAGAACACGAGGATTTTTTTGATTTTGCGTGCGCGCGCACGCGCAGTGAAATCAAAAAGTGTGGAGCACGACCGCGAATGGCGAGTGTCAATGGAGCCGCTCTGCTCCGCTGCATGCAGCCAAGTGCCGCAGAGCAGCGGAGCCGCAGTGGAACCCGGCCCTAAGGCTGTCATCACACCCTGGTACAAAGCGCTGCGTCTACGTCCACGCAAGGAGTTTTTGGTCGGTTGTCATGACGATCCGTATACGGGGTGAAAACGGGAGCAGAGGAAACGGGAAACGTAGATGTGGTAGGGAGAGGGGGGGGGGGGGTATACAACTTTTTGGATGAACGTGCTTATCTCCCCCAGCCTTTTTTCCGAGCGACCTTGTACTTCGATGTACTTTTGCGTTCAAACTTCTCCAAAAACGTGACTGCGGGTACGAATCATGAACTGTGCCTGTCTGATGACACGACCACCGGTTTTGGGTTTTTCACTGTAGACGTAGACGGGAGTCGGAGAACGTAGTGTGATGATGGCTTTACGGAAGTTGTCTACATAGAGGACGTACGTGAGCCTTTACTAACGGAGGTGCAGTGTACGCAAGACTCTCCGTAGATGACTACGTTCTTTACTAACATAATCACATTATGCGGAACCTCTGTATTATACTACATTGGGCACGTTTGATTACACACATTTTGGTCTATTCTAGAATTAGTTATAGTGGATGCACCGTTTGATTACACAAATTCCGTCATCAATTCCAATTCCGTCGTCAATTCTGAAGAGAGTGCGGAATTGCTAATTCTAATTCCAGAATGGACGCACTCGACGTAAACGCCATGTTAGGACCACGTGCGCGCGAGTGTGCACGGGATTCCACGTGATCCCCTTTTACGATTTTTACGGTTAGTCGTTCGTTTACAAGGCCGCAATTCATTCATTCTGTTCATTCAAGAATTATAAAACCTCGGCCCAAATATGTAATCGAAAGCGTGCATAGTAACAAGAGTCCATATCCCCCCCCCCCCCCCCCCCCCCGAGTATGCAATTGGGATGGGGTTGTGGGACGGCGTAATCCGTGATGTAAGTCATTTTTTCGGTCGGACTTGCGCCATTCCGTCGACGCGGTCCACCACGGAAAAAATTATCATGAGGAGTTACTCATGATGTCACACTATGACGTGCAACACGGATTTCGCCGTCACCATGGTCACAGACCTGATCAGTGAAGTAATACTAATAGTTGCGCACTCTGGAGGATTACTTAGAAAGTAAGTTCGTGGGTGTGAATGTCATGCGACTGCCATCAGTGCCAGGTAAAGCTCACCAACAACGTTTGGCTCCAGGTCCACAAATATAGCACGAGGAACATGCTTCCCAGCTCCGGTCTCGCTAAAGAAGGTGCTGAACGAGTCGTCGATCTTGGCAGCGGGTTTGTCCTCTGGAGGCATATGACCGTCAGGCTTGATACCGTGCTCCAGACAGTACAGCTCCCAACAGGAGTTGCCCATCTGTACACCGGCCTGGCCAACATGGATGGAGATAACTTCACGCTACATAGAACCAAGAAGGCACATGACAAAAAGACAAACACGATCAGCAGGCGTCAACGTTGCTTGGTGGTGGCAGAAGAGTCGATATTTCAGATTTGGGCATTCAAGCACGATCTTGTAATCCCTGAAATGATTCGGGGCGATCGGTTGTCCGATTGTGACAAACTCACCATGATGATGATTAGTTTGAAAAGCTAGAAAGATATGAGGAGATGCCGTCTGCGTGAGCTAGGACTCGCAGAGAGTTAGTAATGGACTCCTACAAGCACAAGCATGGAACAACAAGCAGCGCAAGAAGATTCTGCCCACGAAACTGAAAGAGCTGCCCGCGGATTTTGAAATTGTTATTTCGAGCATGCGCGGACAATGTTCCAACCGTAAAAGATCATGATCAGGCCGCGTGCGCGAAAAGGTCTGTACAAAACTGGTGAAGATGACGACGATAATGGCAGTTGGGGGAGAATTATTTGGCCCTACTGACCATGCTGACTGTAGGCCCTTCTCGTGCACGCGTGGTGTATCATCTTTTCTACTTGCTTCCTTTCAAAAAATCCTTCGCCACAGCAACATGCATTGCATGCATGCAGCGATGGTGATGATGACATGACCACAAAACTTTGAAACATCCTGCTTTCCGTATACCCCCGGGTCCATGACCAATACCGTAGCATTTTTTTTTTCAAAATCTTTCGAGTGAATGGCAAAAGACTGTCCATGTATCGTTTTCGAGAAGTACATGTACTTGTAGTGTGTTTATGCGATGAAGGCGATGAATTCACCAGTTTTGCTGAGTGACGAGAAGGAACCCTAAGAGGAATGTCAATTGGCAGCCAGACCTCACGCGGTGGGTACCCACGCTTCAGTGTTTAATTTCACTTTTAATTTCAGTGTTTTTAAAATTTCACTTTGTCCAGTGTTTATAAATACCATCGTGGGCAGCTTGTAAGTTGTAAGATTATTTATAATTTTTCTACAATATTAAAATAATAATTGGGGAGGTTTAGTTCCCACTAGGGGTGCGCGGATTATGCTCGCACGCACCCGATATTATACTTTCGGGCATTTCCCCGCGGAACTTCGAAAGTATTCTCTCAAAACATCGAAACAATTCTCCAGAATTCCCCCCCAAAAAAAGAACCCCAGCACGAACCGTGCCTTGCGCATGCTCTTTAGTGTGCAAAATGGACGGTCAGGCACGTGATCACTGCATGCAGGATCTACACTACAACTGTACATGTACTGGATCTACATGACTGTCCGGGTGTTGCTGCATATACATGTACCGGTACATGTACGTGTACGTGCGTCCATGGATGCGCGCTTGTTCTCTGGCAGGTCAAAATTGACAGAATTCCCTCAAAACTCTTCTGAAGGTCAATGGATCTGGCAAAAGATCGATAGAATTCCCCTAAAATTCCCAAAATTTTCTCAACGATAGCATTCCCAAATTATTCCAGGAATAATCCGCACACCCCTAGTTCCCACCAGGGAGTCGTCAAATACCACGACTCCCTGGTTCCCACGTAACGGAAACGCGTACGTGGGTGATTCACGTACGTAAAGTGGATGAAGGGCACCCACGTACGTTGCAATGTTGTGTTTAGTCACACGGAACAAACAAAAGCATGAAGCGAAAGGCCCAAACCTGGTCAAAGACGAAGCTACCCAGGCCTAAGAAGCTCATCCAATATTGATTTCGTGCTTCGGAAATTCCTTCAGCTGAGCACCCTCACAGCTCGCACAATGCGCTCCATTCTGATTTTCACCCACGTTCTTGCGGAACGTGGGTGAGCCTCCATACACGGTATGTCGTGAATCAGAAAACGTCTGTGCGTGGGTCACTGAGTATCGCGTGGTACACACACGTTAAGTACCCACGGATTACGTGGGACTAAACCTCCCTATTATCAGTGAAACTCGGGTATTGAGCCAACTACAAAACAAGTTGTTTCACACGACGTACATGTACGTTTCGCCGTATGGTTCGTGATAGCTCATCAGGTGTGCAATTTGAAACTCGGGTATTGAGCCAATAATAAAATGTAGAAAGGAAAAAGGACATAATTATGGAAACGAGTTAAGAGTGTGTATAACTAGATACTATATACAGTCAGAAAGTGCAACAATTGTGCAAAGCTTCCCCCTTCTGTACTTATCTTTGATATTTCTGAGCCACCCAAGGTGGGTGGTGTGCTGCTTCGAATTGTAGTTAGATCGCTTTGTCAAGTATCCTACTGGTCTCGTCATTGTCCCGTAACAATCGATGTTCTTTGTTCCGTTGGGACTGTAGCTTGTGCTCATTTTCGTTGCGCTTACCTTCCCCTCTTTGGTCTCTCCATAACCTTGAACCTTCCGAGTTGGAAGGCTGTCGGTTAGCGCTACGGAGATGTGTTGAAGCTAGGTGTCAGGACGTCGAATGTCTCAGTACTCTGTCAGTTTTGTGCCTAGTTGTTGCACTTTCTGACTGTATAATCTAGTTACAGTGGTGGAGAGTTACTTGACACCCTTACTTGGCCTTAGCAAACAACGGTAACGCTATTTTTTCGGTACTCGTACCTTGATCACCCAAATAGTGTTGAAGCTGCAGCGTATAAACGTTATGGGGGCTGATTTATCGTTGTGACCAACGGTACGTGTTTTGGCCAAATATTGCATAGTCCGTATGCATTTCACCTTGTACCGCATGTATGGTGACAAAAATGGTAATACCACGCGAAATCAAAGCTATTCTCGTGGCAACAGCGTACTAAAAATAGTGTGTATCTTGCTAAAGGTCGAACCCAAATCACGGTATTCCCCCCTTACGATAATACCGTTACAACATAACGTTTTTTGCTAAGGGTGTCTACTTTTAACTCTTTTCCATAATTATGTCCTTTTTCCTTTCTACAATTATCAGTGAGGCGGACATTATGAAAAAAAACCCAAAATCATGGTAAATCTACATGAAAGTTTCCGATTTTCTTGAGACAATCATCAGGGAAAAGTCGTCTCACCCAAGAAGCTAAGCGGGGAAACAAACTTTTACGTCTAGAGGATAGTGCGAAGTATAAAGGTGTGCCCCCCCCCCCCCCCCCCCCACACACACACAGCCCTTCATTTCACTTACCTTTGGTATTACCGTAAAGTACTGTTGATCCGCCCCCTCTCTAATTGCTGCCCCTGTCGATGTTCTGCCTGTGAAGCGATTTCGGCGAAATACGATGTTGAACCGACGCATGCACTGCTGTACACAATACGTGCCAATCCAGGATGAAAATGTGCACAATCCAGCACATCGAGTCTGATCTTACACATTGTTGTACACCGTACTGCACTTGACAGCCTTGATCTAATTCCCGCCCCCTGCCGAAAGCCCAACTGGGAAGCGACATGGCGTGGGGGGGGGGGGGGGGGGAATCAACGGTACTTTACGGTAGTTCACACCGTTGGAACACTCCCAGATATTTTCTTCTTATTTCTTTCTTCTTCTCTCCGGAGAGCTCCCACTTTGTTTTTTCACACCTCACCTTTTTATACATGTACTTCTAGACGTATAAGTTTGTTTCCCGCCGCATAGGTACTGTTGTGAGACGACTTTTCCCTGATGAATGTCTCAAGAAAATTGATTAGGAAAACTTTCATGTAGATTCACCATAATATTCTTGTTTGTTTCTTCATAATGTCCGCCTCGCTGATATTCTTATTTTCTACAATAGTGTGTTTACTTTCAGGGAGACGGATAAAAACTCTGACGGAAGTTTTAGTCACACTGCACAAGATCTTTCAGCTATGACTGACTGATTTCCCTATTATAATTTAGACAGATCAGCAGAGTGACATTCATGGCACACAAAATAATATAAAAATGTTGAAGGTGCGACGAACTCGGCCATTTTGGAGATTTGAAACTCCTCACCACTCCACATTGTGCTCTTGGCCCACATTCACAATATCCTGGAATACCCGAAAAAGTGAAGGTGACACAAGTTTTAGAGGTGATAACGAAACATGTCTCAGCATCACTGTGCGTTTCGTTATCACCTTTAGAACTTTTGTCACCTTCACTTTCTTTGGGTATGCCACTTTTCCATGTGGAAAGGGCGCAATTGCGCCACCTTTACGCTATAAAAAATTATAAAAGCATGCATGAACTCGATTGGCTTATATGTTGTATAGTCTTTTGAATGCTGAGTCGACTGGTATTGGTCTGAAAAGGCTGCGATGCAGCGTTCCGGCCTTATTCCCAATCGAACATGGTTGAACAAGCGGTCACGTGCTCCTGCGTACACCAGTCACCTGGTCACCGTGCCAGCAGGCGACAACTTTCACACTAAGGTTCCACTCGAGTGACAGGAATGCACCCAAACAGGCTGCAAGCTGTACCCTGCAGGCACGGTGATCAGGTGACTGGTGTACGCAGGAGCACGTGACCGCTTGTTCAACCATTTTCGATTGGGAATAAGGCCCGAACGATGCATTACAGCCTTTTCGGACCAAAACCAGTCGACTCAGCGTCCAAAAGACTACAACATAATTGTATAGGCGCGAATAGAAGCCCAGGGGCTCTATTTTTCCAGAAGACACATTGAGGGTGGTTATATTTGAGAGAGGGCTCTATTCGAGAATAATAAATAATATTCGCGGGATCCGCGTCGGCATCGCTTGAATGTCCAGAAACAAACAAACTAGCCTTCGCATCCGCAGGCCACCACTATGCCTGTTAACCTTAGTGGCGAATGCAGACCTCACAAGTGAGTCAGGGGAGAGGAGGTTAGTCTCTCAACCAATCGGGCGTGTAACGGCCCATAACCCTGTGAACTGCATCCTTGTTATTCTCACTCCAAGCTGTGAGTACCCAGTTGACCGTGGGTGTCGGCGCAGTTCAACACGCGTACAAAGTCTTTTTACACGCTCCCTGCTACCAGCGCGGGTCTTGAACTCGGGACCTCATGATTCGCAGGCAGGCCTGCAAACCAATCGGCCATATTCGAGAGGGGGCTTTATTTTTTAACGGAAACATAAAATTGTTTCACCCTTCCTGCTGATTAGTACATACTGTGAATGCATTCGACAAGGTTCCCCTTGGCTGTGGTCTGTGTGCAATAAGTGAACCATATTGTACGTGTATACTGTATACGGTTCATGTACTGCACTGCATTATACGGACCTTGCGCGCTCCATTATTTCGATTCTCTCTGACAGACGGGCTCTATTCGAAGGGGGGCGTGTATTCGAGCATGTGGGGGACATGGGCTGCAACGAGCTGGCCGACATTACTACTGTAAGATGTGTCTTGAAAAGGTGATGAGGAGAATTTAAACACACCAAATTTGGAACAGGGATTTCCCAGTACATATTCAACGTGATTTCTTTACGTGAACGTAGCGCAGAACAAGTTTCCTTTACGTTACAGGAACGCAAAGAGAGTTTTCCCGGGATTCTTGGCGTTGCGTTCCCGTTACGTAGAGCAGAACATCACTACTGTGTATAAAAAATTATAAAAACGATTCAACGAACCAGGGCAGCAATCACAAGAAATCAATGACAAGCAGAACAGGAAGAGAGAAAATGGATATCAAATCAAGCCTGAAAGACAACCAGTAGCAGAATATTGACGAAGCGAGGAGCATAAGAGGAGAAGACACAAACCGGTGATGCACAAGTGCAATTATCAAAACGTAAAATTTCCGTCATGCCAAACTGCGCATGGAAAACTATTTCTGGGTAAAAATTGAAACGATCAAGGTCAATATTGAGACCTGCTAGTAAGACTATTTTTCCATTCGGTGCGTCGTATCTGGTAAGACTTGTTTTTTTTTAAGAGGAAAGAATTAATGAACAAATCAGTGAATAGTTCAGATATGGCACATACAATGCAGCAAAACCAGGTCGGCACATCATTCGTCATAAGCAGTAAGAAAAAGATGAGCGGGTAATGTTGCTCACGTCAACAGATCATCATCGTCCAGAGAGTTTAGTGATTCACTTGGACGAAGCGCATACGGAAGGGACTCAGCAACTGACGGGCGTCGACGGAAAGCAATAATACTGATCACAAGGTGTACGAGCCATGCAAGAAAGCTGGCCCAGCAAGCAACCTGGAAAGAGAGGAATTAGCAGAAATACCAGTTTAATACGAGGATTTAGTAGGGTCTCTGCAACGTATTTGACTCGACTGATTGCCACCATGTTATCCAATTATAACGGCCCTCGACGATCGGTCATGGCGATGGTGATACGTGACCTACAACTCCTGGTCGCTCGTGTGATACGCACTTGATTAGTCATGCGGTTCGTGCCATCCAGACCTCACACACACACACACACACACACACACACACACACACACACACTACTATAGCATGACTGCCCCATAGGGCCACGTCACTCCCTTGTGACAGGGAGCCAGAGTCAGGGTAAGAGAGTCAATGCCGGCGAGCCGCGTGCACACACACATGCTTTACGGAGTTGTGCAGCCTGGCTATGCCAGACGCACTATGGAACGTCCTTAGCATAGATTCGGGGATAAAAGCACACAAGAGTGCAATGATCGGAGTGTACCGTAATATGCACAGGCAATACCGTAAACTGCACAGGCAATAAAACAGATAGGAGCACCCACCCACCTGTGCCACATTGTAGTTGTGGTGAAATGAAACCCGCTCGTAGTGGCTGGTGTATGTACCATTTCCGGACATGTTGAATTGAACATCCACATTCTTCACAAGATAGGTATGTGAGCAGCTAGCAACAGGAGACACAAGAACGAGCAGGCTGACATCAGTTGAGCTACTTTGGCATAGCCTCGGCACAGCGATGCACTAGGTCAAGCAAAAAGCTGACTCACGCTGTATACTAAGGCTGTGTTTACATGAGGCGTTTCAATCCGGGTCAAGTTTCAACCCGCCATGAATACAGATTGACTGGCGCGTTTACACGACGCATTGCGCTTGACCCGGGTTGAAGTTTTGCCCCGGGTTGAGTTCAACCTTCCCCTGGGGGGGGGGAGGAGGAGGAGAGGGTTGAAATCGTACAACCGTACATCTGTGAGTATCTCGCGCCAGGTTTGAATAGCACTGCACAGGCGAATTTCGCGAAAGCATTCACGTGGCCATACCGGACTCTAGAAGTGGACTTTTGGCGGCATATCAGTATTTGACCGGTCAACTGTCTTCATGTAAACACTCACCTATTTTGTCTATCGTACAGACTTTCAACCCGGGCTAAACTCGACCCGGGTAGAACATTTTGGTGTAAACGCAGCCTTAGGGGTTACCGATTGTTTTTACAAAACGAAAAGTCATAGTATTTTTCAGCCCCCACCCACCCACCCACCTTCTCTGCAGGTAAAACGAATTCCAATAAAATATTGATGTCAATTTTCGACACCCAGAAGTAACTGGACATTCTCCATCCGCATTCAATAATTATTTTCAAAACGAAACTCCATCAAACCCACCCACCCCCAAACGAAAACTTTTCGTTTTGAAAATATTATTGGTAACCTTGGACGGCCCCTTAGCTCTAAGTAAGCTCCCATAAACGTATGCGCTAGTGCACTGCCATGACATCAGTTGCATAACCTCTACAGCACGGTTGTTTAGCAGATACACAACAAATCTACCAATATACAATGTACAACAAACATGAAATATAATAATGCCAGGCAGGAGAAGGTGGAAAAGAGGAAGAAAATCCAAAACAATCACAAACCTTGGTGCCTTGTGGTGCACATGAGTGTGATTCGAATAGACCAAGTCTGATGGTTCCTGTCTCCAATGCTCTTTCATCTCATGGCAAAAGACAGCAAACCCAATCGACATAATCAGTGCAGCAGCCAGGGAGCAGAGAGCCAGAGTCACAACGACTGCCAATTCACCAAACTTGGCGCAGCGCCTCCTGCATAGAGAAAAGCAGCAAGAGCCAAAGATGGAATTTTCAAATTTTCTTAACTACTGTCAACAGCAAACAGGAAGGAAAAGTGGCAGAGGCGCATGACCACTGCAAACAAAGCGACCTACATTCTGCACTGCAGGAAATGCCTGCAGTGCAGGTAGCAAGCAGAAATTCTTCTTCAAGAATAACGTGGACATATTCCTAGAAATACGCGCATAATTTTGCGGGCGACAACAGGTCAACATGCGGTTTAAGCGTACATGGTTAGCATTTGGCCGTTTAGTTTACGACTTCGATGGTAGGCTCGAACTGTTTTTTTTGTGTGTAGACATGATAGCATTTCCGTTTCTGACAACAATCGGCTTGCGGCCTCACCCTAGCGACAGCAGACAGTGTACACACATACGTTTATGCTTGCCACATAAAAAATACTGTGCAGAAGTGTTGGAATCATACCGTGTTGTGCTCCCTGTAAACAGAGCCTTCGATCGTCGACGATACCAAACCGACAGTAGTCAGGTGCTGGGTACGAGTACCGTTGGATTTAGTGTGAACGGTAAAATGCTAACCATGTCTAATCTATAGTGAAGAGAAGGACCAAGGAACTACAAGTTAGCTAAAATGTCCACTAACACCACCAGTTACTTGAAAATCAGCTCATGCAATAATATTGCACAACACTGACCGTCGGTACTGACGTTTTACAACTAACTGGCTATCAGCAAACATTTCAGCGTAACTTGTAGTTCCTTGGTCCTTTTCTTCACTATAAATTAATCCTTCGCTCTCCATCCGAGTCTATCCACATGCTGTCGAAGTCGAAAACTTTGTTCATGTACATTTTCACCATCATGTACTATTTTCTTGTGCATTCCAATGGAATACGCTGGTTTTATGCCACATTTCTTGAAAACGCGGATGAAAGCCAAAGGCCCCCGTCCGGGGTTACCGATTGTTTTTACAAAACGAAAAGTTTTAGTATTTTTAGCGCCCACCCACCCACCTTTTCTGCAGGGAAAACGAATTCCAATAAAATATTTATGTCAATTTTCGACACCCAGAAGTAACTGGGCATTCTCCATCTGCACTCAATAATTATTTTCAAAACGAAACTCCATCAAACCCACCCACCCCCAAACGAAAACTTTTCGTTTTGAAAATATTATTGGTAACCTTGGACGGCCCGGCCCCTAAGGCGAAAAATTGCACATGCGCAGATTTGCGTTACCCAGTACCCAGTGGGGACAGCAACAAGCACGTACAAACCTACAGGTCTTCAAATGGTTGCTGTACAGTCCAGTATTACTTCTCTAATAACGACTGCGGATATTACGACAATTCAAGCTGAGAGGATGCGTCAATTCGGAGCTCTTTGCACCGCTGCTGAAGGCTGAGTACAATAATCCAGCGAAGCATGGGCACCAACGGTTGCCTCCTCTGTCCAAAGTGAATATTTACTCTTGCTGATAACCCAGATTTTGTGCTTCGATGTACGATTTTTCTTTCGAATGTACACCATGCACGAGCTATTGACAATAGTCAAACGACAATAGGCTACATGTATGTAGTACATGTATGTGCAGTGCTATATACCTCTGATGATCCTTTTTTATTATTTTGCGACTTTCTGTCCCCGGGGAAAATTGCGATTCCGCGGCCGCGTTTTTTTCCGCGTTTTTTGCGATTTTTTAAAAGACCGCGTTTTCCGCGATTTTCCCGCGTTTTTTTTACTTTTTTGTTGCACTACACGTACACACAGTGCACTGTTCGGTCAGCAACGTCTCATTGTGGCGGCTTTTTACTCAAATATGACGAGTGCTTACACCAGAGACTTGTAGCTGATTGATTTCACTACATACTCACTGAAAATTGCCGCACATCAATATTATTCACCGCATATTAAAGGGGAAGTTAAGGCAAAAATTAAAATTTCACCAGTTGTAGTCTTCGGGGTGCTGAGTCGAATGGTCTTGGTCCGAGGAAGCTGAGACGCTCCCTTCCTACTTGAATCCCAATCGAACTCGCGCACTTCCACCGAAACTGGTTGACTGCGCCCTACTAGATGGGGATTTGTATGCAAAATGTCACTAAAAGCGCCATTTCGTTCTTATAAAAGCACGGATGACCGCGATTGGCCCATATGTTGTAGTCTTTTGGACGCTGAGTCGACTGGTTTTGGTCCGAAAAGGCTGCGATGCAGCGTTCCTCCTTTATTCCCAATCGAACATGGTTGAAGAAGCGGTCACGTGCTCCTGCGTACACCAGTCAGCTGGTCACCGTGCCTGCAGGGTACAACTTACTAGCCTGTTTGACCTTTTTTGGGTGCAGTCCTGTCACTCGAGTTGAACCTTGGTGTGAAAGTTGTCACCTGCTGGCGTGGTGACCAGGTGATTTGGGCACCCGGGACCACGTGACCGCTTCTTCAACCATGTTCGATTGGGAATAAAGGAGGAACGCTGCATCGCAGCCTTTTCGGACCAAAACCAGTCGACTCAGCGTCCAAAAGACTACAACATATGGGCCAATCGCGGTCATCCGTGCTTTTATAAGAACGAAATGACGCTTTTAGTGACATTTTGCATACAAATCCCCATCTAGTAGGGCGCAGTCACCCAGTTTCGGTGGAAGTGCGCGAGTTCGATTGGGATTCAAGTAGGAAGGGAGCGTCGCAGCTTCCTCGGACCAAGACCATTCGACTCAGCACCCCGAAGACTACAACTGGTGAAATTTTAATTTTTGCCTTAACTTCCCCTTTAACCGCAAATTATGCCATATTATGCCGCGTTTTTTGCGATTTTTTCCGCAATTTTCCCCGGGGACAGAACTTTTTTATATCTTTCCACCTCTCGCATATGATTCTGGAAGTTGAACTGACGCGAAACATAGATATAAAAAATGATGGCCTAATGAGACTTCGGGTATAACGACACTTCGCGAATAAGGACACTTTTCTGATGCCCCGCCGAGTGTCGTTATAAGCGAAGTTGACTGTACCTTGAAAATGGGGAGCTTTTCAATGTTGTTTTTGTGCCATGCACCCAACATTCGATTTTATTAGTATGACATTAGTGAGTGCGTTCCCAGACACCTCACTGTCCTCTGACTCTGTCCAGAATTCATTCACAAGACGTGTGCATGTGTACCATGTGTATGGGTGTATACACAAGACAGCTGTGCTGCCATGACCCCAATGCCACTGGCTCACCAAGACTCTGTGTTGTGGCCATCCTTCCTGCCGCGAGCAACGGCTATGCTAAGCACACACAGGCTCAGCATGGAAAAGATCTGCGCAGCCGCGTAGAAGATGACGTATTGACAGCTGATTCCACTGCCACTCGTCGGGAGGTGAAGGCGAGGCACACCACATCGAGTAGCATTGCCACTCACTGATCCAAACAGCAAGCATGTACTGTCACCCCCCAACCAGCACTTCGAGTTTTTCACCTGACTGGAGACCATGCCCCAGAGAGTGGCTGCAGTACTCACAAGCACGACAGCATACAGTATCCATCGTGCTGAGGTCGAAAAGAAAGCTCCACACTTGCCCATAGTGGACAACTGGGGACGGTACTCCACAGACGATACAGCTTACACACGTACAGACAGATCTTCGAAGCTGAAGCGCTGGTACCACCGTGATCCAGCTGTAGTCTTTAGAGCAGACAACGAAGCAAATGCTGCTAGTAAAAATGCGTTCCAAAACGCGGGTGACAGCGCGCGGGACTTGGTGATGTCAAGCCCGAAAGTATTTGAATCAAGGGATCCTCGGCAGAGGTGAACAATTCCTACGAGAATGTGAACCCTCCAGGCCAAAGCACACGTAAGTTCGTAACACATGCAGGCTTACTTCCTCCTCTAAATCTGAACATTGATCGTACAAAATCTCCCTCGCGCGCTTGTTTCAGTTGACATGGTTGACTGACGATCGAGTGAAGTGAAGTGACAGGCAGAGGATGGGAACTCAAAACCGTTGTCACTCTAGTCGTAGATCTACTGTGTGTCTGTTCCTGTTTGTTTTGAAAAGCGTTGAACTACTTGAAAAGAGACAAATCGGCAAAAGCCAAGTACTGAGTCTGTACTCCCTCAACTTCCCTGTATACATGTAGCCGTGCAAGCGTGGTACGGTCGGAAACCATGGTTTCAGCCAATCAGCATCCGATCTGAGTGGGAAATTGGGAAACAGTACGAGGGTTTTCGAATGAGTCATACCGTACGCGAGCCGAGGGATTTTCCCTGGTTCCATTATGATACATCAATTTACATGTACATGTATCCACCATGATGTACCATGCAGGCCACTTTGCAGCAGGGAGTAGTACTACTCCCTGCTTTGCAGTATGCGGGTGCATAGCAACCCACTCATATGATCATGTCGGTTGCGCAGCCTACGCAGGTGTGACTTTTTCTTCGCCACTTATTATTGTCACTCCACCCCCATTACTCATTAGCCAACCCAGTCAATTTCACCGGCTACATGTATATCACCTTGCTGTAAGTAAGACCGCTTGATTATGTGCTTGGATCCGTACTGTATACAAAAACTGGATCCACGTGGATCCAGTTTTTGAATTTTTGAAATTGTTGCTATGCTGTGACATGGCACTTTCATTTTCAAGCCCTATTGTACTACTCCCTGATATCAAGAGTCCATAATCCCCTGGGGATTTTGTCTTGCTGATATCCACAGCACTGATATGACATGATTTGCGCCTACTGACTGGTAGATCTACGAACTAGCCTCACGGCTATGGAGTGCTGTAAAACATGTACCGGCAATCTGATCTGATCTGGTACATTTATTTTAGCCTCAAAATTTAGGTGTACTGGTACATGTACTATGACTAGTATGAGTCTATGAATAGTATGAAGAGTCCATAACCACAGGGTTATGGACTCTTGATAGTATATCTACTATTATCTAGTATGATATACATGTACATGATTGTATTGATAGGTTCAACATGTTTTCGACGTCGACAGCAGGATACAAGCCTAACAAGGCAAGGACGCACAGTGCTCCTGACCAGACTACAACCGTTACCCGGTGGGCAGAGTCCCGGTCTTACGACCATTTGAACCGTACGGGGAAAAAACCCCGGTTCGAACCCTTACATTTTCTGAGTAGGAGATCCCCTGGACAGGCCTAGAGCCTTTGGGTAATCCTTGAAATACAATAAATACTAATACAAATACATGTACAAAAACATCAACAACAGCAGTAGCTACTGCTGTTGTTGATGTACAACCAGAACAAGAACAAGAACACCATCACCACCACCACCACCACCAACAACAACACAATATCAGCCTGCAAAAACACAAAAAAATCCAAAGTCCACCACCACCCCCTAGAATAAAGAGGGTCCGAGCCGGGGTTTTTTTCCCATACGGTTCAAATACTATAAGTATACTCTTGCTGATATGGATAGTATCAAGAGTACATCACCATGGTTTTGATAGTATCAAGAAGCAATGAGGTAATGACTACTAGTAAGCTAATAACCATTGCTTCTTGATACTACTTCAGTATCAACCGACACTAGTCTTGTATGTCTTGGAAGAATTTCGACACGCTGCAGAAGTAATGTATGTTGCTAGACACGAATGAATAGCCTACTAAGTACTAGTATATTTTCTTTGCTAAGAGTCGTATCTTATACTTGAATTGAAGTAGAACTTCAAGCAGCAGTTTCAGCAGCAGTTTCAGAGGCATGAGCAGCTGTGTAAAAAAGTTGGTAAATTAAAAATAAAAGTTGGAGTTCACCATGACTGCCAGCATTTTCTAAATGGTATAACGTTCTATCTGGGCGTTCTGGGTGTTTGCACCTCTAGTAGTCCTAGTAACCATGGTAACCTGAGTAGAGAGACACTGTGCAGTGTGATAGAGCAGAGTGTGTAAGGGCGCTCAGTCGGTTCCACAGCATAACACAAGCAGCGACCATGTGTGCCGCACAGGAAGAGGCCATCAGAACCAGAGCACTAGTAGTAACTTACATGAAGATATCGGTAGTAAGGATTCGAAAAAAGTCATTGGCTCTGTTCAAGAAGCTGGTAATAGCAAGTATCATGGTCATTGCATGCTCAGCTGACTTTGCACAGCCAGTAACAGCCTGGTATCAACTATGTACTACTGCGGCAGTGTGTTGCTTGAGGTGGCACATACACACGCATGTAGGCACCCATACATGTGCACGTGTGTGCGCACGCGCACACACATACACACACACGCACGTACACACGCTCACACACACACACACACACACGCAGAGACGCGCACACACACACGTGCACACACGCAGAGACGCACACACACACACACACACACACATACGTGCACACACACACACACACGTGCACACACACTCGTACACTAAAATATAGTACTGATGGTGTACATGTAGCACAAGTGGTTAGTTTACTTATTACCACTTCTGCTGCTATCTGTTCCTTTTCGCCTCTCCTCTGCCTCGATGGCGTCTGTTTCCTTCTTCAGAGATTCTGCCTCAGTCTTAAACCTTTCTGACCACGTCTGTCCATCAACACGCTTGAACAGAACCTTCTGCAGAGCTACCATATTGGGGATCTTCACAGAGAGAAGCAAATAGGAAGCAAGCATTGGCTTTTACTTCAAACCTCTTCTAACTACATTGTTCACATCCACAGAGCAATCAGCACCGAATCAGCAGGTCATTCTACACTGTGCCCATTCACATGGCGCGCAGCAGGTACTAATACCAGATACTGAATCATATACCGCGGCCATAGATCAGACTGTCTGAAGATTACCCACACACATGCATTCACAAGTGCATGTTATGCCATCTGGATTCTTTCTTGGCATGGCTACATACCAGAGTATGACAGAACCTTCTTCTTGGTCCGGATGGCATTTTCTACCGTAATACTTCTAAAATGACTACTGCAGAAAAGTACGAAATAGTGGTAGTAACTCCGGTGATAGTTTTATACGAAAGCGTGAGCTCCCGTATGAGGAGCAACCAACTTTCCTACTGCAGAAAATAATACAATATTCATTGACATATTTATGTAGTCAGGCATATACCGTGAAGTACCGCCAGAGCGCCCCGTCTCGCGAGAGCGCCCCACCTTGACTTTACAGCAAGGGAAAACAAAAATCGCAAGGCAGAGTGCGACGACGTTTGTACGGTGTGAGAACCTTAGTGTACTAAGGTCACACGTAGCAGGTTTTTTTGTGTGGAGCTCGTGTCCAGTCGAAGGTAAATTGAGTACGGATTGGCTCCACAACGTGCAATACTGTATGTGCACAAGGTTCGTGTCGTATGACCTACAGACAGGAGATCACCTCCACAATACGACCACGAAAGGACGAGATGGCGGGGCGCTCTCACGGCACTTTACGGTAATTCTGTAACTGTCATGCGGGGGTCAGTGATCACCAGCACACCTACTTACCGGATAATTCTGGTCAAGATAAACGCCAGCTACGACGCCCACCTGTCCATGATAACACAGAACACAGCATACAATTACAAGAGACAACAGGATTAGACCAGAGAGTACGGCCGAGCCCATAGGACAGGATTAGACCAGAGAGTACGGCTGAGCCCATAGGACAGGATTAGACCAGAGAGTGCGGCTGAGCCCATAGGACAAGATGTGAAAGCTAGCACATGCGTGGAACATGAAGACTCAATCAAACGTGTAACTGTAATAGCTCTGGGCCAAACGGGATCCATTGTGACCATAGCAAAGTATGCAATCTGTTTGCTAAGCCCCCCATGTCCCATGCTGGTGTGACTTATTCCCTACCAACAGAGAGTCCTAGGCCAGGAGGACCTGAGCTAAGCCAGTCACTACTGGTAGACGCGGCACACTAATGACGTAATGTAAAGGAACCCAGCTCCAAATATCGTACCTGCTAGGCAATGTTCTGCATTTTTTTGGCAATATTTCCTGTAGAGCCAATTGAAAGTGTTTCCAATCGCAAGTTAGGAAATTTTCCCTACGTTCTTCTAGACTGGTGTGGACTGCGTACATGCATGTACATGTACTACATTGGCAACATGTTCATTCATGGTATTAGCACCCATACGGTTCAGATGGTCCCAACGGACCGGGGCTCTACCAACCGTGGATGGGTTGTAGTAAGGTCACTGCTTCCGAATACGGTGTCCTCCACCTTGTTTCATGCTGTCAAACCAACAACTTATGTTCATTCATGTGCTACACTGGCAACAGTTTCATTCATGACATCTACATAACGAATTATTTGCCATCAGCTTCGCCTTCAAAGAGTACACTAATTGTACTATAGTCACAAACACGCGCTATTGTAAAAGTATCAGAGTGCAGGCTGCTGACATAGCGGAACTCACCAGTGCTGATGCAAGTTTGCCAAACATCATGTACTGATCTTTTCACAGCTGATATATCCAACTAATATTGAAATTTGAACGAATAAGGGTAAATTGTACACCGCCCTTTGAAACACTCTTGGACACTTCACTCAGCTCAACCCGATAGAAGACGATGAGACTGCTGAAGTACCTCAATAAGTCAAAAGGAGTTTTGCAATCGAAAAAGACATCGACTTGATTCCGATTTGTTTGCTCGATTCATTTCAGCCTCATTTCAGGGAGTCCAACACATGCACACAACATGGTCTGACGTCATGGTACATGGTATGGCGCCAGTCTTTGCCGCAAAAATAAATCACGAAAAGTTAGAAAGGACAAGCTACAGCAAAAAAACTACGAGTTGCATGCATGCAATAATTCTCTTTCTGAAAATTAATTGGTTTGATATTCCAGTTGAGAATTAGGATGGATGTGCCTTTGACACACTGAGATATGTACTCGGTGGGTGCTGCTGTCCTGCGGCCCACGCTGGATGTGGTGCGGCACAATGCAGTGAGATCTGTATATGGTAAGTAATTATGGTTTATCCGCGCTGTTGCTCACTTCTACCTTCACCCTGGTAATCCGAAGGCCTTTGTTAGGATTGTAAAGTAAAATAACCCGCAGGCCTTTATAGTGGACTTAGTGTGGGAGAAATGTCCTCTGCTTTCTTAGGTAGCTGAGTCAGGAAAAAGATAAGTTGCCATGTAGAATGTGACCATGGTACTTACTCAAATGACTCCATTATTGTAATCATCGAAGGTGGCTTTAGAAATCTTCTTTTTATTGAGCTTCATAATTGTAATACGTGAGCCTCCCTTGCCCCCCCCCCCCCCCCCCCCAATGTATTGAGAGATCTCTATATAATTAGTTTATAAACTTAACTTGCAAACCAACTACTGACACACACACACACACACACACACACACACACACACACACACACACACACACACACACACACACACACACACACACACACACACACACACACACACACACAACTAGATAGTCTTGGTAAACATGGATGGTGCTATACTAGTACATGGTACAGTCGTCCCTCTCTAATCCGGCACTTTATAATCCAGCACCCTCGATAAACCAGCACAATTTTCAGTAGCCAAAATGTCCTCTTCATGCACATTGCAGCAGTAAATCAGATTTGTTAATCCAGCACCCTCCCTAATCCAGCAGATTTTCGTGGCACAAATGGTGCCGGATTATAGAGGGACCACTGTATATGCAAGCCTTGCTTGATAGTTTAACATGTACTAGTACATTGTACTACGATGACAGAATGTCACACGACGGGGGACGCACTGTATGGAAAACAATGTTCCTGACTGCAACCATAAACCGGTGAGCAGAGTCTCGGTCTTTTGATGATATGAACGCCATGAGCAGAAGTTGGCAAAAAGTGCGCAAACGCAACCAAATCCCCCCCCCCCCCCCCCAAAGCACACAGACAGGAATAAAAATGAAGAGCAAAGGCAGGCAACCACAGTCAGAGGATTGTGCCATTTTCCATTTACAACCAGATTTCAACTCACAAGAACTAATAATTGGGATCTCCTATGCCCCCCCCCCCCAGAACAAAGAGGGTCTGAACTAGGGGTGTGCACGGGTAGTCGAGTACCTGTGCTACCCGTGGGGACCTCGGGTAGTCGGGTACAGAATAGTACCCGAAGTCGCAGACGACATCATGTGCAGTGCATGTGTACAAATTCATGTAATACCCCGCATGTCCACCCAGTGTGTAAGGGAAGGGGTGCAGTGTGGTATTACCATGGAAACGTTACCCGATCGGGTACCTGTGCTACCCGTGGAAACCTACCCGAACCCGATACCCGAAGAAAACGCTACCCGACTCAGCACTATTCTGAACCAGGGCACAGCCCCATGCGGTTCATATGGTCGAAAGACCGAGACTCGATCAGCCGGTTTATGGTTGCAGTCAGGACCACTGTTTTCCATATAGTGTGTCCTCGGCTCCTCGGCCTTGTGACATACTGTAATCATAGTGCTACTTAGTACTAGTGTCATGTACCGTAGTGTGGTGTACTTCTTCTGTTCACTATCGTGATCCCTGACTGCGACTGGCCATGACTGGTCCTTGACCAGCGACCTGAAAATGACACTGCGCTGTCAGCTTTGCAATGTTTACAATGCTATAGCGCTAGTTCACTCTTTCTGCTAGCTGTTTGAAAAGATGAGATTTTTGTGTGACCAGATGAAAGCTATGCCGTGTCTGGAGTATTTTGTTAATATTAGGGGTGACGAATTCACCGAATATTCTAAAATTATTCGTTTGGCGAACAATTCGAATTATTAATTTTTGGTTTTCGACATGTTTGCATGTGGCAATACGGTTGTGCTCAGTGAAATCCGTCCCAAAATGCATACTCTAAGTATTTTCAGTGAGCGCAACTGTACCTTGTGGTGGTGCCATGTACTACGGCAGGCAGGGATCATATCAGGTATGTTTGTGCATGTGACAGTTTGCAACACAGCAGACCATCTGGTAAAAGGAGAGCGATTGCTCTCGCGCGCCTTCACTCTCCTTATTTTCATTTTGGGCGCACTTTTCATTGCGCGCCTTGAGAATTTCGAGCGCGTATCCGCATCACTATGAAGTGCATTCTGCAAACACTCAAATATTTCGGAACTCGGCTTTCCCTGAACGGAATTGAGTAATCGAAAGGTCTATTCGCATTAGAAAGTTCTCAGCTGTCGGCTCCAACAAATCGGAAGTCGATCCTAGGTCGAATAGTGGAGTTGCGGCACTCGTAAGGTATTTTACGTCCCGTTGCAAATTCTCACTTCCGCACTTGGGTGGCAATCATTATTATTCCCGTAGCTATGCAGAAGACGTTACTTCAGTAACGTCTGGCGCTAGCCAGGGTCCACACAGCTTTAATTTGGTGTTTGTTTGTGTGTTTGTTTGTTTGTGTCACGCCTGGCGCTATCCCGTATCTGACGGCAAAAAATCATAGGATGTTATAAATTTTTCAATTCCCCTATTTTTTCAGGCATATCCTGGGATTCGAACCCGCACTATCGCCCTACATGCATTCCCCCATACAATTCGCATTCATACCCATTCTTCCAAGTTGCTTCACGTTATGATCTTGCGTTTGAAAGCCCTATTTGAATATTGCGGGCAGCTGTATGTGGCCAGCTGTGTTTGATGGTACGGTACGGGAGACGGTGTCGTATTACCCTCGATCGTACCTGTCCCGTACCTATCCCTACCGTACCGTGCCATCAAAGACGGCTGGCCAAAATGCATATTCAAATAGGGCTTTCAAATGCAAGATCATAATGTGAAGCAACTTGGAAGAATTAGTATGAATGCGAAGTGTATCGGGGGGTGCATGCAGGGCGCGATAGTGCGGGTTCGAATCCCAGGTTATGTCTTTAAAAAAAAGGAATTTTTTAAAGAATTTATAACATCCCTATGCTTTTTTTTTTGTCTAGGTCATCAAGGCAAAAAAGCATAGCGTAGGGCCCTGAGCTTCCAAGCTCTCTCGTTTTGACATAAAGGATTTCCCGCTGTTGCGTGACAATCATGTCGACAGTCCGGGCATGCATAGACCTGTGTGACGTCAGGCAAAGGTCTTTAGCGGTCAGCTACAAAAGAAAGGAGCGCTCTACCATGAATACTACAAAAATACCATGGATCTTAGCGAATTGTCTCAATTTCCCGTTGCGCGTGTCTTCCCAGGGCTATACTCCCCTATAGTGCCACTGCAGTAGCACTCCAGCTGGTGAAAATCCCACTGGTGTGTTCCTCTTGCCAATAGCTTTCCAGAATGCCTGAGATTCATTGCAAAATTGATGAAGGGAAACTGAAGTTGTGGTCCGAACAGCTTCCATTTGTAGGGCGTACGGCAATTTTCCGGAATGAATTTGGCACCTATTGGATATTGAATCCGATTGGGGTATGGCAAGATGTTGAAAAACCCGTATTGTGATTTGTGCTCGCCTTGGGTAGATGAGGTGAGCGATTTTGGGGGGGGAGGGTGCTGGGGACTGCTCTCCCACCACTCTCCTTGAGAGGATAGCGAGAGTGATTGTTCACTCCCCTGGATTTTTCTTACACGAAGGTCTGCACAGGCATTTCCCCCATGCGCAAGCCACACCTTGATACAGTGCAGTAGAGTGCGATTGGTGTGTTGGGAAAGGGGACTATGACTCACAAGAGTAGTGAGAGTAGTGAGCAAGACAGAACTTGACTCTACCGCCCACCTGGTCTAGAACGACCTGGGAATAGCTGAACTCTGTAAGATTATGTATGTAGAGTATTCGATATTCGACTCATTCCGATTTAGAGTGTGCGTTTCACCCCTGTTTAATAAGCAATGTGGACGGACGCCTTGGCAGTTGGTGGTTTCTCACCAAAATGAAGAATTTTGAGGAGCATTGGACATTGTAACTGCATGGCCGGCCTCTGGGCTCGGCCTCATCTGCCATGATTCATGCTTTATAGGGGTTGTTTACCTGTTTGTTTTTGTTTTCCTTGTACTTGTGCATTGCTATTTTTTCATACACAGGTGTCCTAGCTAAGAAGGCAGCCAAGAAGGGACCGGGGTTTATGACTGAAGATGCTCTAGCTATCCGTGAAGCACGTAAAAAGAAGAAGGAGGATGCGGCAAACAAGAAGTACGATCCTGAATTCTTGATGACCGGGAAAGAGAAACGAGAACTTAAAGAGCTGGCGCAGTTGAAACAGCTCAAGCTGGATAAGGAGCAACGGCCCAAGTTCACCTACCCTGCAGAGATTATGACTGGCTACATTCCATTAGGACCAGACACAGACCACCAAGCCAGGCGAAAGCAACAGAGGAAGATAACCAAGCTGAAAAAGCAGGACAAGGCAATGGAGAGAGCACATCGGCGCCATTACTGTACGTGGTTATATGAAGAACTCTTAAAATGACATGTTCTGTGTTCTGTGTACTAGACATGATTTGCTGTGTCATGGCCGCGCTTGGCGGGTTTGTGACTTGGCTTAGATCAGTCTAGTGGCTACCCAGGTAGACGACCAATATAGTCGCCATCCAAGTTGCTAGCTCACATAGAACGACAGGTTTCTAATTCCACTTGAACAGTGTTTATTTGAACCATTGCAGTACTAGATCGAAAGATCAAGTGTGTAGAGTCAAAAGACCAAAGCAGGAGAGAGTCGGAGTGACTCTCTCAGAATCGAGAGGAGTAGTGAGCTCCCCGAGAATCGAGGATGAATGTTAGCAAAACAGCTCCTTATATATGCTACATTATGTGATCAAAAGTATACAGTGGCAAGAATGCGTAAGGATTATTTCTATATTACAAACAGTGGTGCAATATGTGCAATCAGCCAAACTAGAATATAGTACAAAGAATGATCAATCAATACGGGGAGCTTGCTCACCCACATTACATGAAAGGACTCCGAGGCTCTTCGTGCGACGGGGCCTGGAGTATGCTGTCGGAAGTTGCTGCAGCTAGAGCACGCCGCCTCCGTACGCTGCCTTGGTCGTTGGTCACCCTTCATCTCCTGCCCGTAGGCTCTTCCCTCTCATTACCCCGTAGGGCGCTGCACGGTCAAGCCGTGACCTCTCCCAAAAAGGGATAACGGAGTCCGCAGTGCGCGAAGCACTTGCAGGACCCTTTACGTCGTACGACGCGAGAAGAGGTGCCATGCTTGCTCGACTAACAAAGGTATCAGCTCCCTTGCAGGACTAAGCAGGGTCCCCTCAAGCTCAACAGTGTAGTGAGTACAATGCTGACGACTTGTACTGAAGGTGTAGCCGCCGTACGACAACACTTGTAACTCGAGGCCACGAGTTGTAAGCCATGATTGCTCAACTAACGAAAGTGCCAAATCCTTCGCGGGACTAATCATGGTTCTTACAGAACTCTAGAATATTTCGGAGCCCAGCTTTTGGCTGCTGAACTCAATGCATGGTCGCTTTCACGACGAGTCTGATCCGGGTCATGACAATTCCCCGGCCTCTCAAGAATCACGTCCCCGTGATCTCAACTAACATTAAAGTCAGCGAGTCGTGACGGTAACCGCCTAGCTCTCGTTGGCCAAGCCAACGGGTTCTGCACCGCAACAGGCACGGGCATAGAGTACGAAATGTGGCTCCACAGGCGGGACATTTCCATCAAAAAAATTTCCAACTTCAAAATGAAACTGGTACTGCTCCACTATCGTAGAGATGAGCCTGGTGCTGATGATCAACACGCAGCTTGTCATGTACAACTAAATGCACGTTGCAAATCTTCACGCAAAGCGTATACGTATGACAGTTCGCCATTTCGTGTCATCTCAGATGAATGTAGACCATAGGCCATAACGTGTGGTCGACACACCCTTCTACCACGTAGGTATCCGGTTCAGTACAAAAACTGCTGCAGAGCTCCAGGAGCCATTTCATAGATTTGGTGGTATCCAACGAATCGGTTCCACCCACACTCTACCCATTACAAAAGACCTTGGCGACCTCGCCAAGACTTCCACGGTAGGTTCATTGCTGCCAGCAAGAACAGACACAATGGCATACGCCTAGTAGCCTGTGCAACAGGACCACGATCACGTGTCTCAATTGTGTGGTGTAGCACCGAAGTGCGACCAAGCTCAAATGGGTTCAAAGCGAACGCATCTCGATACCGAAGCACTAAGGCTTGCAAGCAGTGGATCTCCTCGCAGGAGATACCAGATTGTCCCAGAGATGTCTCATTACCATCTCTTCCGACCCCCACTTCCGTGTGTTCCAGGTCCGAGTCCCAGCTCGTCCACACACCTAGGCTCCAGGATCGAGTCCAGCTCGTCCAACCTACAGGCTCCAGGGTCGAGTTCGTCCTCGCCCAACCTCAAAGGTTCCATGGATGAGTTCGTCCTCATCCAACCTTTCCGGGGGTCCACAACCGGACATCTTGCGCCAATGCGCAACTGCTTCCAGACCCCGAGAGAGTCCTCTGTCTCAGCTATTTGAACTGATTCCTCTCCCTGGCCATCAGCCAGAGTGTCTTCGGTCACGATGCTCATGACCTCAGATATTGGTTCTAACCGACCAATCTGCATTGCCCTCTCTAGAGCCACTGCCTCGTCAGAGTAATTCAACACCCGTACGGGAACACCATCCACCGTAGGGCTCACTAGCGCATGCGCCATCATGACATCATTCATTCCTTGAAAACACCCATCAGGTATCGTCAAGGCACAGGTCGGCAACCCTTCCGACGTGTCTAGCACGGCGTTAACCGTCACCTCCGAAAAGGGAGTATCACTTCACGCCTCCGCAAGCGAAGAACGTGCTCTCGTTTGCCATCACCATCATGGCTTGGCGGAACGACGTCAGCTTTAGAAGCTTTAAAATGCAATGCTCCACCACCCGAAGTGATCTCGCAAGGAATTGGGACAGCACATCGCGTCCAATGCCAGAACCAGTAACCAACATCATACTCAGTACGTGACGAAACACCACAGGGTGCGGACGTCGACAGATCCGACACCAAACAGGCATCGCCCAACACAGAAGTGCTGGTTTCAGGTGGGCATCAGCTCACTAGTGATTTCTATCACACTCCAATCAAAACATTCGAGATCCGCATCAACGAACTCAAATCAGCAGTTGTTCAAGCTCTCTGCAGAACTTGTTACTGTATCATCGTTTCAGCCAGCATCTCAACTGATGCGCCCAGTTTCGAAATCTGGCTTCGTGACTCCGTCACACGACAAGGACATAGTCCTCTTGACTGTTTTTTGAACCGTCAAAGTTCAAAAGAACAGCAACACTCCTCAACTGCAGCTGAGGGCAACGTAGAAGCTAAGCTTCATGCAGTCATCGATCCTGCCACTGCAAGACGACTCTAAAAGTCTAAAAGCATTTCGCTTCTCGAGCAGTTTCTGTGCAAGCGCTGACAAAACAGTAGAGTTTCCTCACTGCACGTCCTAGCAAGAACCTCTGTGGGTTCGAACAATGTGCCGTCTACACCGCAAATCGAGTGCAGCTGACACATATCTCAGACCAACAAGTGGTGCGGGAGTCGAACTCTCGTCGGCGGCATGACCGACTTTCGCCAGGTCTTCCGGAAAAAGTTGGCACGCCAACTAGTAGCAACAGCTACAAAACAGAACGAGTTCACGTTCCATGTGCACGCACTCAGACAGAGTGTTCAACTGAACGGACCAAGGCCAGAACAGAACAAAATAGTTCGCTTCCGAATCCACTTGAGAACTGCATGCAGCCTCGTGAAATCGACATCAAATTCACACCTCTGCGTGCTCGAGTAAACAAGAGCTCAGAGTTCAGCATGGACCAGTGCACACCGAGTTACGACTACTCTGCCGGAGCAACAGCAAGACGCAACTTGGATCCTGGTCACAGCACCAAATGTCATGGCCGCGCTTGGCGGGTTTGTGACTTGGCTTAGATCAGTCTAGTGGCTACCCAGGTAGACGACCAATATAGTCGCCATCCAAGTTGCTAGCTCACATAGAACGACAGGTTTCTAATTCCACTTGAACAGTGTTTATTTGAACCATTGCAGTACTAGATCGAAAGATCAAGTGTGTAGAGTCAAAAGACCAAAGCAGGAGAGAGTCGGAGTGACTCTCTCAGAATCGAGAGGAGTAGTGAGCTCCCCGAGAATCGAGGATGAATGTTAGCAAAACAGCTCCTTATATATGCTACATTATGTGATCAAAAGTATACAGTGGCAAGAATGCGTAAGGATTATTTCTATATTACAAACAGTGGTGCAATATGTGCAATCAGCCAAACTAGAATATAGTACAAAGAATGATCAATCAATACGGGGAGCTTGCTCACCCACATTACATGAAAGGACTCCGAGGCTCTTCGTGCGACGGGGCCTGGAGTATGCTGTCGGAAGTTGCTGCAGCTAGAGCACGCCGCCTCCGTACGCTGCCTTGGTCGTTGGTCACCCTTCATCTCCTGCCCGTAGGCTCTTCCCTCTCATTACCCCGTAGGGCGCTGCACGGTCAAGCCGTGACCTCTCCCAAAAAGGGATAACGGAGTCCGCAGTGCGCGAAGCACTTGCAGGACCCTTTACGTCGTACGACGCGAGAAGAGGTGCCATGCTTGCTCGACTAACAAAGGTATCAGCTCCCTTGCAGGACTAAGCAGGGTCCCCTCAAGCTCAACAGTGTAGTGAGTACAATGCTGACGACTTGTACTGAAGGTGTAGCCGCCGTACGACAACACTTGTAACTCGAGGCCACGAGTTGTAAGCCATGATTGCTCAACTAACGAAAGTGCCAAATCCTTCGCGGGACTAATCATGGTTCTTACAGAACTCTAGAATATTTCGGAGCCCAGCTTTTGGCTGCTGAACTCAATGCATGGTCGCTTTCACGACGAGTCTGATCCGGGTCATGACAGCTGTTAGTAGTCACCCATAGACACCGGTAGATCGCCCAGAGTGTGCAACTCCTGACACCCTTTCTATGTGGTTCGCCGATGGCGAAAACTCGCATCACGTGGTGTAGTTTCGTGGTTGTATGTTTCCAGCCCGTTTTTAGCGAGCAGCGGAGTAATAAAAAAAGCACTCTCTGACAGAAACTCCCTGCATGTATGCAAATCCCCAGCATGATCATGGCAGATATTTGGATTGCGCGCACGCTATCCTTCGTTTGTGCGTGGTACGAAACCTACCTGAAACACGTGATGTGAGTTTTCGCCGGCGGAGACCCCATATGCAGAGTTGCACTCTTGGGAGGCTAGATACCCTTGATATTACCAAGAGTACATAACCCCCAAGAGTGTGCAATTGCCTGCACAACCTCTATGCTGTGCTGCGACGGCAGAACTTCACATCACGTGATATAGTTCAAAAGGTTACGCTGGCAAACAGTGCAAAGTGACCACAAGAGAGTTGAGCCCAAAGCTGGGTTGTGTACAACCCTGTATCTATGGGTTGGTTCACATATCGCTGGGAGTGAACGGGAGTGGGCCTCTTGCAACCTCTCCCGGCGCATTACAATTATGTGAACCAGTGCAGTCGTAACAAAATCATACAGTAAAATGTCGCAAGGGACCGCCGGCAAAGTTGGACAGTGCCCAACTCTTGCGATCTGCCCCGGCACCGATCCCGTACGATTTTGACCAAAAGTGGTTTGTGAACCGTTTGCGCTGGTGATCGCCGGCTGCCGGAAGCCAGCCTTTGTCAAAATTTCTAACCAAGGCTCGTCCTAAATTTTCCTAAATTGAAGCTAGAGATGAGGTTCGTTCGCCATTCTTGTAATCGCTTCAAGGTGGCAAATAAGTCAGCATACCAACCCGTCCTTTTCGGATGATCTGCTTGAGTGCTGTGCAACTTATGAGACAAATACAATTGAAACAAGTAAAAAATACGACGGACACATTGGCAAGTTCTTGTGACTTCATCAACGTTTGCATGCATAATTTCGACACCATTGCTTACTAGACTGCAATAAAATGGGTAGAAGTAGTTTCCTGATCTCCAGTAAAAGGTAGCAACCAGTGGCCATCACCGAAAGACCTTGAACTACTGAAGAAACAAAGAATTCAAGCTTCAATTGGCAAACCTGTCGTAGCATTTGGACACATTCTGTACTACTTTGTAGTAGATTTGGTACTCGAACCGTATGCGCAACGTATCGGGAGCTGGCTCACCGCCGATTTTGCTTATGTGAACCAGCCCTATCATGCACAGAGTGCAAAAAATGTGTACGGGTTCATCACGTGATGTGAAGTTCTGCCGTCGCAGACCCCATAGCTGGAGTTGCACACTCTTGGGGGTTATGTACTCTTGATATTACGCGCATAACAATTTGAAATAGGCGGACCAATCAACATAATTATTCCTTTTTATGGCAATATCTAGCAGAGGATATGTAGAATGGTAGTAATGCTATGTGCTTGGAAACAGTTTGAGTTGACTGCATATAGCAAAAGCACATCAACCCCAAGAGTGTGCAGCTCCCCTATCCATGGTCTCCTGACAGAATTTCAATTTCAGGTACTACAACTTATAGTAGGTTATTTGACATCATTTGTTATTATGCACTGAGCAGTGTACACGTATAATTATGATCAGATATATCGTTGACTACAGTGCGTTTCAAAAATATAGACGCGTGATTTCAAAGAACCGTTAGGCCAGCATCTATGCCACATAAAATCTGTGATCACTTTGTGCATACAAATTTCGAAATTTGTCGTTTGTTATCTGATCGCAAGTCTATAATTATGAGAATAATTGGGGGAAGGACCTGAGCAATATTCCGAAAAAAAGCTCCAGGCAAATTTGAAATTATTTCAAATATACCATACGTCTATATTTTTTGAAATGGACTGTAGTGGTGGACAAATCCTCATTCGATCCAGTACAAACTAGAGCAAGGAAACACGTGTGTGTGTGTGTGTGTGTGTGTGTGTGTGTGTGTGTGTGTGTGTGTGTGACTTGTTGACACCCAGTACAGTACAGTCACTCATGCGAGGACCATTGCATCGTAAGAATGACGTCAACTAACTTGAAATTCTGTCGGGACAGCACAGCATTCGGAGTTGCACACTCTTGGGGGCTAGGTACTCTGTATATACTGTTACACAGGGCAAACTGCAAATGACTTGGATTGAGGATGAACACTGGCGCAGCTCTGGACTTGATACTAACAATCATGGCTGCACCCGTAACGTGGCATTCTTTTCTTTTCCTGTGTGTGTGTGTGTGTGTGTTTGTGTGTGCATGCGTGCGTGCGTGTGCGTGTGGCACGGTGTGTTTTCTGCTGGAATCTCAGTGGAGGTCCCGTTGCCTACATTGCATGCTAACTACATACAAGAGCCGGACGGCATGCGGGACCTGGCTCTAACAGCCATCCACTACAATGTGGCAAGTGATGTGCTGCGACAGAAGGGCTTACTGCTCACGACGCCATTGAACATTCGCTACAAAGACGGTGACTTTGTCCACCGCGGTAATATCGTTTCACCGGCGACGGTAAGCTCCAAGCCGCAGCCAGTATGAACAATCATGCGCTGCGACTATGCGTTTGGGTTGCCCGTAAAACTGTCCCCGGGGAAAATTGCGATTCCGCGGCCGCGTTTTTTTCCGCGTTTTTAGCGATTTTTTAAAAGACCGCGTTTCCGCGTTTTTCCCACGTTTTTTGAACTTTTTGGTGCACTACACGTACACACAGTGCACTGTTCGGTCAGCAACGTCTCATCGTGGCGGCTTTTTACTCAAATATGACGAGTGCTTACACCAGAGACTTGTAACTGATTGATTTTACTACATACTCACTGAAAAATGCCGCACATCAATATTATTCACCGCATATTTACCGCATATTTACCGCAAATTCACCGCAAATTATGCCATATTATGCCGCGTTTTTCCCCGCGTTTTTTTGCAATTTTTTCCGCAATTTTCCCCGGGGACAGGTAAAAGAGGCTGCTCCGTACTATGTGGGACTCATGTCAGACATCATGCACTGGGACTAGGTATGATTGTGTAATCCTGTACTTAGCCTCGCCTACCGTATTTTACCAGTTACAAGTCGATTTCCCGGTTCTGTGGAGTAAGGTGGCTACACCCCGGTTGTGAGGCCAGCTCCTAGCAATGCGCAAGTGCCGTGTGTGAGTGTGTGTGTGTGTGTGTGTGTGTGTGTGTGTGTGTGTGTGTGTGTGTGTGTGTGTGTGTGTGTGTGTGTGTGTGTGTGTGTGTGTGTGAATTGCTTCAAGGTACCAGTGCATCTAGGTCTGCTTCTATCAAAGCAGCGTGCTGTCTATACTGGTTACCCCAGCAAGTGTAGGGTGTGCATAGGTAACTGTCTTGGCCGTTTTATGCCGATGTACTCCGTGTGGTGTAGACCAGGTGTGCATTGGTGGTCGATTCACATGGCTTCGCCAGTTGTGTGGATTAGACAGTTATCTGGCGCAAGTCTTGATCTGTCTCATTCAGATCTTGTTCGCTATCGTTGCTATAACTACCGTATTTTCCGGAGTATAGTGCGCACTTTAGATGTGCTATTTTAGGCCCTAAATCGCAGGTGCGCACTATGCTCCGAATATGAAATGCATGTACTTCAATGAAGATTGAAGTGCGCACCCCCAATGAAGATTGGGGGTGCGCAATATACAAAGGTGCGCACTATACTCCGAAAAATACGGTATATATAAAAATAGAAAATCTGTGGGTGCACATCCAGTGCATTTGCAGATTTGCGTGCTTCTCTTGCGACGGGCGTATACATGGTACATGGTGTGTGTGCGTGTGTGCGTGTGTGCGTGTGTGTGTGTGTGTGTGTGTGTGTGTGTGTGTGTGTGTGTGTGTGTGTGTGACTGTGTGACTGTGTGTGAGTGAGTGACTGTGTGTGTGTGTGTGTCCCATATGGTGCAGTGGTATGTGCAGCGATTTCCAATCGATAGGTCGCGGGTTCGATTCACGACGATTATGCCACACACGTCTTTCTTCTCTTTCTCAGACTCCTCCTGACTTTTCTTTCATTCTCCTGGGTGGTTACCAACAGCCAGTGCAAGCCGGAGTATGTGATCACGGCTGTTCCGAGTGCGACATTTATCAATATGGCGGCGTACCGTAGCAACCCGCATCGCAACAGCTCGCGTACGCACAGCGTGCCGACACGTGCAGTCTTTCTGCACATTTTTCAAAGTTATCGAAGAAAGTTTTTGTTTTGGGGCGATGGATTCGTGCCTTGGAGAGGTCGTATGAGGCCATGCTGGAGGAGAATAAGTCTACCAAGACCTGGAAGCCTCCCTTCGGCGAAGTACTGAAGTTAGTATGTCCTGGAGTCAATACAGGAATTGTTTTCAAGACGATGCAGTGTAATAAATTCTAGTAATGTAGCCGGTGCATCATGCAATTAGTTGTGTTTGAAACTTCGGAACAAGAAGTGGGCACGTTTGCTTGACTCACTACCATCATGACGTGAACAGATGGAACCCCACTGCTCTTATTCTAGAACATGTTCTCCCCTGAGGACAGCTTACAGCCAGATTTCCGTGCATAAGAAAAGAGCACAAATAAATCGTTAGACTGATTGCAATTCATTTTGGAGAAGGAGAAGGATAGAATTCGATCGTCCGCTACACTCTCAACGCAAAGTTGATGACATAGCAGCTACATGTACGTCTCTTCATGCGTGTGCTCTTCACCTTGGGATCAATGTGAGGATTTTAGGATTGCTCGAAATCAGATTCTGTATACCGTATTATCTCTAATATAAGCACAGTCTCCAATAATAGCACGTCTCCAATAATAGAACACCTTGGGGCAGCATTCAAAAAATAAAGTGCTCAGTCTCCATTATAAGCACACTGTGTAAATTCATTATCTGTACCAGCGAAAAAACCCTGAAATGTGTGTGTCATACATAAATTTGGCATGGCAACATGCCTCTGAAATGAGGTTGAAATAATAATGGAACAGTCTCCAATAAAGGAACGTCTCCATTAATAGCACGGGGCGGAGGTACATTGAAAAAATAAAGGACCGTGCTTATATTAGAGATAATACGGTACTATTGGACAGCAGTTTCTGCATTGCACATGCTCCACAGTACTCATCGGCAAGGATGTTGAATTTGCGTGTAACCCTTCACCACCCTACTCTCCATACTATTCCAGATCAGCACTAACTGAACTTTGAAGTGTTTCATTTCCAGTAGAATGTGCTCCTCTAGTAAGTGCGGCATTGGAGGCGGTGATATTTATTGCCACAGTTGCACTGCTGATCTTCGTCATGAAAGAAGCAATGGATGATGATCAAGTCAACCAGTGGGCTTGCAGTGATAAGCAAAGTACCACAATACATCATCAGGTGTCATAGCATGGCGGAGTTGGTTGCCCGCAACGCTTCCAGTTGGAGACTGGAAGATATCCTCTATTTGCGCTCCAACTTTTAAAGCACATGGACCTGCTATAGGTGTTATTCTTCTATCAATGCTTGTTTCAAGTTACAGAATTATTTAGCTTCTTACAGCTTTGATTTAATTCGCCGTATTGTAATTAAAGAAGAGGTTGATGCGACTTCGGCGATACTTGGGGAATTGTGTGTTGCTCCCTACGTGGGGGCTTGCGCTATTCCTGCCGACTTGAATTCTCACTTGACCGACTTGTTATTTTAAAATGAATTCATGGACATCTGTCAATTCAGCAGGTGAACTGCATTGCCATCAAGCCCTGAGCCAGCTCCATAGGAATGGCACGGTCATGAAGATGCGTGATGCTGTGTAACCTTATTCGCATCAGAATAATAACCTGGTTGTTTCGGCTTCACACTCCGGTAGCAACAGATACTCTGCATAATGCAGCTTGTACAGTTGTCCTCACTAAAGAAGAAAGCAGTTTAGGAGGGACTCTAGTGAGGAGTGTGCGAGGATAGCCTATTAGTGTTCTACATAATCATTTGCATATTGAACATGTTACATGTAATTATCATGAACGCCGAGAGTGGTAACACCGGGTACGGCCATCACCAGCGGCTGCGGCCCTGTCCTGAGTGCCATGCTGTGCTTAGTGCTGATGTAGTGCAAGATATATAAGCTGCATTATGGTTGTCGTTTGTTGTTGTTCAATTACTTGAAGTATTTCAGTATGGTCTTTACGCATGCAAGTGTGTGCTTTTCAACAGGATCGTCGAAAGACTACATTGTGCGTGGCCTAAATCTGCAGTACCACTAGTAATACAAAAAACCCATGCCTATGTGTGTACATGTAAGGCCTCGGACAGATGGGGAATCTTGCATCTCTGACATTTAAAATCTCTACACAATGTCCTGTTTCTACATACATTTCGAAAGCATGAATTTCAAAAAATGTTCATTGGATGCATGTCTGATTCGTACTTGCTAACATCCAGAACGAAGCATGCACGGATCCCTCCTATGGCGGACGAAACCGGGGTCTTCGTTAGACATTGATGCAGGAGAACACACCTCCACTCGTCCTGCATATATCAGCAAACACTTGCAATTGACGTCCAAGTACGCCACGCAAATCGACTTGGGCACGAAAACGATAATCTGGGCGGCAATGAAAATATAACTACGACGTAGGAAAAGGACAAACCTTTCAATGAAAATTGGAGTGAAGGCTGCCAAAAATTCTGCACCCCTTAGGAGGAAGCCTCGAATGTGAGCCAATTCTGATAAACGCCAATGGCCGGCACGGCGAGGAAGAACGAAACGAAAAAGATCGTAACTTCACTTTCCCATTGCGCATTTTGACGATCAAAATATCTGCTTGCGCAGCTTGAAGGCAGGAAGGTGAATTCGCTTAGACTTCGCGAATCCAGCGTAGAAAACGGCTGGAATCGACAGAAACATAGGCGAAACCTTGCCGAATATTTCCAGAGATTTGAAAAAGGCAGCGAGGTCGCGTACGACAGCATCATGGATCACTGGGGCGACGGGAAAATGTCGTACCGTACATAATGTCGCTGGATTATGCATGCATAACAGCCGTGTGATGTGATGCGTGTGCGTGAAAAAAAATTAAAAAAATTAAAAAGACCACAAAGTAGGGATTCACTGGCCAGAAAAGCCACTTCATAGCTGTGTGGTGTAGACCAGGCTGAATAGTGGCGGTCAATTCTTCAGCCTTGCAAGCTGTTGAATGGTGCAATCCCAGCACATGGCTTCTGCTGTAGCATCGCTATCATTGCCTCCGGCGATGGGCGTCTAATGGTCCAATGGTGTGTGTGTGTGTGTGTGTGTGTGTGTGTGTGTGTGTGTGTGTGTGTGTGTGTGTGTGTGTGTGTGTGTGTGTGTGTGTGTGTGTGTGTGTGTGTGTGTGTGTGTGTGTGTGTGCCAGCTAGTTCAGTTGGTAGGTACACTTATGCCTGATTGTGTTGGGTCTGTTGCCAACAGGCTCGGCTGCTTGAAGGTGTAATGTTGTACCTGCCACCTTTGTTGGTTTAGCCACTCACCATGCTCACACCAAGAGTATTATAACCCCCCAAGAGTGTGCAACGGCAAAAACTCACGTCACGTGTCTCAGATAAGTTCGTACTATGTACAAACGAAGAATTAGCGTGCGCGCAATCCGAACATCTGCCATGATCATGCTGGGGATTTGCATACCCGCGGTAAGTTTCTGCCAGTGAGTGCTTTTTTGATTACTCTGCTGCTCGCTAAAAACGGGCTGGAAACGTACAACTGCGACACTGCACCACGTGATGTGAGTTTTCGCCGTTGGCGTACCCCATAGAAATGGTATCAGGAGTTGCACACTCTTGGGGGGGGGGGGGGGGGGGGGGAGGTTCTATACTCTTGCTCACACTAGTAGCAAGTATTACCTTCACTGGGGCAGGGGTAACTGCAGTTAGATCCCGGGACGGATGCCCTGATGCCGTCAATCCTTTTTCTGCACCTTGTCCTCACCCACTTACTGAGGTGTGGTGAGCCCATAAGTGGGATCATTTTCAAGTCCACCCAGAGTTTTGGGGGTTTCAGGGGGTGTCGGCCGTTGGGCGGTCCACTAACCAATTGAGTCATCTTTCCAAGATTCATTTTGAGTCTCTCTCCCCTCTCGCAGGGGGGGGGGGGGGGGGACTCACGTGACCAGTTTTGGCAGTGAGCAACAAGTACAGTACAGTGTGTGCGTGTGTGTGTGTGTGTGTGTGTGTGTGTGTGTGTGTGTGTGTGTGCGCGTGTCCGAGTGTGTGCATGCATGAATGGCTGAATATGTGTGTATTCATGTTGTGGTACTCATTCTTCAGGCTCAGACTCGACCGTCAATGTTCTATAAGCCTGGTAGTGATGACACACTGTATACCATGATCATGACAACACCAGGTGAGCTCCGCCGCGCATCTTACTTAGCTGCTACATTCCAATGCTCCTCAAGTACCATCTTCTGGGAAGCCCATGTCAGTTTTGGACTGCCTGGAGAAGTTACTTCTCCTTACCAGTGTCTATTCTAGTGTGTACATGTACCAGGAATAATTCTTATTTCCTGCCTTTTTGTCGCGGATAGCTACTGCGGTGTGCAGTTTCGTGGGGTTTTGTAAATGCCTACTAACTACAGTAAAACCTGTAATGGCGATCACTCGGATATGGCGACCACTCGACCATGGGGACCACTTTTCCTTGTCATATACACGTTCACATTCAAAATAGCTCGGACAAGGCGACCACTCGCTCAACGCGACCGACGGCCACCCGACCGCGCTGCACCCTGCTAGTACATGTACATGTACCATGCATTGCACTATGCACCATGCATGCTAGATCTACTATGCATGGTGCACCATGCATAGTAGATCTACGCGTCAGTGCAGGAAGTGTAGATGTATGTACCGTATTTGCTGGTGTATAGTGCGCAGCTTGAGCAGTGAATTTTGAAGCTCGAATCTGTAGTGCGCACTCTACACCGAATACGAGAATCTAGTACAAAAGTGCCAGAGTTCAAGAGTTCAAGTGCCCACTATACACGTAATGCACTGTATCGTACGGAGCGAGTGCTCAGGTTCATCGACGTTCGAGAAACATCCACGGAAAAACGATGTTGTTTTCATGTTCACAGTTCGTAATTCCATCAATTTCATAGTCATAGTCTGACTTACCGGAACATATTCTTAAGTTTCACCATCCTTTGGCGAGATCAATTTCAGAACCAAATATCCCCGATTTGACTGCGCATAATAGCACATTAGAGCTTGCGGTAATGTAGGTTAACACATTGCACAAGCCACCACTTCACACGCGCTCCAGTACAGCGGCTTCCAAAGAGCCCGCAGATCCCACGCTATTCATTGATGCATGTCAAGTAACACGTACATGCACGCTGTGGTGGCATGTAACATGCGTACGCAGGAACTCACCTGAACTCGCCAGCCAACCAGCCATATGCGGCTGCAGCACACATCGGAGCTTGAACCCGTAACGCATACACCATACTTCGCGCTGGCCGTATTGCTACTTCATATTTGCTTTGCTTGGGTAGTGAGAAGAACACCGGTTTGTTCCTTTCTCACCCACCCACCTCTTCCCATCTATGAATAATATTGATATCCTTGATTCAACACAGGTATCATAATTCATACAAAACGAAAATAAATAGGAATGCTGGGCCAGCTATCTCCTCTCATCTGGCAATTATCACGGCCTTCGGCCATCACACTCATACTCCCACACTCCTGCCTCCTAACGGGCATTGCACTTCGTGCGTGGGCCGTCCACACTCCGTCCATTTCATGGGCGCCCATCTCATGGGCTGCACTTTGTGCGTGGACATACATACACACTATCATACAGGCCGTCCACACTCCGCCCAGTTCATGGGTGCCCATTTCATGGGCTGCACCTCGTGTGCGTGGGCCGTCCACACTCCGTCCATTTCATGGGCGCCCATCTCATGGGCTGCACTTTGTGCGTGGACATACATACACACTATCATACAGGCCGTCCACACTCCGCCCAGTTCGTGGGTGCCCATTTCATGGGCTGCACCTCGTGCGTGGACTATCCTACATGATTATCACATGCCAGATTCGGTTGCCCAGCACTCCATGAATCCTCCATATGATGTGTGCTCTCCACTGGTCTGCAATAGCGAGTGCATGCGTGTTAATACACCGAATAGAGCCATTTTGTGTGAATTTGTGGTTGAAGATTGGGGGTGCGCGTTATACAAAGGTGTGCGTTATACTCCGTCAAATACAGTACATGGTGCATGCAAGACACTTTTAACAGGTCTGAGGCCCCAAGCACATGAGTCGTGCTATAGTAGCATACAATGTACTTCGAAGTAGGTGTGTGCAGTGTGATACACTGATCAAAATGATATATCATAATAATGGTCACGTGACCCACTGAACCTGGATAGGAAGACCACCTGGCCAAGGTGACTACTTTTTCTTGTCCCTTGAGTGGTCGCCTTAGACAGGTTAACTTGGCATATGCTCGCAGATTTTATCAATTTTTATGGCATAATGTGTGACCGGAAAAACAAACAAAGGTGACAATGTGAGCCAGAAATTGTTAGCGTTAGCTGCATCCGCACCGCTAGTGTCAACTGTGCTGACATCCGCAACACAGGGCAGAGGTAGCCTGCACAATATCCCTGTGCTATGCCGTGTCCACCACTGTGTGTGTGGGTGGGTTTGTGAGTGTGTGTGTGGGGGGGGGGGGGGGGGGGATGTTATCACGCAACCTGTCTCCAGCAGTCTGTGCCGATCTAACATGAAACGTACCAGCAACAGGCAAGCGAACACGGACCAGGCCTGCAACGGATCCACTGGAGCTACAGACGCTACCTTTGTCCCAAACACGTGAGACAGCGACATCTAGTGCTGCTAGCCCCATTGTACACTTCACTGCCTGACGCAACAACAAGTCACACATTCAATACCATTGTGCGCAATCACCATGCTGGCATTAACATGTTCAATTTCACCAGGCGATAGCAGATATATAGCACTGGAGCTTGCCATCAGTGGATTAAAAACAGCACCCAGAGGTATAGCTGCACATTACATCAGGACACACTACTTTATTTTATGGGTCTTTCTGTACCTGACAGTTGTGATGAAACTCCTAATCGTACTCACAAGTAAACACCTCCTCTTTTCACCGCCTACAGTTTGTTGAGCTGCATAGCTAGAATTGAGTCTTCAAAGTTCATTTCGTATAATTCTTTACAATAATTATGTGACTCATGAGACTCTGCTTTTTGTTGTTGTTACACGGCTGCCCAGATGGAAACATCTTTGCTTACCGGGAAGAGGTGTTGCACTGGATGGCGTAAGTCGTGCTTTCAACAGTGTTGGGGGGGGGGGGGGGGAGAGAGAGTTCTCATGAAATAGACCATATTCTCCGCGTTCAACGCTGCTCTTTTTTCACGGAAAACGAAGCCATGACTTCCCCCATGGGGGGCTTATGCCCCAAACGCTCATTTTCATGCAAATACGAACCAAAATAAGACATTTTGCTTCGGAGAATGGGATGCGGCTTGAACACCGCTGCAGATTTTTTTTAATTCACGGTTCGCGTCAGATTCGGCTAGAGGCCGAGTTTTCCGCATCCGAGGAACGTCACCACCCTTCAAGGATCAAGGCGCAGATGCAGAATGGGATTTTCGGTCTTTGACCACTTGCTGGTGAGCTGATCTACTCACCTCCCACCGCTGCAGATTGAACCCTGGAAAATACAGTGGGTGACATTTTGTAAAAAGGAAAGGGACATATGGATACGAGTTAACCCTTTACCATCCGTGCGTACTTGAATCGATCTCTAGAGATCGATGCACATGCATACACTAAAACATTCGTAACTCAATTGATACTTGGCGGAATTTAAACAAATAAGTATCTAGGAAGAACCCGAAAAGCCCAGCTTTCCATTGCGTCAATCGGTGAAGAGCTACGATGCCGCATTCCAAAGATATTGCGCTCGACATTTCAGCCACGGTAAAAGTCAAATAATTAATTTCTTTCCCAGTGACTGACCTTGAGCGGGGAATTTCCCCTCTCCTGACATGCTGAGCCACTTTGGCATGCTTTGAGCACGTGGACAGCATGAAAAGAAACTCAAGCAAACATTTGGACTGTTTACGATGAAGGAGCTAGAAATGGCTGGCGAGGAGAGAACTTCCTCGTATATCCAGCGATGGGGTGTATTTGAAGCTCCCTGGCACTGGATATGTGATCCCGGTAGTGTCCTGTTTGAGCTCAATGTACGCAGCTCGTGGAGAGCTTTCCAGGATGCTCAAGATTGTGAAAATTGGTTGATTAGAACCAAAGATATTCTCAGAATAAGGTGAAAAATATTGCATTTGGGACTGCTGAGGAATTTTGGTTGGATGGTAAAGGGTTAAAGGGGCACTCCGGCTTCATTTTTGACGCCGAGTTTTCGATGCCAAGACGAAGGTTGGTGAAAGAGAAGACCCCTCGAACAAGAACGAGTCTCCAGAAGCGATCGAGTCGAGCAGGAAGACGACTTTTGAATTTCGCCGAGCGAGCGCTGATGACGTAATGAGGGATTAGCTTGCCAGTGGAAATGCATCTGCGCCCATACATTTCACATATTTTTTGGCCAATTTTCAATCGAAGAGGAGGTTGTTTTCTATGTTCTTTCAACGTCGTGAGCGATTCCGTCTTCTATACCCTTCCAGGTATCCTGAAGGTCCTCCAGAGGAGAATTTATCTCCAGCAAAGCGTTGTTGATCCGCTAAATTCGTCTCGAGACATATTCAACCAGTGCAGTGCTGATAAAAGTAGAATATTGAATCTGTGATAATTGTCGATGATGGAGAGAGAGGTTGATAGCCGCTGTCGCAGGGAAAGTGAAGCAGCTGGAAGTAACGACGGGGAGCTTGTTAGCATCACATGAGCATCCAGACTTCAAAGCAGCTTGACGGAATCGGGGAGTACTGACTATTTGTCTCGCCCTCAGTTTAGTGAATTTTATGACCAGAAATGATTCGATCAGGATCCCTTCTACAAGATGTGTAGTGTAGTACAGGTGATTTCTGAACTTGACGATGTGGAGACGGACCAGTAGACCTACCAACAACGTGTACCTGCAGGAAATTCACACAAGGCTATTTCTATCCTCTTCAGTGGCTGTTGTTTTTTAGTAAAAATATGTTCACTTCTCTCAACACACTCCTGCATGGCAGCAAGAAGGTGCGCTGTGGAATTCAACGCCACAATCTTCGCCCAGCTGTGGATGAAGCATGATCAAGTCATGGCAGTACATATACTTGAAACAGATGAGAAATTGAAGTTCATTTGTGATGGGAAGTTTGACAGCCCCAGTGACCGAGTCGAGCGTTGTCTTTTGCCGTGGCACAAATTGCTGAAGAATCCGAGATGGTCTTGGAATTATGCACATGGATACTACCAGAAATAATGGTGGCATGAACCATTGTGGAATGGGACAGCTCACGGAGAATACTGGAATAGCTCAAGTATCTCTAGGTGATTGTAAATCCTGTTCTGGCTGATAGCTTCGGCCTGCTGCGCCCGTCCATGTACAATGATGGTAACATGCATTTCTGTTTTCTACATACATGTATTTGCCGGCTACTATACTGTGGTATTACAGTTGCAGGTCTCTTATATAGAAATATGTTCACCCCCCCCCCCCCCCCCCCTACATACCCACATTATAAATATGAACTAACAATTTCACTGTTGGACTCGCCGGCAGCTAGAGAGCAAAGGATTAATTTATTGCAAAGAAAAGGACGAGGGAACTACAAGTTACGCTATAATGTCCACGAACAATTTCACTGTATTTGAAATAATTTTGTTTGATACCCTGAGAACTCTGAAACTGTGCAGCACTGTGGATTATGTGGATACAACATTTATGGAAGGAAAAGTGGAATAATTTCTAACACATTGTTCAAATAATTATAGCACTGGATTGTTGAGATTATGAGCACATTCCAATCAGCACTCTACATATTTATAAGCGGTGGCAATCGTTAGGAATAGGTCGGGAGTTGTCAGAGTGCTCTAGTATTATGAGAGAATGTTTTGTTTGTCTAATCGACGGCTCGTTTGAAGCCAGAGTTGTTTGAACTTGTTTCAGTCGACTTGATTCTAGACAGTAGTCGAAGGAGTACTATGAAGTATACACCAGACGTAGTCCGTAAGGTATCTCGTGAGAATTCTGTCGGTACACATCAGGTGTCAGCTTGCAAAGATGGCTCCTCTCTGTTTCTTGAAAGCCGGTCTAGTTGGACTGTGGCTCCAGCGATTCCCTTCTCAGAGCAGATACCATACCCATGCATATTGGACAGACCTGTGTGCACAACAGAAATAGTGGAGAGAAATCTCTCAGCTCATAAACACATCAGTGAAGTTTGAACTGCCGTTGTTTGTGGCCATCAGTATAAACCTATCGACTATAAGAATAATGAGCAAAAAACCTCTATAACTACAGCTAGGGCCATGGAATTATAAAGCATCTAACTTAGGGAACTGCCAATTCTGGTCTGAGTTGCGTTCGAGGCCTGCAATTCATGATGGCTATCGTATGTTGCATTGACCAGAGATCATATAAAACTTCCAAATGCCACATTGAAACACGCACCACTTTCGAGTACTGTGGTATCCCCCACCAAATGGGCATTCGTTCCCGGGGTGACAGGCGTCACCATTCGTTATGCCTGGATCAGATTTCATTGACCCCAACTGTCATGAAGAATCATTTTACTTTGACTGGATTTCAGTACAAGTTGTAGAACTGCACAATCAATTTTGTTGTATTGGGGCAACCATTTCTCTACAAACGCTCTATTTGGAAAATAGAATTTTTTTATAAAATGCATATCCAAATTCCACATCTACCCAAATCGGAATACTTGATCACGTATTCAGTACTACACGGAACGGTTAGAAAACGCCAGGGAATAGGAATTTGCTAACGACAACTCCAGGCCAGGGTACTAGCATACGAACAAAACAAGATAAAAACTCACCAGTATACTTGTAATTGTAGTAATTCATGTCGGTGTAATATTCACGATAAGCAACGAGGCACCCTCCGATTTGGTCAAGCTGCTTTGAAGTCTGGTTGTTCAGGTGATACAAACGGGCTCCCCGTTGTTACTTCCAGCAGCTTCACTCTCCCTGCGACAGCGGCTATCAGCCTCTCTCTCTCCATTGTCGACAATTATCACAGATTCAACATTCTACATTTATCAGCACTGCACTGGGTGAATATGTCTCGAGACGAATTTAGCGGATCAACAACGCTTTGCTGAAGATAAATTCTCCTCTGGAGGACCTTCAGGGTACCTGGAAGGGTATAGAAGACGGAATCGCTCACGACGTTGAAAGAACATAGAAAACAACCTCCTCTTCGATTGAAAATTGGCCAAAAAGTGTGTGAAATGTATGTGCGCAGATGCATTTCCACTGGCAAGCTAATCCCTCATTACGTCATCAGTGCTCGCTCGGCGAAATTCAAAAGTCGTCTTCCTGCTCGACTCGATCGCTTCTGGAGACTCGTTCTTGTTCGAGGGGTCTTCTCTTTCACCTACCTTCGTCTTGGCATCGAAAACTCGGCGTCAAAAATGAAGCCGGAGTGCCCCTTTAAGAATAACTGTCCTCCATTTTAACTACAGTAAAACCTGTGACTACCGCCCACCCCTTGGTGCCAGCAAAAGCGGTCTTTAGTAGCAGGTGGTCTTTAGTTAGAGGTTTGCACCACGTGACCATATGTGGATCCCATTATAATGATATGTATGTCGAAATGCAGCTAATACAATTCCCCAGGACTTGCGTAATGTCATTCTTATTTCAGGTCAAACAACACTTGGAGAGAAAGACGGAGAGATGGGGAGAGAGACAGAGACAGACAGACAGAGAGAGAGAGAGAGAGAGAGAGAGAGAGAGAGAGAGAGAGAGAGAGAGAGAGAGAGAGAGAGAGAGAGAGAGAGAGAGAGAGAGAGAGAGAGAGAGAGAGAGAGAGAGAAGATTAATTTTTTGCAGACTTCAAATTCAGCTGCTACTTCTGAAGCCAGGAGTCAAACGTTCCCTGGGGAAGTTTCGTTTTGCGCTGGGCTTCAAATTCGTTCATGCGATCAATCGTACCGACTGTCCTTGTTGTGACTTCTCGATTGCTTGAACGCGATCCTTCAGCACCAGGACCTTGTGGTGCTGCTTTGTTTCTGGATTCCTTGATACCATCGTCGATCCGTCTGTATGACTGGGGTGACAGAGCCGCCCAGTCTTCGTTTCTCCTCCGAATAGTAACATCGATCAGAGAGCGCTTTCGATGCGCTCTCCAAGACGTTTCCTATCATGCTTTTTCTTGACAGCGCTTGAAATTTTGACAGGTGTAGTGCAGTCCACACCGACTCCACAGCCAAAATTACCTGCGTTCATTTGTTCAGCTGTAGTATCGAAAGATTCCTTTCAGGACCATGGAAAATCAGTAAAATTTCAAGAAGGAGCTTCGAGCAACATTTGATTTCCTACATCGCGGTCGCTAGTTACGGGTCAAAAATTGTCTTTGGGACAGGAAAAGGCGGTCGCTGGTCGCGTTCAGCAGGTAGTCGCTGGTCACAGTGCATTTTGAATGTGAGACCTTCCGTGCCTGGCCAAGTGGTCGGTAGTAGCAGGCTGGTCGCTAGTCACGGTGCCGGTCGGTAGTAGCAGGCTGGTCGCTAGTCACGGTGCCGGTCTTTACTTACAGTTGTTTTACTGTACATACTATTATACGGTCAGAAAGTGCAACAACTAGGAACTAAACTGACAGAGTACTGAGACATTCAACGACCTGACACCTAGCTTCAACACATCTCCGAAGTGCTAACCAACAGCCTTCCAACTCGGAAGGTTCTAGGTTAAGGAGAGACCAAAGAGGGGAAGGTGAAGGCAACTAGTTACAGCGATGGACAATTACTCTTAACTCGTTCCCGTAGCTATGCAGAAGACGTTACTACTTCAGTAACGTCTGGCGCTAGCCAGGGTCCACACAGCTTTAATTTGGTGTTTGTGTGTTTCTGTGTTTGTTTGTTTGTTTGTGTCACGCCTGGCGCTATCCGTATCTGACGGCAAAAAAGCATAGGATGTTATAAATTTTTCAATTCTCCTATTTTTTTCAGGCATATCCTGGGATTCGAACCCGCACTATCGCCCTACATGCATTCTCCCATACACTTCGCATTCATACCCATTCTTCCAAGTTGCTTCACGTTATTATCTTGCGTTTGAAAGCCCTATTTGAATATTGCGGGCAGCTGTATGTGGCCAGCTGTGTTTGATGGTACGGTACGGGAGACGGTGTCGTATTACCCTCGATCGTACCTGTCCCGTACCTATCCCCTACCGTACCGTGCCGTCAAAGACGGCTGGCCACAATGCATATTCAAATAGGGCTTTCAAATGCAAGATCACAATGTGAAACAACTTGGAAGAATTAGTATGTATGCGAAGTGTATCGGGGGATGCATGCAGGGAGCGCGATAGTGCGGGTTCGAATCCCAGGTTATGTCTTAAAAAAAAAGGATTTTTTTAAAGAATTTATAACATCCCTATGCTTTTTTTTTGTCTAGGTCATCAAGGCAAAAAAGCATAGCGTAGGGCCCTGAGCTTCCAAGCTCTCTCGTATCCATATCATGTTCCTTTCCTTTTACATTTATCATTGGCTCAACAACATCCGAGTTTCATGCTGCCATTATGAAGGTTACTTTTCTTTTTTTCCCAGGAAAGATTAATTTCGGGACTGTTCAAGAATGTACTTGAACCTGTAGTCTACATTTACTTGTAAATAAAATTAAACAACAAAAATGAATAATCCTTTAGACCTCGTAGTGATTTCCATGACAGTTGAGAGTGTTGGGAACAGTTTATTTTGAAGTACACTAACAAGCACAGACCAGACATGCAAAAAGAACGTGTCGCACCACTCACATTCTTTCTGTGACGCTCACAGTAATTGTTCCTTTTCCTTTTGTGTCTGCGTTAATTTCTCATGTTCGCAGTTTACACCAGATTGTTATAAGCACCTTTATCGTTGTTGTTACCTGCACACCCCCCCCCCCCCCCCCCGACATGAAACATGAATGAATTATCTGTTTCGGGAAACATTGCTTAAGCGTCGGCCGAGTTTCCTTTTTATGTCCACTTTCCAGGTGCATTTTAAGTACACTTGTGATGTGTATGACATCTACTGACCGCAGCATATCTGCTCGAAATGAGTACAACAATAGTGTTGTAACTGCCGTTACGTTAGAGATCGGGCATTTCTACATGTACCGTTAAACTTATGAATAACAATCTCGGGTACCGTAAAAGCCCGTGTATAGGCCCCGGGCATATAAAATAGCAGCCTCGATTTCCTGGGCGTATACAAGGGCACGGGCGTTATTTTGGAATAGGGATAGCAGTAAGTATTGGGTATCAGTACCTGTACATGTACTGATGGTTCCGGCATACCTGGGCATGGGCGCTATTTTGAAACAAAAGTGTTGACTTCCCCTGACTGGGCGTGTACACGGAGGGTGGGCGTATTTTCAAGTGGGCGTATACAGGGGCTTTTACGGTACAACTCGCAAATAGCGACACAATTTTCAGACCTACTAACCGTTTGACTGCATACTTCCAAGCAGGGGGTAGTACTACCGGTATTGTACTACTCCCTGCTTCCAACCTCGCGAGTAACCACAACCTGCGAGTAACGGCACTTTCCTCATGCACGATCGAGGGTCATTATTCCCCGTACACAGAAAAATACTTCAGTCAGCATTGGAAAACCTAGCTGGTTGGATTATCAGGAGAGAAAGACAGCACATGTATTCCACCCTGTGCTACAGTAGCTGTGCGTGTGTACATGATTGTATTCCACACTGTATCTGTGCTACAGTAGCTGTGTGTGTAGTGCTGGTGTGTGTGTGTAGTGCTGGTGTGTGTAGTGCTGGTGTGTGTGTGTAGTGCTGGTGTGTGTGTGTAGTGCTGGTGTGTGTGTGTAGTGCTGGTGTGTGTGTGTAGTGCTGGTGTGTGTGTGTAGTGCTGGTGTGTGTGTGTAGTGCTGGTGTGTGTGTGTAGTGCTGGTGTGTGTGTGTAGTGCTGGTGTGTAGTGCTGGTGTGTGTGTGTAGTGCTAGTGTGTGTAGTGCTAGTGTGTGTGTGTAGTGCTAGTGTGTGGTGCTGGTGTGTGTGTGTAGTGCTAGTGTGTGTAGTGCTAGTGTGTGTGTGTAGTGCTAGTGTGTAGTGCTGGTGTGTGTGTGTAGTGCTGGTGTGTGTGTGTAGTGCTGGTGTGTGTGTGTAGTGCTGGTGTGTGTGTGTAGTGCTGGTGTGTGTGTGTAGTGCTGGTGTGTGTGTGTAGTGCTGGTGTGTAGTGCTGGTGTGTGTGTGTAGTGCTGGTGTGTGTGTGTAGTGCTGGTGTGTGTGTAGTGCTGGTGTGTGTGTGTAGTGCTGGTGTGTGTGTGTAGTGCTGGTGTGTGTGTGTAGTGCTGGTGTGTGTGTGTAGTGCTGGTGTGTGTGTGTAGTGCTGGTGTGTGTGTGTAGTGCTGGTGTGTGTGTGTAGTGCTGGTGTGTGTGTGTAGTGCTGGTGTGTGTGTGTAGTGCTGGTGTGTGTGTGTAGTGCTGGTGTGTAGTGCTGGTGTGTGTGTGTAGTGCTAGTGTGTGTAGTGCTAGTGTGTGTGTGTAGTGCTAGTGTGTGGTGCTGGTGTGTGTGTGTAGTGCTAGTGTGTGTAGTGCTAGTGTGTGTGTGTAGTGCTAGTGTGTAGTGCTGGTGTGTGTGTGTAGTGCTGGTGTGTGTGTGTAGTGCTGGTGTGTGTGTGTAGTGCTGGTGTGTGTGTGTAGTGCTGGTGTGTGTGTGTAGTGCTGGTGTGTGTGTGTAGTGCTGGTGTGTAGTGCTGGTGTGTGTGTGTAGTGCTGGTGTGTGGTGGGCATGGAAATGGACTTTGTTTTGTTTTGCTTCCCTGTGATTGTGATTTCAGCTGCAACATACCTGGTAACAAGATTGATCAAGGTGACGAGATTTGCCCGTACTTGCCACCAATACCCTGCGAAGGCACAGGCTACCATCGCTATGCGTTTGTCTTACTAAAGCAAGTTGCTCGCATCGAAGGCGTGGAGCCATTGCCCAGTCGGGACTTGGAGAAGCGATCATTTATCACTTCCGACTTCATCAAGAAGCATGAGCTGGGACTCCGCGGCCTGGCCTTTTACCAAGCGAAATGGGATGCTAGCGTTGGTGATGTCTTTGATGAATTAGGTAAGACGATAGACACCCTTAGCAAACAACGGTAACACTATTTTTTATTACGGTACTCGTACCTTGATCACCCATATAGCGTTGAAACTGCAGCGTAAAACCATTACGGGGGGGGGGGCTGATTTATCGTTGTTACAAACGGTACGGTTGTTGGCCAAACATTGCGTAGTGCGTACTCATTTTCACCGTGTATTGCGTATGTGGAGCCATGAATGGTTGTACCGCCCGAAATAAAAGCTATTCTCATGGCAACAGCGTACTAAGAATAGCGTTCATCTTGCTAAAGGGCGAGCCCAAATCTCGGTATTTTTCCCTTACGGTAATACAGTTACAAAGTAACGTTTTTTGCTAAGGGTGTCTATTGTAGACGAACGTAGACACATTACATCATTGTACAGCCGACTCTTGATAAAACAAACAGTATGTGTGCACTTGGTTATCATGCGATCCTGCAAGAAATAGGGCTTGAAAGTGCTGCATTGCAGCCAGCCAGGAGTTACGACAAGTCGACAACGCTGACTTTTGGATCCAGTTTTTGTTGGGATCCACACACATTTAGGTTGGTTTCGTTCGCATCAGGTTGATACATCAGCCGGTTGTGACTGGGCTGGTCCCTCCCGGTAAAGACCCACTCCTGGTTACAGAGTACAGACCCACTCCCGGTACAGACCCACGCCTGGTTACAGAGTACAGACCCACGCCTGGTGCAGACCCACTCCCGGTGCAGACCCACTCCCGGTACAGACCCACTCCTGGTACAGACCCACTCCCGGTACAGACCTACTCCTGGTACAGCCCACTCCCGGTACAGACTCACTCCCGGTGCAGACCCACTCCCGGTGCAGACCCACGCCTGGTGCAGACCCACTCCCGGTACAGACACTCCTGGTACAGACCCACTCCCGGTACAGACCCACTCCCGGTGCAGACCCACTCCCGGTGCAGACCTACTCCTGGTACAGACCCACTCCTGGTGCAGACCCACTCCCGGTGCAGACCCACTCCCGGTACAGACCCACTCCTAGTACAGACCCACTCCCGGTACAGACCTACTCCTGGTACAGCCCACTCCCGGTACAGACCCACTCCCGGTGCAGACCCACTCCCGGTGCAGACCCACGCCTGGTGCAGACCCACTCCCGGTACAGACCTACTCCTGGTACAGACCCACTCCCGGTACAGATCCACTCCCGGTGCAGACCCACTCCCGGTACAGACCTACTCCTGGTACAGTCCCAGGGCGGAAGCTAGCCAGGAGTAGTTTTATTATGTATTAAACTCCATAAGGCCGCATTCACACACAGCACAAAAAACTTTCGTGGAAATCCTCATACAAGCCACTTGCAACAAGTGAGGCGTGGTGGATGTGTGGGTGTGTTGTCCGCTTGTTGTGTTGTGGATGTGCGGTGGATGTATGCGTGTGTTGTCCGCTTGTTGTGTTGCATGTAGGCTGTGGAGAGCCCACTTACAACCTGGTCAAACCTCACGAAGTCCACCTTGACCCCAAGCAGTCTCAAGCAATATTCAAGAAGCGTGCCTACCTCCGACACAAAATGTGATCCCTATGCTCACTGCTAGTGTTGCTCTGCGGGCTTATGCTCTTGCACGTCGAAATTCCCGTGCCTCTTGCCTAGTCTGACATATTTGTACAGAGTCAAACTTTTTCTTTTTATTTAACGAATTGTGTCGAGTTTGTGTGCTCCTCTACGTGCACTTAATGTTATAATTATTTCTAAAACATTTGGGGTCAGAGCAGGTACATTTGACTTTGTGGATATGAACAATGGAGGTATGTGCAGTACAGTGTGTGCGTGCGTGTGTGTGTATGTGTGTATGTATGTGGTGCTGTGAAACGTGCCATCGTTGGTTTGCTAGCCGAGGCGGACTTGCCGTGCACAGCTGCTCTCCCAGCCTTGGTGACGCTCCAGTTTCCGAGATAGTTGCACCTCGCCCACCTGATTGCAGCCAATGTCAGTACCGCTGCCACACCTGTGACCGCTGTTTCCGGAGCAAAGCGGGGCACCGCCGGCACAACTTCAACTGCAGAACATGCAGCTCTGGCTCCGACCTGCTCTCGGAAGTTCACACGTCCCCAGTTCCTGGCTCAACACAAATGCAAGAAGTAACTCTGCCATCCTTGCCTCTTTGAGGTACTGCATCACCTTTAGCCTTTAGGTGGCAGTTTCAAGGTTCAAGGTGTATGCACTTTTGGATATGAGCAGTGCTATTAGTTGGCATCTGCTCTGCAGTGTAGACCCACCTCTGCTGGTACTGTACCACTATCATTGTGGACTTACCCGTACTAGAAAAGGTACTTCAGTACCAACACAGGGTAGTGCATGCCTGAACACACCAGTGGACTACTGTAGAGTCGCGGGTCCAAGAACGTTGTTTCCAAGGGGTTAGCCTGGGGCGTTCTTATTTTTCAGTAATCTGGCTGCATTCTTTTAGCACCAGTTCGTACTGGATTATACCGGTATGTATCACAAAAGCTGCCGGTAAACCAACACCGCGTTCTTATTCTTAGCATTTCAGGCTGGATGTTCTTGGGCTCCACGTTCTTCGGCGCGCGACTCTACTGTATGGTTGTTGCCATGGGTGGTCAGTGTCACATTGCATGTGGCTGTTTGTACTGTTGCGGGACATTCAGGTTTGAGGATATTTAATAATTATTATCGTACATTGCAGTTTGAACCAGGTAGGGTCCAAAAGGTGACAAACTTTGGTGGCAAAATGCGTATACACAGATAAGAACACACCATCAGCATTACCTGTATCTTCACAGGCTTGCCCCCTAATAACTAGAGACGTTATCGCCGACGCTCACGACAGACCTGCACTCATAGGCATACGTTCGGGAAGATTACTTTACTACTTTCTGCTTTGATACATGCATGAAGACATTATATAATAAAACGATTTGTTTGTATTAAAATACGCGTTATGGAAAACTTGGCGGGTTGCCCATAAAAAAATGTGTTACTGCGATATCTGAGCTTGTCAAAATTGTATATAGCCTATCAAATTATATTCACAGTGGATAGCAGTAATTTATAGGCACGATTATCTCAGAAACATGTTCTCGGTAGCAAGTTCTGTATACCGGTACATGTGACGAGAATGACTAAATGTAGATGAGCACAACATAAACACTCAAAATTCCTACCTGTTATTCCCTACAATACCTCAATAAACTGCTAAACCTCTGGGGAAATTCGGTTGACTAACACAGCTATACCCATGCTAAACAGCAAAAAATATTGCTAACTGGCTAACTAACGACAAGACGACAAATCCGTAGAAGTCAAGATGTGCCTATGAAGGGAAAAGAAGTCTACAGATCTGTGGGTCTAAAAATCCAGTAAACCAAGTTGGCGGATGGCAGTGAATTGATCTGGAATCTCCATCAGAGCATGACGCGAAAAGGATGCATCGGGAAAATCTGAACCACTCACGGACCGATGGAAGTCCACAAACTGGAAGTTGTCAAACTTTCTTGCCGGAATGGAATCATCAAACTCCTTCATCATGTCCCAAGGACCATCTCCCACACCGACAACAACAATACTTAGTGGATAGTTAGCAGCACGGACTATAGCATCACGTGTTGCCTTCTCACTAGTCACTTGCCCATCAGCAATGATGACGAGAATATGATAGGAGCGGTGGTGTTTCACAATTTCGACCGCTTTGTCGATAGCTGGAGCAAAGCTGGTTGGACCACTCAGTTGTGTCTGTGGTACGATTTGGGAGTAGCGTTCCAAAACCTGCTGCGTACCATGGCATGGCTGCTCCCCAGGGTTGAAAGAGAACACAGCGCGGTCTTTAGTAACGATGTCACCAAATCCATACGCTGGGATAAGGTTATCCTCATCGAACGGTGCCAGTGTTTGACACACCAGTGACATGACTTTCTGATATGGATTGCTGATGATTGGATCAATGTGATGCAAGGATCTGTTGCCAAATGTCCTCTCTCCTTGCTGTAAGTTACTCCTAGTGAAATCCACGGCCACTATCAAGTTGCTGCTCTCTAAGCCAGCAGTGCGCAGTGCTTGTGTGACCTCCTCAGTGGTCTTGAACCTATCCGGATTGCAAAGGGCAGGATGGTATTTGCTTGATCCACCAGATCTTCTTCCTACACCAGCTTTCTTCCCCTCCGTCATCTTCCAGATGGCGTATGTCACTGCCAGTACGATTAATACTAACACGAATGACATCTTTTAGCAGACAGTAGATCTCCAAATTCATTAGTTGGATATGAACGCTCACTTGTCTCTCCGCGATATCAAGTGGGAACACACCAGCATTTACGACGACATGCAATGGAAGCAATGATTATGTACACACCTACAGCATTTATACGTCTGAAGATTCTAAACACACGTCAGGTTTCATCAGGCACAAACTAGGTACACCTTCAACCATGTCAACCTGCACAACGATTTCAGGCCCCTCGGAGCTGTTTGCCCTCGAAAGATGTTTGCTTGCACGTTGAAAGTTTGAAATTTGTTTCTGTGACTCACATGCAGCTGCATGTATGCAATGCACGACTGACCGACACGTGCGCATCATTAGCAGGATTACGTCATTGTTTGCTGCAACATTTCGAAATAATTATAAATTAATGCCAATGATGTCATCGTAAAACATGTGATGTCAGTCATGTGATATGATTGTTTGTACGTGCCAGTCATTTATTTTCTTCGGGCTTTTCCCTCAAACCAGTTTGTGTGTTCATGAAGCTACAAAAATGCAACAATGTGGAGAGTCACTTTTTGCCGTACAATAACAAGACCCTTCCCTCGCTTTCTCTTGTCATTACTGTCTTTTGACTTGTTGAGCGGCCTGAGCGAATGCTAGGGGTGGATGTGTATTATGTCGATTTGTTGATTTTTGTACAGTCCATTCATAAAAAAAATGGGTCCTGGCTCTGGCGAGCTCCCGTATTTGGCGATTTTTCGTGATTTCATCGTACACATGCACAGTGCAGTGCTGCGAACTTTGAAATTTGAAAAAGGGTCCAAAAAGGGTGCCTGAACTGGGGTTCGAACCGCAGAATGCACTGTTGCAGGCGGGGTCAAACGGCCTGGATTTTGATGGTTTTTCCCAATTCAGTGCTTTTGGGGCAAAACCTGGCCGAAATCCTATTCTTGCTATGGCTTGCTTTTTGGACAAAAAAACTTAAGAAACATAATTGGAAGAGGATTCCATATGGGATTGCAGAAAAAAATTCTAAAAAAACTCAACGTTTGACCCATTTATGGCCAAAAGCTAGAAGTTCATTTTTTTCTGAATGGACTGTAAGAAAAGATACTACATAGTACATGCACAGTGTGCGACATGTCGACAACAGCCAACACCCGCGCGCGTACCCGGTACCCTGCTTTGAGTTTGAGTTTGGATCATTGAAATCAAGAGTGCATAAACACTTCTTTTTTTGATGGACTAGACTCTTGTTGAAACCTATCTACATGTACGGTACACAGAGTAAAAATATAACGTGGATGGCTGGTCAAAGTGGTTCTACCCGATATTTTCCACTGGACATAGGGTATGTGTAAAATCTAAATACTACAGTACATTGCTCATGTACACACTGGGAGTACATAGCCAGGTTACGGTTGCTCGTGACAATGCTCAATACGAGCACCTAGGTGCAGAGCCTAGTTACTAGTTAGTACACACAATTGAAAGAAGCCGAATCAAAGTGTTTCTGCTGTAACTCTGAGTTTCACGGTTTTACCGATCATCGTAGTTGCCGTCTGATGATCCGTAAAACCGTGAAACTCAGAGTTACAGCAGAAACGCTTTGATTCCTTCTTTTAAGTGTGCACAGCCAGGATATGTGCTCTTGATATACACGATCGGTGTTCTTTGGGTTGAGCGTGGTGACTGGACCAGCTAGCCTGCTGTTCATACCCACATACCCCACACTCCCAAACCAGTGTACAACCAGTAGGTGTGTTTGTACGGCTATACCAACCACTAAACCACTGCCGCAATGGGCTGCACATGCACAGGCACCACCCCTGCGCCCACCGCTGATCAACATGGCATTACTTGACCGTGGCTAGGGAAGACGCCGTCAACGAACATCGGCACAAGCGCATATCGTTCACTAAAAGTTGGAAGTGACAATTACAGAACTTGCACTCTATGTGTTACACAAGTATTGTAAAGCAGCAAGCCCTAGCCTATACATAGCAGATCAGCATGAATGTGTGAGTCACAGTATTGATATGGATGGTTTTGACTTTTAAGCAATAAGCTGCAGAGCAGGTAACGACTGTACACTGCACCGAGAATGAAGATGACATCACGGATGATGTATGAAACATTGAAAACTACAATTGTAATTAAAATCGTAGCACTGAATGGCAGCAAAACAAACATTGTTACCCTGACGAAAGTAATTTAGAAAGTACCTGAAGTAGAGCCGTTTGCATCGATAGAGCGAACTATGTCAGAAATCTGTTCAAAGCTAACCGGTGTGTGTGTGTGTGTGTGTAGTTGTAGCATCAACAACGCAGTATAGCAAACACACGTCAATTACTGTCCAGCTCCGAGATATATATGACAGCATAGCTGCCATTACCTGAGGTCCTGCTCTCAGTGACTACACCTATACATGATTGTGAAAAGCAGAACTCCGAGCCAGCGGGCATCACCATGACAAACGGTACACGTATTAATACTACTTACTACACTGTACTTGTAGTAAGTCAGCAACAGTCCAGGAGCAACTGAGGTTGAAATCTCCAAACCAATGCTAGTCCAACCAGTACACAGGTCTGCTGGTTTAGAAATCCAGTAAACCGAGTTGGCGGATGGCAGTGAACTGGTCTGGAATCTCCATCAGAGCATGAAGCGAAAAGGATGCGTCGGGAAAATCTGAACCACTCACGGACCGATGGAAGTCCACAAACTGGAAGTTGTCAAACTTTCTTGCCGGAATGGAATCATCAAACTCCTTCATCATGTCCCAAGGACCGTCTCCCACACCGACAACAACAATACTTAGTGGATAGTTAGCAGCACGGACTATAGCATCACGTGTTGCCTTCTCACTAGTCACTTGCCCATCAGCAATGATGACGAGAATATGATAGGAGCGGTGGTGTTTCACAATCTCAACCGCTTTGTCGATAGCTGGAGCAAAGCTGGTTGGACCACTCAGTTGTGTCTGTGGTACGATTTGGGAGTAGCGCTCCAAAACCTGCTGCGTACCATGACATGGCTGCTCCCCGGGATTGAAAGAGAACACGGCGCGGTCTTTAGTAGTGATGTCACCGAATCCATATGCTGGGATAAGGTTATCCTCATCGAACGGTGCCAATGTTTGACCCAACAATGACATGACTTTCTGATATGGATTGCTGATGATCGGATCAATGTGATGCAAGGATCTGTTGCCAAACGTCCTCTCTCCTTGCTGTAGGTTACTCTTTGTGAAATCCACAGCGAAAAGCAAGTTACTACTCTCTAGGCCTGCAGTGCGCAGGGCCTTTGTTACTTCTTGAGTGGTCTTGAAACGATCAGGATTGCAAAGAGCAGGATGACATTTACTGCCTGATCTATCACCAAGTCGACGACCACCTCCTTCTTTCTCCCGACCAGCAGCATTCCTGTTCTTCTTCTTCTCAGTCATTTTGGTGATGGCATAAATCAATGCAAGTATGATCAAGATAAAAATGAAAGACATTTCGAAACTTGACGGAATGCTTTTGTTCTGGATCAGGAGAGATTACAGATTCTTTTTCAAAATTTCCACAGTTCAGGAGCTGCATACAAATTTACCTCGAGCGCTTTGAAGACTTCCAACCTTTTATAAGGCGAAGTACACGTCAGGCCAGGCTAGGCTTCTTATTCCCAGTAAATGACCTAACTATTACTTGCTAAATCCTTCCAGTCCATCTTCGTTACGCTATGATCATGATGATTTGGCCACGAATAGCATTATGACCAAGACTTGGCAATTGAAAGAGCCTTGCATTCAAAACAAAAACTTTTCAGTGTGTTTATGCATGATGGCCGGCCGGCCCCACATGTGCACATGTGGGACTTGCCCCGTGCCGTACCAAACAGACGCAAGCATGAAGTCGCGATGGCGTTCCGAACAAACAGTGAAAGTGTTCGTCAGCTCAGTGTCACGACGTAGATCTACGTCAGACTCTCAGGACGTAGCGGAGCGTCGACAGCTAGCTTAGTAGCTAGCTGCTAGCTGACAGACTCGACAGACTAGACTGTTACCAGGTTACAGTACTAGACAGTCAGTCGAATCTACAACAGTACAGGCTTTGGCCGTCGGGGCCATGGGGCCGGTAAGGATCATGGAGTAAAGCCATATTCCCGTATGTCACGTGATTGTCGCCTTGGAGTTGACCAATGACAGATCAAACAGCGCGGGCTGGAAAGCGCGGTCCTGCCTGCTCAAAGGTGATGGAACTGGATCCACTGCCCGTCGTCAAGTGACGACGGGCAGGAACGGATTCCACTGCCCGTCGTCAAGTGACGACGGGCAGGAACGGATTCCACTGCCCGTCGTCAAGTGACGACGGGCAGGAACGGATTCCACTGCCCGTCGTCACTTGACGACGGGCAGGAACGGATCCCACTAGTAGTGCACTGCCCGGCATGCCCGTCGTCATGACGTCACTGGACTGACTCTCTACTTCATGGTTTTTCATTGGTTTAATACTAGTAAAATAAAGAAAGCAGAAGAGCGACTGTTTGCAACCACAACTGTCATCATGGCGCTCCAACATTTGATCTGGAACTGGGAGAAAAGAAGCCCCTTTGTTGAACGATATTGGCGATGTGACTGAGCTCCTCCGAAAGGTTGAGGTTGAGACTGAAACTTTTATTGCGGAGTCGCTCGCGAAGGAGATCTTGGACGAGCCGGATGAGCCTCAACCAAAGCGCGCAATGCTCAGCAACCTGCAGGACCCGCGCAATTATTTGCCGAGGTTTCCGATCAAGACGTGGGAAGAATCCGTAGGAACAGAACAGCCAGAATGCCCGATGCCCAGTCGACAATGTCAATGTCCCCACGAGAAAAAAAGCACTATGGACTACTACAAAAAACTGTACCAGAAAACAATCACAAAACACAATGCAGGTACAAGGTGTGTCTGTCATGTATCTCTTTATTTGGCTTGGGTGCACACGGGAAACACGTTCCAGTCACTCATACTCGACCAGTACCGCTGTTCATCCAGCCCTTGCCGCTATCGCGGCGCGGGCTGGATTCCGCGGTACTGCCCTCGTACTCGTGCAGGAACCTGTACGTCAGTTACCATGGATAGTACACTGTACTACTCTACGCCTCGTGTAGGTTTGTTTAAAGGGGAAGTATACCCTAAAATCAAATTTTCACCAGTTGTAGTCTTCTGGGTGCTGAGTCGAATGGTCTTGGTCCGAGGAAGCTGCGACGCTCCCTTCCTACTTGAATCCCAATCGAACTCGCGCACTTCCACCGAAACTGGGTGACTGCGCCCTACTAGATGGGGATTTGTATGCAAAATGTCACTAAAAGCGCCATTTCGTTCTTATAAAAGCACGGATGACCGCGATTGGCCCATATGTTGTAGTCTTTTGGACGCTGAGTCGACTGGTTTTGGTCCGAAAAGGCTGCGATGCAGCGTTCCTCCTTTATTCCCAATCGAACATAGTTGAACAAGTGGTCACGTGCTCCTGGGTGCCCAAATCACCTGGTCACCGCGCCAGCAGGCGACAACTTTCACACCAAGGTTCAACTCGAGTTCAACTCGAGTGACAGGACTGCACCCAAAAAAGGTCAAACAGGCTAGTAAGTTGTACCCTGCAGGCACGGTGACCAGGTGACTGGTGTACGCAGGAGCACGTGACCGCTTCTTCAACCATGTTCGATTGGGAATAAAGGAGGAACGCTGCATCGCAGCCTTTTCGGACCAAAACCAGTCGACTCAGCGTCCAAAAGACTACAACATATGGGCCAATCGCGGTCATCCGTGCTTTTATAAGAACGAAATGGCGCTTTTAGTGACATTTTGCATACAAATCCCCATCTAGTAGGGCGCAGTCACCCAGTTTCGGTGGAAGTGCGCGAGTTCGATTGGGATTCAAGTAGGAAGGGAGCGTCGCAGCTTCCTCGGACCAAGACCATTCGACTCAGCACCCAGAAGACTACAACTGGTGAAAATTTGATTTTAGGGTATACTTCCCCTTTAATAAAAATAAAACAACAACACTCGACAGTCGACTAGTAGTAGTAGTAGTAGTACAAGTACAAGTAACAATAGTTAGTTGAAGTACAACTAACACACATAATACAACAAATACAAGTCCTGAGTCGTTGCTTGGCGGAACTCATTCCGTAATTTTATCAGAAGTATCATTATTAGTACATGTATATTACGAGACTCTCATTTTTTTTTTTTTGGAGTGCAGCCGCCCAATAGCGGACTGAAAACTACTACTACTAGTAATAGGATGAAAAGAGCACAGACGAAGCCAATACAGTCAAAACCAGAGGCAAATGGTATCAAATGCGAATGCCCGCCTCAGCAACCGCCAAGGTTGGAGGTGAGTCCAACTGCACCGGCCGAAGATTCCGGGATCCGCGCAAACACATCACCATGATCACGCTGGACCGGAGTAGGGCAAAACTCAATTTGCATCGAACCCAAGACATAACACAGCTGTATGCTTCTCCAGTCTTCGCGGCTTGAAGAGAAGCTATCCGCTTGTAGAGCGACTCCGCGTGTTTGCCCAAACCACCAGTGGTAGAGAATATGGCCGGAACAAACGACGAATGCTCTATGTCGCGGACACGTTGCTCGTAGCGGCGCCGCTTCTCCTTCTCGTGCTTGGTGTAGCAGTGTTTTTTGTAGTCGATCGAGTCAGCACGACGTCGACGGCAATAGCAGCTGCGTGAGCTAGCTATGGCCCTAGGCTAGCGCACGTACTTTATTTTTACTTGTACTTGTAAAGTATTCTATAATAATTATTACAACTTTGCCCCACTTACTTACGTACGTCACTGCATGAATGTAACGCTGCAAACAGCTAGCTTCCACCAGAAAATAAAATAATTTTGTGGTCAAACTGGTCATACAATCAAACTAATTACTTCAAAGCATCTTGTCTGAGACCGTACTTATTATTTTGATACGTACAACTTACTTACAAGTAGAAGACTCTGTGCTTTACCCTAAATGACCTAATCTCAGCGCTAGCGCTCCAGTCGTACTCAAAAGGCTGACGTCTGCACGAACTAGGCCATAGCCTAGAGTCATTCCAGGGCGGTAGACAAACGATGGCAGCGGCGGGCACTGGGCCTCCAGCGGTTGCAAGCCAAACAAACGAAGGTGCAAGCGTTGTCAGAGCAGGCACAACAGCAAGAAGTAAGCTATTTTAACGAAGTAACATCCCGTGACTCGGCAAACCATGGTTAGGTTATGTGCATAGTAATATGCCAGTGACCGTGTAATATGCCAGTGACCGTGTAATATGCCAGTGACCGTGTAATATGCCAGTGACTGTGTAATGTGTAATGTGTGTATCCAATGACTGGAATTCAAGTTGACTCAAGTAGTCCTGAGAAAGACAGTTTCCGTACAGTCACATGCACACAGTATCTGTATGAACTGTACACCTTTGTACAGTTCGGTTAGTCCGATTAACCGGTTGCAGACCGGTTACGAAGAATTAACGGTTAACCGATAAAGATAACGGTTACGCAGTAACTTTTCAGTCAATTTTTCAAGTATCAGGTCGTTGCAAAGTGTGCACTTTTTGCGGGCTGTCGCACGCGTACGCAATTTCTGGGCTGTCAACTCGGTCATATCTGGTCTCTTGGTGTGAGAGTATGTATGAATGAGCATGCAAGAGAATGTACAAGTGTGCGTTGTACTGAATAGGGTACATTTTTTTGAATGAGTATAGTCAAATATACGGTTAAAAAAGAGTCCGCAGGATTGTCGTGGCTTATGGTTATAACCGGTTAACCGACCGTTAGCTTAGCAGTTAACCGTCAGGGGTAAAACCGTGACCGTTTGAGCCCTAATCTGCGCCCTGTATGGATCTGTGCCCGTTATGTCTAGGTTCCATAATCGGACCTATGCTCGTACGTATGTTTGTACATACGTACATGTCTCACTTATAGTGCTCTAAATCTAAACATAGATAAAGCCCACATTCGAGCATTCCGTAACTATTCAGTATGTGCTGTGCACTTGTTTATGGTGTCTCTTCTATGCGTGGTCTTCATACGCACTACCTGTGCGGAGACTTGTCGTTGTACTAAGAACAGTTACATTGCCCCAGAAGCTAGTTTACGTTACCTTCAGCATTGACTTCCGTGCACGCTGCTCTGCACACGTCACGCCTACACTTCGAATACAGAAACGTAGTTGTAGCCCCTTTTACCCCCTTTTGGTGTATTCTATTTGTTGTATTGCTGCACGCACACATTTCAGCCCGCGCGCATGCTTTGGTCGTTTGTGTATTTGGTGTATTGCTACGCATACACATTACCGCCTGCGCATACACATTACTGCCTGCGCGCACGCTTTGGTTTAGCTGTGGTATACAGCCACTTTTCACCATTCTTTCCTTTAGACCTCATTGTGGTCGCCACGTAGTTTAGTCTGTCCGCAACCAGCAATTACAACAGTCAACAGTATGATAACAGTGTTCTTGTAGCCGACATAATTATGCTCTCCCAATCTGAATCAGTTTGACATTTTAACGTCTCGGCTACAGGGAGGGAGGGCACTTTATCACAGGGGGCGCGCAAACAGAGTAGAGGGGGGGGGGGCTGCACCCCTTAACTAACCCCCTTTGGTTAGAACTGGCCCTGGATTTCCTCATGCAAAACACTCAAACACGGTCTCTTTGCTGCATATGTCACTTGAAAGTTTAAAAAGGTTCGCCAAAATGTTGGGCGTGGTCCATCATCCTCAGTGTCCAGCAATCAAGGATAAAATAGTACAAATGAGCTGCAATGACATCACAACAGTTTTTAAAAGTGCTACAGGTGGTCGAGGTGTACCTAATAAATCTGTGTACTGCGAAATGCAAAATGTACCTGCATGGATTAAAGCTATAAAAGAGTTTTAAAGACGATATGGATTGGAACTTTGGAAGCAAACAATATACCTGAACTACAAGCAAGCTCTCGCGTTGCGGGGTACATACTCTGCATAGTTTTTCCATGTACAATGTAGATTATTTCAACGGTACGTTCATTATTCACAGTTTTGACATGAAATTTAGGTTTGCTTACTTGCCAGTTTGATATGAAGTCCGAAACTTGGTGACATGGTTTTAATTTTGTACATGTTTGTGTGTATGGGGGTAGAGAGTACCAAAAACACGGTACCAAAATGATCGGGCAAAATCCCCCTTGCCGTTGTTTCAAGGGCAAGCATCAAACAGTGCTGCCAACCTTTCGTATTTTTCCATATATGTACAGACAAATCAGTCCTTAGTCCGCACTACGGAATTTGAGCAAAAATGATATGGGAAATCAAAGAGGATTGATCAGCTGTGTAGAAGCATGGCAAGTGCAAGCCGGGCTATGATGAATATCCCTGTGATGAATATCCCTGTGCGCCGAAACTGCGAGTATATGAGTATATGAAGCACGAAAAATCACACAGTGTGGTACAAGTGATGCACTAGCAAATCCAGCAGCCAATGTGCTTGTGAGTGTAAAACTGTAAACACCACAAGAAATGAACACGACAGTACATTTGCATGGCCGTACGCAAAGACACTACAAAATACGGAAGAACAGAAGTCGCAGTACCCAAAATAGACCTTGTTGGTTGGCAGCTCCGATCACCCAATGTCAATAGGCAAGACGATGTGGCGACACTTAAAAAAAAGACAATACTGTCATTGGGAGCCTGATATAAGATACCGTGACTTTTCTCAGTACATTTCTACACCAGATTTTGGTCCAAGCCTGGTCGAGTAGTGGAACTTTGCTTGTGCGATATGACAATACTATCGCTGCAATTTTCAAATCACAAATCCAAACTGTAGTTGATGCAGATTCAGCAAATAAAATGGTTTCTGGATTTGCAAATAAAACAACTGAAATTTGAATTTCGTCAAATTTCCAATGGTCTCAAGGCAAGCATAGTGTATTGTCTTCTTGATGATGTGCAAAGGTACAGGTCACTGAATTAAGTCCATGGTCTTCTCTTATGCTCCGCATCTCTTCAGAAGCGGCGGAGGTACCCATCTTTCAAAAGCGGAACTGGCTTCTGTACCAGCACTATGTGCGGCAGCAATTCAAGGCATGCTGGGTCAGTGCTTAGTAGTGTTTATCCCGGCTCACGGTGTGCTAGCGTCTGCATGGGCCCTGGGAATTGATCATGGCAATAGGTAGATTTGCAGCTCTCTGTGTGCTTTTAAAACGATCATATAACAATCATGCATAGACGTACTTGAAGTAGCAACACAGCATGCAGTACGTTCAGAGTGTAGCTATCACTGTTACACTGTATCATAGCGAATTGAGCGATTCATAACCTATTAGCTAGATATCCAGTTCACCCCCCCCCCCCCTCCCTTCCACCACACACACACACACACACACGCACGCACATACACACACACACACACACGCACGCACATACACACACACACACGCACACACACACGCATACACAAACACTGCAGGCGTTATCACCTCACGGTAGTTTTGTTCTTTCTGTTCACCATGTACAGGATCTGATAAAGGTTATAAAAGAAGAAACCAAGGCACAGTCCTGGTATGCACAGTATGTTGAAGGTGAGAACACACAGTATGTTGAAGGTGAGAACACACAGTATGTTGAAGGTGAGAACACACAGTATGTTGAAGGTGAGAACACACAGTATGTTGAAGGTGAGAACACACAGTATGTTGAAGGTGAGAACACACAGTATGTTGAAGGTGAGAACACACAGTATGTTGAAGGTGAGAACACACAGTATGTTGAAGGTGAGAACACACAGTATGTTGAAGGTGAGAACACACAGTATGTTGAAGGTGAGAGCTGTAACTACTGTGAAACCTGTCTGAGTTAAGACGACCACTCAAAGGACCTTCAACATGTGGTCTCTGTTGCCAGGTGGTCTCTTTATCCAGGGTCGCTTGACTGCGAATAGCTCCCCTTGGTTCCGGTTAAAGTTAAGTGGTCTTCTGGGGAAGGTGGTCGCCTTATCAGAGTGGTCGCCTTATCAGAGTGGTCGCCTTATCAGAGTGGTCGCCTTATCAGAGTGGTCGCCTTATCAGAGTGGTCGCCTTATCAGAGTGGTCGCCTTATCAGAGTGGTCGCCTTATCAGAGTGGTCGCCTTATCAGAGTGGTCGCCTTATCAGAGTGGTCGCCTTATCAGAGTGGTCGCCTTATCAGAGTGGTCGCCTTATCAGAGTGGTCGCCTTATCAGAGTGGTCGCCTTATCAGAGTGGTCGCCTTATCAGAGTGGTCGCCTTATCAGAGTGGTCGCCTTATCAGAGTGGTCGCCTTATCAGAGTGGTCGCCTTGACAGGTTTTACTGTAGCAGTTTGTTGCAGTATTCCAGCACAGCGATTGAACATTGCAGTATTCCAGCACAGCGATTGAACATTGCAGTATTCCAGCACAGCGATTGAACATTGCAGTATTCCAGCACAGCGATTGAACATTGCAGTATTCCGGCATAGCGATTGAACATTGCAGTATTCCAGCACAGCGATTGAACATTGCAGTATTCCAGCACAGCGATTGAACATTGCAGTATTCCGGCATAGCGATTGAACATTGCAGTATTCCGGCATAGCGATTGAACATTGCAGTATTCCAGCACAGCGATTGAACATTGCAGTATTCCAGCACAGCGATTGAACATTGCAGTATTCCGGCATAGCGATTGAACATTGCAGTATTCCGGCATAGCGATTGAACATTGCAGTATTCCAGCACAGCGATTGAACATTGCAGTATTCCAGCACAGCGATTGAACATTGCAGTATTCCAGCATAGCGATTGAATGTTCTGTACATGCTGGGCATGATGGATCACTGCACTACTAAGGTATGGATCCTCTCCTAGTCAAGTTTCCCCTCTCCCTCTTTGTTCAATATCTGATGCGGCGCTGTTCCTTTTGCAGCTATGTTGTTCCGATCCGAAGGCAAAGTCCAGCAATCTCTTGAGGCTTTCCGCAAAGCAAGTCAACTGGACCCGAAGAGCGCAGAGACCAAGAAGCAGATTGGCGTTTCACTGTGAGTTTCCGTTTATGTGCATTCATACGAACCGCGTGTTGGAATGGGGTTTGGGGGAGGGGACACTTTTGGTAAGCTGACATCTCCACTGTACAGTCCAGCAGTAGGATCTAGGAGGTAGCTACTGTGTCTGGATCTAGGAGGTAGGTACTGTGTTTGGCCGATGATCTCACACCATGATCTCACACCATGGTACATAGACTGTGAATGAACCCTGCACACATGCAGGGAGCTACAATGACATCATCGCCCTTTCTGTTCTCTCCCAACACACTGTACAAATTCAGGGTTCATTGCTTTCCATGTTTCTGTGTTCTTTCTGCGATATACAACTAACTTGTAACGTGCGAAGTTGTTTTCTGTGAGTATGTCACAACAATGACATTACAGTCCCCGTGAAGACCCGGCAATGACAATTGAGAGGTTGGGCCGGCAGACCTAGTCCGCCACATGAGTATACCATGGGATAATTAAGAAGCCGAGTGAGTTATGACTGGCTTGCGTGTGATTAGTGACTGTTAGGTTCGGTAGACAAGAGACAAGTAGTTTATTGGTTAGAATACGCCAAGTAGAACAAACTGAGAAGATTCAATCGGTAAACAACAGAGAAGACTCTCAAAAAGATACAAAGTTGTACGACATTACGCCATAACATAACAGCAAGAGTACATAACCCCCCAGAGTGTGCAACTCCCACATACCCTGTTGTCCCGACAGAATTTCAAGTTGACGTCATTATTTATGACGCAATGCTCCTTGCACCAGTGATTTACAACATGTGTACGGGTGTCAACGCATCACACGTTTTTCTTTGCAATAATTTGTACAGGATCGATCGGCTTCGGTCAACCACAGGTTCCGGATTCGTCTGATAATCCGTGTACAGTGCGCATTGCATCATCAAAATGACGTCAACTTGAAATTCTGTCGGGACAGCACCCATAGTGGAGTTGCACACTCTGGGGGGTTACTCTTGATAACAGTGACCATTGCAATTTGCTTTGCATTGTCCTAGGTTCTTGCTTGGCAGACACCAACTGGCTTTAGATGCGTATGCCGCGGCGGAATCTCTCGTCAGTAGAGACTGGGTAAGCCATGTCCACTGTGACCCACTGTGAGAGGATGTGTCTCTATTTGCTGCCAGAAGATGTATTTCCTTTTCTTTTCTCCACACTTAGTAGTTACTGGCGTACTTCAAGCATTGGGTACTTCAAGCATTGGGTACTTCAAGCATTGGGTACTTCAAGCATTGGGTACTTCAAGCATTGGGTACTTCAAGCATTGGGTACTTCAAGCATTGGGTACTTCAAGCATTGGGTACTTCAAGCATTGGGTACTTCAAGTATTGGGTACTTCAAGCATTGGGTACTTCAAGTATATAAATGTATGGATCATTACCTATAGTATAGGCCAATTGCATATTGAAGTCATACGGCCTTCAGGTTTGTCACATTTTGGTGTTTCCAAGTACGCGTGTCAATCTTCCCCCATACACTACTGTCAGTCGCTGAAGAATGAACAATCTAGCATTGCACCAGGTACAGGATAGCATTGCACCAGGTACAGGATAGCATTGCACCAGGTACAGGTACAGGTACAGGATAGCATTGCACCAGGTACAGGATAGCATTGCACCAGGTACAGGTACAGGATAGCCGTATGTACACGCTGGCTTAACTCTATAGACAGTTCTACAGGAAAATCATACGGTTAAGAATGGCACCGGCCACAACTCTGAACATTCTTAGGCATCAGATAATACACTGGGACGGAACCCCCTTTTAAACCCCCTTAAACCCCCTTCACTCAAGAAACGTGTGACCATTACGCGAATGCTCGGTGCATGTAATAGTGTAACTCAAGTGAGTGTATAATCATATCCCACTGCTGGCTGTCTATTTTCTGTCAGTCATGAGTTTCCACTGATGAACGTGACAAGAAAACGTTCTGCAACTATACTACTGATACTTTGTTTTGTGACACGGAGCGGCCCGCTATCATTTTATTTATAGCTATCAACAAATGAAGAGTCCTCCGGCTCGGTAAAGTGCTCGATATTCGTTCCGAACTGTTCGAAAAGAGCTATCTTACACACGGCACAGAGCACAACGCATCGTTCGTTTTAACTAATAGTTTCATACCCACCAGACATGCAACTAAGTTGTCTGATGATTGCCTATGGGCATGAAACTATTAGTTACAAGGAACAATGCGTGGTGCTCTGTGTCGTGTGTATGTATATCTGTGCCGTGTGTATTTATAGCTATCATGTAATGGCGGTGCTAACGTTCTTCTCTGTCTGTTTTCTTTGTTTTTTTTTGTGTCACTGGTGCCAATTTTGTATTCCTCCCATGTAGGAAATCTATCACAACAGAGGTGAGACTTGCTGTGTCATGCACTATCTCTGGCATGCTTGTGCTCACAGAATGGAGTTGAAATCCACACAACTGATGAATGTGCACTCAACCTCATGAGTAACGCCCTCTGCAGCTCTGGTTCCAAACTGACTCGCAATTAACGACACCATCTTCAGACCTAGTGACCATTTGACTGTATACATTCAACCTCATGAAAAAAGACACCCACTCGCAAATAGCCCGCCACACATTTCTCATTCACGATCGAGGCCCGGGTCGGGTTTTTCCGCCACTTTGACAATTTGGGCTACTTCCAAGGTGCTCACGCGGCTCAATGGAATCCACCGATGTGGCCCCAGACCTTGGAAAACCGGGCTTAGCCACACTGGGCTGTGCCACACACTGGGCTGTGCTACACACTGGGCTGTGCCACACACTGGGCTGTGTCACACACTGGGCTGTGCTACACACTGGGCTGTGCCACACACTGGGCTGTGCCACACACTGGGCTGTGCCACACACTGGGCTGTGCCACACACTGGGCTGTGCTACACACTGGGCTGTGCTACACACTGGGCTGTGCTACACACTGGGCTGTGTCACACACTGGGCTGTGCCACACACTGGGCTGTGCCACACACTGGGCTGTGCCACACACTGGTGTAGCCTGTGCTAACATGGTCATGAACTGTCACATTCCATTGAGCTGCACTTTACTTTAGCATGACAGGTGGTGATACACGGCATATTCCTGCCATGACACTGGTGCCAATCTGCTCATATATGTATCCAGGCTAGGCGAAGTAACGCGTTAGGTTTTCTTGATCAGTGCACAGCCTTGAGTGTACATTGTTGTGCCTCTGTGTCTTCGATACCCCTGGCACACACGCACACTGTGTCATCGACACCCCTCAGTGCTATGCACTATCTCACAACCCTGGCACACACACACACTGTGTCATCGACAATTTTAGCGCTGGCGATATTTTGGTGATTTTAGTGAAAGGAGTGTTTTCGCTAAGGTTTTGCCGCGCCAATCAATTTTTGCATGTACATTACAGTATTAGTCATCTTTCGATAACTCTGAAACTTGGATCCCTAAAAGATTCCATCGCAAATTGGTTCAGATTCAGAAAACGCTAACATGTTTACCCGCTACAATTAGCCGTTGTACAGTATCTCACATACCTGCCACACACTATCTCACACCTTCCACTCTCCCTTCTCCTCACCTGCCACACACTATCTCACACCTTCGACTCTCCCTTCTCCTCACCTGCCACAGAAAGTGTAATCAAATGCCGGGGGCACATTCCCTGTAGCACCAGCGGGCTGCTGGACGTCAGTTTCCACGCCCCACTGTGTGTGGGTGTGTGTGTGTGTTGTATGTAGGCAGCGCTAAGTAAACTGCAGTAGCTTCTTCACCCCCTTCGCCCCTCCACTTGCTTATGTTCAGATCATCTTGACAGACTAATGTATTGATTTGTCAGTTGCTTTAACCCTTTCAGCACGGCCAGGGTGTGTAACTGACCCGCGGAGCCAAAACCAGTGATTTTCGTGATTTTCCAAAAGTAGTCCTATTCACTCACAAGTTTTTCTGCGGAATGCATGTTCACAAGCGACATCTATGTACTAGTACGCGTGCATAGCGGCACACGTGCGCCCGTCAGTACTATCGTAGAACAGTCGACGTTCATCCAGCACGTCACTGGTCCACGTAGGGATAAGATCCGTCGACCACGGATGTCTCGGGAGTACGTTCATTTTCACTGTACGCATCACGTATATATACGTGATCCGTGGGCCAGTTACATGTACCATCACGTACATATACGTGATGCGTGCTGAAAGGGTTAAAAGTAATAGACGTGAATGCTCTTGTCTCAGTGATAGCAATGCGCTACCTCAGTGCGGGGCATGTATGCCGGCGCTGCAGTGCCGCACTGCTTCACTGGCTATCGTAGAGACCTTGTGTAACGATGTTTACCCCCCCCCCCCCCCCGGCCTGACATTGCTGTTTTCATTGCCATTTGTTTGTGCTGTTGCTGTAACCGGTATCGTCTTTGCCATTGTCATTGTGATCTCGTTTCTCCCTGTATAGCTCTCTGTCATCTTTACCTGCAGCAGCCAGATGAGGTGAGAGGACGTACTGTGGACTAGCACAGTTAATACTAATAGCTTGTACAGAACATAATTATACTAGATCAGGATAGGCACTGCAGGCGGGGCATTCCAGTTTATAAATCACTGACATGCTTGTAGCTATGATGTACAGCAGGTGTAACGGTGTGTACTGGATAAGACCTTGGACCTATCATCATGATCATGACAGACCTTATCTGGACCGTTGAGTTGTTTTGGGCAGCGCGTGTAACTCTCAGTTCAAGCTACCAGTAACCAGTAACCACAACTTGCTTCAAGTGTTGTATGTACAGGTAATGTTTGCAGCTGTGTCTATGACAACGCTGCCATGTGTCTATGACAACGCTGCCATGCGGGCACATGGGATATTAGCCTCACGGGCCTTTAGAGCACATTCGCAGTACTGCCCAGGACGTTTACCTCGCATGGACTTTGGAGAAGAACTAGGCATCCGCAATGTAGGACACGGAGGGGCTATCCATTCGTCAAGTTCAGCCCTCACCATCGTCTACACGGATTTCAAAAGCGTCGACCTCCATTTTGAAAACATGGTGGCTGGCCGCGCTTGCCGTAGGCGCACGTGCGCCCCGCGTGTCTTAGCGCGAGCTTCGAGCTAAAGTAGTAAAGATCATGTCGCCCACTCATTTCCCTGTGTTTCCCCATTTCTTCGAACTCGCTCAGCTTTTGCTTCGCTTGTGCTTCAGCTCCACGCTGCAGTCTGAGTTTAGTTCTCTTGTCTTCTTCCAGCAGAATACTGCAAACTCTACAGCGCGTCGAGCTTCTCCTAGAAGAGTTTCTTTTGCGTCGAGATAGAGTGTCGATCGTTTCAGTCCTATCTTGCCGTCGTCTCATGAGCGCCCGAAAGCAACAGTATCTATTTTCTTGGCGTTCCATTTTCTGGCGAAATCATTCACCTACTACTTCTTCCTTTATGAAAGCTTCAGGTGGCTGAGTTCTCCCACTAGCGACAATCATGCCTTGGAAAGGAACAGGATATTCCTAAGGTACACTGTATGTACAGCCAGTGCAGTGGTGTCAGTGTACTGCACTGCAAAAAGCTACTGCATGCACTGCGCGTAGTTGTTGTTTGTTTTGTCGAGAAAGAATCCCTTTCGCACTCGCGCGGACCGCGAGGGCGCAGCTCGGAAACGGGTCTATTGAATTCATTTCTTGGTCGATTTTGACAACCAATACGTCGTTGTTTTTCTTTTTTCACTGGCTATCCTTTCTCCGCTTCCGAATTTCGATGCCGTCCACCTGGAAAGCCTTGAAGTGAAACGAGTGGAGGTCGATTTTGGAGGTAATTTTCGGCCAAACGGCAATCAAATCGAAAAATTCGAAGCGGACGATCTGTTGGTATCTATCGAAAGAAGACGTTGGTCCATAAAAAATCTTTGGAAACTACACCGTATGAACCAAGGAATTACGGTAAGTTTGAGAATTTTGGTACATTAGCTGTACGCTGATTGGTCGAGTAGCGCGACCGTTGACAAAAGGGCCAGTGACGCTTTGTACAGCGTTGGTGAGGGCTGAAGTTGAAGATTTTAATTTTCCCATTTCTATGACCACCAAAGAAAACCTGTAACATGTTTTTTTTTTAACTCCATTCCCACCCTGGATCATTCCCACCCTGGATCATACCCTGGATCATACCCTGGATCATTCCCACCCTGGATCATTCCCACCCTGGATCATTCCCACCCTGGATCATTCCCACCCTGGATCATTCCCACCCTGGATCATTCCCACCCTGGATCATTCCCACCCTGGATCATTCCCACCCTGGATCATTCCCACCCTGGATCATGGCTTCCAGACTGTGTCAGGTCATGGGTGTTTTTGGATAAGTCTTTCCAGTTCTGCTTGTCAGGTTCAGTCACAGTGTAGTGAATTGCAATTGATAGGGGTTTGTATTTTTTCTGTTGTGTTGTGTGTTGTGTAGGCAAGGGAGTTGTTCCTGAAGGCTATACAGTATAATCAGGCTCTGGTGACTTTCAAGCAGCTTGGACGACTTTACGAGGATCAGAAAGATACAGCAAAGGCCACTGAAACTTATGAACGTGGTCTTCAGTAAGTTTGGTGAGCCAGAGGCTGAGAAGTGTTGTGAGCCCTGCAGGGCTGACTAGGAGCGACAAAAGCTTGTAGCTGGAACTGCTATTTTTAAAACAAGATGAAATAAAAATGCTAGTCAGTTAAGGTTTGCCTTGACGAAATAATTCCTTTCTTGATATTAATGAGGTTGTGTGCTGGTCCGAAAGAAACTTATACAACACACACACACACACACACGTCCACACACACATGATAATAACATATGTCATGATGTCATCAACTGTTATCACAGTCATTAGAAAAAATACTGGAGTACATTCATTGGAACTGGCATCCTTTCTTTCTGGTGTCTCCCACTAGTTGTTGTAGATATGGTGAAGACACAGCACATCGTGCATTGTGCATTGTGTGACCCCATGTAATTATTCCTTCAAGTGCCAAATTTCAGGCCAGAAAAGTCAAAGGACAGCCGGGAATAGGAAATGCTCTGACCAACCGAACCGGTTTTGCCCGACCTTTTTTAAAGTAATAGTTGAGCAGCCATTACGCCATTGCACAGACTGCGTGAGTGTATAGTTATTAGCGCACAGACTGCGTGAGTGTATAGTTAATAGCGCACAGACTGCTGCGTGAGTGTATAGTCATTAGCGCACAGACTGCTGCGTGAGTGTATAGTTTATCCACTCTGACACTTAGAGTGCCACACTGGTGTGCAATGGTTCATGAAGTTCATGTTTGTTTTCTGTTGCTGAATGTTAGGCTATATCCAAACAACCCAGAGATACTGACAAGACTTGGTATGATCTATCTAGAGGTAAGCATTAGGAGTGTCTACTTGAAATACTACATCACAGCTTTTAAAAGGGGTCGAAGTGTAATTACTAGTATCGATCTTTCACACCGGAAACGAAAAACGAAAGTTTCCGTCATAGGTGGGTCGGTTGAGGAGAGTTTGGTTTTGAAAATATTAAGAACTGAAGCATCGATCCATTCTAGCTGTCAAGTCAATCTATTCTATGCTCCGAAGGTGGGGGGGGGGGGGGGGCTAAAAGGGTCATAACTAACCTTTTCGTTCCATGAAAATTATCAATAATGCCGGAAGGCCCCTGTAAAATCGGTTGTGGCGACAAACGCGATTAGGCCGGCTGCAGGGACGCCGTAATGTCGCACTCGCCCCAGCACCATTCAAACAATTCCCTTTGGCAGTTCACGGCACAAACTTCAACAGAGCCCCGTGAATGCGTACCAGGGGAAGGCTAGACAGCATGTCTCTAGACATCAATAGGCATCGTATGAAAGCCAGTCAATAGCACTAAAGAGCGAAAGCCTTCGTCACGGTTCGGTTTCACTCGCGCACCGGGCCCGAGCTGGCAGCACAAACAAACGCCGGGCGCGAGCTGGCAGCACAAACAAACGCCGGGCGCGAGCTGGCAGCACAAACAAACGCCGGGCGCGAGCTGGTAGCACAAACAAACGCCGTACTCACACGAGACCGTTGGGCCAACGGATGGCCACAGCCATCAAAAACAGGAACAAACCCATCCACGGCTCTTTCTCTTGCTAGCTGTACTGCTGCGTGCATCCAACTGTTTTGCAATTTCTCCCTCCCACCCACGCCTCCTGGTATTTATTATCGCTCTACACTATCCTACGTCTCACAATGAGTACCACTCAGCATGATGGTACTCCAAGCTACATTGTATTTTGATCTGTCCTAGCTCACTATTCTGGACAAAATATTAATTCAATTGCAATGAAGCGCCGGGGGCCAGCGGGGGCATTCGGCGGCTTGGTCTGATTCCTAGCTTGTTGGTAACCGGCTTGAGATTTCAAAGGTTGCTATGACAACGTGCAGTCATGCGCAGGGCCACCCAACATGCATTTGGGGGCCCAGGAAAGACAGAAACGCGTTGCTAGGCAACAGCAAAAGCGCTCGGCGAGTATCATGCTACTCATGCAGCGCGCACGTTGGCTTAGGGTATCACGCTACCCTTGCGCTGCGGGGTACCACATTGCCCCTCGCTGGAATCAGACCCGCGCCCCGGATACCTTGCGCTGGCCTCCTGACGGCCAAACTCAACCAACTTGTGCGCTGTGACTGGGGTTGTGCATGTATTAGCAACATAATGTGGCCCAGGTCGGCAGACTTTCAATTAGCCAAGCGAGCTACTCAGGCCAGGGTGCATGATCACTATTCGCAGCACTTATCGTCCATGCAGCAGTCGGGTTAATGTGCAGTTGCAACCACAGTAATTATGTATGCATACTTTGCATTCACGGTTTTCTTGTGAGAGTTGCAGTAGCCATGCTGATGCCATGCACACAGCCATGAAGTCACCCATGCATGCAAATTGCCATGCATGCGAATCGCCAGTCATCCATGCCCCGGTGGTTATTTTTTTGTACATGTAATCTGGCGGAAGTCACAGGCGGGTTTGCTGTGGTCATGGTGTGCTGTGTGTGTGCTGTGCTTGATGCAGGAAGGACAGCATACCTTAGCGTTTGACATGCTTGGTACAGCGGTGATGTTTGGTGGCAAAGGAGCAACGGTAAGATCGTGCAGTACAAGTAGGAGATGAGTTCAACGGTTACCTTACCTCCAAGTCTCTAACCATACCATCAGCCACACAAGGTTATAATTGCAGCTTCAAGCAACTCATACAAAGAAACAGCGGCAATGAGCATGCGGCCCTGTATCTCTGTGTACATCATTGCTCTGTATCTCTGTGTACATCATTGCTCTGTATCTCTGTGTACATCATTGCTCTTGCAGTGTCCCATCACGTATTACTGTAAGCCGTTACTTCAGTACCAACTCCCCATCACAACTCCCCATCACATGCATTCTCAGTACCAACTCCCCATCACATGCATTCTCAGTACCAACTCCCCATCACATGCATTCTCTGGCCAACCTCGTTCACCACAAAGGCATGGTGACCCAACCTGACTCCAAGTTGCAGTAGATACTGGCGTAACTTCCTCCATACAACTGTTTCCATCATACAGATAATATGGTGAGAAGTTAGCACTAAAATAATGAGCGAGCCGAAAGCTGCTCCTTACCGGTCTACGGACTATGTAATATGCTCAACTGCTAAGTTGTCTACCTGCCCCGTACACTGTGACTCCATGCACATCAGAATCTACCTTGCAGCAAACCAGTACATGACACAGTGTTCTCTGCTTTGTCTATCTGTCCACACTGACAGCGTAGTAGTCTTTATTAACTGCTGCGGGCTGTACTGTTCATACATACTGCATTGATACTGTATTGACTGCTGCGGACTGTACTGTTCATGCTGTTTTCTAGTCGGCCATGTTGGCTTGCGGCAGCATCATGCATGCAATGGGTGATGTGGAGCCGGCAATGAACAAGTATTCACGGATTGGAGAAGTTGCGCCTGAGTCGCCACAGCTATGGAACAACGTGGGATTATGCTTCTTCAATCAAGAAAAGTGGCCGTTGGTAAGTGACTTGCACTTCACAACTTCTACAGTACTAAATCAGGGACGTCAATGGTCCTTATGCACGTTGTACAGATGTACGAAATTCTGTACTAGGGCCGTAGGTGTGCTATACATGGCTGGGTGTTCATTGTGTGCTATACATGTGCATTTGACCAATTTAGCCTCATATTAAATTAAAGGCAACCGATTGCTTTTCCAGCTTCTTCACTTTGGGATCGAACTAACGACAAGCTAGATCTCTGCCGGAAAAAAGGTTTCATATGAAATGCCTTCAGGGTCCATTTCGCAGTAGAAATAGCAGTAAACACAATAGGGTCCTGCACATTCAACACACAACCGGGTCTACGGGATTCTACGAGATTCTACGGGATTTTGTGCATCTGTACAACGTGCATAAGGCTTATAGCACCATGTTTGTCTGTGTATGCATCATGCCATGTGTGTGTGTGTGTGTGTGTGCGTGTGTGTGTATGTGTGTGTGTGTGTGTGTGTGTGTGTGTGCGTGTGTGTGTATGTGTGTGTGTGTGTGTGTGTGTGTGTGTGTGTGTGTGTGTGTGTGTGTGTGCGTGTGCGTGCGTGTGTCCGTGTGTGTGTGCGTGCACATGCGGATGCGTCTATGCGTACCAACCTGTCGGAAGGCTACCTTCTTGCCAAAGCATTAGAAAGTTGTACTAGTTTCGGCTCCACAGTCCAGTGTGTTGTGCTTTATAGCTTTCATGGCTGAGGTTGCTGGTATGTCTGTTGGCCCTGGGTTCCCAGTACTCAGTTGCCGAGGCTTGTTGGAAAAGTAACTCCAATTTCACTCCAAAGTACCAGTGCATGTATGTTGTGTAGGCTGTGCATAGGTAACTGTCTTGGCTGTCCTATTCCGATGTGCTCCTTGTGGTGTAGACCAGGTGTGAATTGGGGGATCAATTCACATGGCTTCGCCAGTTGTTTGAATTAGACAGTTATCTGGCGCTAGTCTTGATCTGTTTCATTCAGATTCAGATCCGCTATCGTTACTGTAAGAGAACATCTGTGGTTGCACATCCAGTGCATTTGAAGATTATTGTACTTCTCTTGCGACGAGCGTATACATTGTATATGGTGTGTGTGTGTGTGTGTGTGTGTGTGTGTTTGTTTATTTGTGTGCCCATGCAGTCAATAGGTTGTCTAACACGAGCAAACTACCTGGCACCGATGGACTGGAAGATTGCCTACAACCTAGGACTTGTACATCTGACTATGCAGCAGTATCCTCATTCAGTCTTTCAAACTGACACATGGCAACAGCACATGGCAACAGCACATGGCAACAGCACATGGCAACAGCACATGATCACTGCCAGTCATTACCGGTAGCTACCTTTCAGATTGCCGGTACCTCACTTCTTCACTACTGTGTACACAGTGATAGAGCCTTGCAATGTCATGCCTTGCACCTCAGCAGTACTCAGCAGTACTCTTCTTGCACCTCAGCAGTACTCTTCTTGCACCTCAGCAGTACTCTTCTTGCACCTCAGCAGTACTCTTCTTGCACCTCAGCAGTACTCTTCTTGCACCTCAGCAGTACTCTTCTTGCACCTCAGCAGTACTCTTCTTGCACCTCAGCAGTACTCTTCTTGCACCTCAGCAGTACTCTTCTTGCACCTCAGCAGTACTCTTCTTGCACCTCAGCAGTACTCTTCTTGCACCTCAGCAGTACTCTTCTTGCACCTCAGCAGTACTCTTCTTGCACCTCAGCAGTACTCTTCTTGCACCTCAGCAGTACTCTTCTTGCACCTCAGCAGTACTCTTCTTGCACCTCAGCAGTACTCTTCTTGCACCTCAGCAGTACTCTTCTTGCACCTCAGCAGTACTCTTCTTGCACCTCAGCAGTACTCTTCTTGCACCTCAGCAGTACTCTTCTTGCACCTCAGCAGTACTCTTCTTGCACCTCAGCAGTACTCTTCTTGCACCTCAGCAGTACTCTTCTTGCACCTCAGCAGTACTCTTCTTGCACCTCAGCAGTACTCTTCTTGCACCTCAGCAGTACTCTTCTTGCACCTCAGCAGTACTCTTCTTGCACCTCAGCAGTACTCTTCTTGCACCTCAGCAGTACTCTTCTTGCACCTCAGCAGTACTCTTCTTGCACCTCTGCAGTACTCTTCTTGCACCTCTGCAGTACTCTTCTTGCACCTCAGCAGTACTCTTCTTGCACCTCAGCAGTACTCTTCTTGCACCTCAGCAGTACTCTTCTTGCACCTCAGCAGTACTCTTCTTGCACCTCAGCAGTACTCTTCTTGCACCTCAGCAGTACTCTTCTTGCACCTCAGCAGTACTCTTCTTGCACCTCAGCAGTACTCTTCTTGCACCTCAGCAGTACTCTTCTTGCACCTCAGCAGTACTCTTCTTGCACCTCAGCAGTACTCTTCTTGCACCTCAGCAGTACTCTTCTTGCACCTCAGCAGTACTCTTCTTGCACCTCAGCAGTACTCTTCTTGCACCTCAGCAGTACTCTTCTTGCACCTCAGCAGTACTCTTCTTGCACCTCAGCAGTACTCTTCTTGCACCTCAGCAGTACTCTTCTTGCACCTCAGCAGTACTCTTCTTGCACCTCAGCAGTACTCTTCTTGCACCTCAGCAGTACTCTTCTTGCACCTCAGCAGTACTCTTCTTGCACCTCAGCAGTACTCTTCTTGCACCTCAGCAGTACTCTTCTTGCACCTCAGCAGTACTCTTCTTGCACCTCAGCAGTACTCTTCTTGCACCTCAGCAGTACTCTTCTTGCACCTCAGCAGTACTCTTCTTGCACCTCAGCAGTACTCTTCTTGCACCTCAGCAGTACTCTTCTTGCACCTCAGCAGTACTCTTCTTGCACCTCAGCAGTACTCTTCTTGCACCTCAGCAGTACTCTTCTTGCACCTCAGCAGTACTCTTCTTGCACCTCAGCAGTACTCTTCTTGCACCTCAGCAGTACTCTTCTTGCACCTCAGCAGTACTCTTCTTGCACCTCAGCAGTACTCTTCTTGCACCTCAGCAGTACTCTTCTTGCACCTCAGCAGTACTCTTCTTGCACCTCAGCAGTACTCTTCTTGCACCTCAGCAGTACTCTTCTTGCACCTCAGCAGTACTCTTCTTGCACCTCAGCAGTACTCTTCTTGCACCTCAGCAGTACTCTTCTTGCACCTCAGCAGTACTCTTCTTGCACCTCAGCAGTACTCTTCTTGCACCTCAGCAGTACTCTTCTTGCACCTCAGCAGTACTCTTCTTGCACCTCAGCAGTACTCTTCTTGCACCTCAGCAGTACTCTTCTTGCACCTCAGCAGTACTCTTCTTGCACCTCAGCAGTACTCTTCTTGCACCTCAGCAGTACTCTTCTTGCACCTCAGCAGTACTCTTCTTGCACCTCAGCAGTACTCTTCTTGCACCTCAGCAGTACTCTTCTTGCACCTCAGCAGTACTCTTCTTGCATTGAACAGCAGTAGATATGTATATGAATATCGGTGCAATGCCCTGGGCATTCCTGTGCGACGTGAGATGAAACCAACCATCAGTGCTGGAACAATGATTACATTGGCGGAAAGTGTAACTTTGACCTGAAGTGTGTTAGCTCACTCTAATACCGTACTGGCAATATATGTTGCCGCGTAACGCGTAACGCAGGGGGGTGCGGCGTAACGCGCGACCAGGCTAGTGCGACAAATTTTCGTTGAGTTCGTAACGCGCGTCCGGTGGGGTGCGGCGATCTTTTCATTGCAGTTTGCACTGCAAAAAAAGGCTGAAAACTGTGAAAGCACGTGTACCGCGTGGTGAAAAGTAGTTTTTTGGAGGAAGCGCTCTTCCCCTATGTCACTTTCCTTTTGATGATCTTTTTGTGAACAGATCACTCTGATAGTTAAAATATACAGTCTTCTATTGATATCGTTGTCGCCCTTTGCCGTCGGGTTTGTAACAGTTGGATAGCAACTGAATTTCTGTGCCTTCAATGTGGATGAAAAGAAAAAAATGATGCGGCAAAAGCAAAAAAATGATGCGGCAATAGCAAAAAAGTGATGCGGCAATAGCAAAAAAGTGATGCGGCAATAGCAAAAAAGTGATGCGGCAATAGCAAAAAAAGGACTGCGGCAATATAGAAACCTGTGTAACGGCTCCTGTGCGACTTTGCATGTAACGCCCTGCGTGCGGCAAACATGTGCCAATGTAACGCTTCATGGCCTCACTGCGGCAACATATATTGCCAGTACGGTAGTGACCATAGTCAATTCTGACCACAGATTCAGGGTAGATTGTTCTGACCATAGAAACCATAGCGACTATAGATAGGTTGCTTTAGAGACTTCTTGCCAATGAGCTCAACTTGACCCGTACAGGGCTCATGCTGCCTCCCAAATATGGTTGCTAGAATTCTGTGAAAAGTTGAAATTACTATAACATATCTCGCAGATTTGAAACAAGTGGCAAGGCGTCAGAATTTGAAGATAGTGATCAACAGCACCAACGGAATCGACATTTCATAACTAATTTTTGTCCACCGCCATCACATTCTTCCCAATATAATGTCATGTAGATGAACAATAAAGCCGTTATGAAAATATCGATTCTGTTGGGCCTGTTGATCGCTATCCTCAAATACCCCGCAGAGTTGCATTTTTCCTCAACTTGGCTACTCTTTACTTGATCAGTGACACCACTGCATTCCACTGTCTGAAATCAGCCGTACGCCTGAACAGCAGCTCGTCAGAGACACTCATGTTGCTAGCAAGTAAGTACTCATGTTGCTGGCAAGTAAGTACTCATGTTGCTGGCAAGTAAGTACTTCAAGTACATTGATTGAGTCACGCCGTACAGGTGGCAGATCGGTAAACAAAGTAGACGTGGTAGTTATGCATAGCAACAAGCTAGCTATTGCTGCTGCTGCTGGTGCTGCTGCGCCCCGTACGCAGCTGGACACAATGCGATACAACACAGAGTTGAAAGAGAGAGAGAGAGAGAGAGAGAGAGAGAGAGAGAGAGAGAGGGCGAGCGAGCGAGCGAGAGAGAGAGAGAGAGAGAGGGGGGGGGGGGGGGGGGGTAATCCTGTTTTTCAATATTTCTTTCTCTCCTTCACGCCATGCTCTTGAAGTATTTTTTTCTTTTTCTATTACTGTTGCCTGTGTCTAGTTTGCATGGTACGGCTGAATGAGTTTTCCAATGCTGAGATATGCTATGAGAAATGCACCACAACATCGTAAGTACCAACACTCAGCACCGGTTTGTACTGTTTGTACTGTACTCCACGAATGATCATACAGTAAAACTCCCCTAATCTGGGTATGTCCGTCTACTACCGGACACCTTTCTGACTCATCTAGAGTCACAAAATAATTTGAAAATCGGATTTTCAACGAAAAACAGCCCCAAAAACTATTGATTGGCATAAACGATGTTTAGTATTGTTTACCTTCATGCAGTGCATGAGAGTGAGAGACATTTCAAGACCCTGGAGCGCCTGCTCTTTTGAAGCCAAGGTCGTAGTTCAGTCAAGGATCACCTACCTCTCCAGCACAATGCTTTTTATAGCTCGTAGCGCACAATGTAAACTCTTTTCCTCGAGTTGCGAATGATTTAAAACGTATTAAAAGTAGAAAAAAGGATGGTGATCATGAGCGGCCTTGAGCACTGCAAATTGACTAGTTGTTGCATTTGAATGTATCACCGGTGATGTTTAGAATGTTTGATTGTGTGTTCTTCATTGTGCTCTGCATTTTTTATTTTTTATTTTTTTACTATTGAACACTCACTGCATGATGAACTAAAATGAGGAGGAGAACTTGACACAATGGTACATATCCAGCAGGATGAAGTGGGTGGGACCTGTGAAGCTCAGCCGACCAAGGGTCTCGGCATATCAGCTGCACATGTGCACCAAAGGAAACGAAATGGGGAGTGGAAGGGCGGGGAGCAGGAGAGCAAGAACTCTAAGGGTAGGAAAGAGAGGACGGAGGGGAGGAAACCAGGAAACTTGTTAGTTTGCGAGTTATTCCAAGATATGAGTGCAAACAAGTATGCAAACAAGTACAAAGATAGCAGTATCAAGATCATGATGCTGAGGCGAAAGTAGAGGCTGATTGCCGTGCAGTTTTGACGAAAGACTAGAGTGAGAATGGAGGAGAGTTAGAGAGAGATGAGGACAGATGGATTGGGAGTTTGCATGACACACATTGAAAATGAGTACTTTTATAAAAGTATTGCAGGACATGTGCTTGCCTGTACCAGTCCTGAGAAAACAGACCGCCGCCACCAGTGGGTGTTGATTTGTATGACTGCTAGGGTATTGTTGTTGTTGTTGTTCAGTGTGCCAATATTCAATGGTGCAGGTTGAACAAACCCTATTTGAACTTTGCTGTCTTCTTCCTTTCAGGACCAACTATCTGGCATTCTTGAACTATGCCACTTTCCTAGCACGGCAAAGGAGAAAAGAAGACTCCGAAAAGCAGTTGAACTCTTTCTACGAGTGTTGCGAGAAGCTTGGTCAGCAAAGGTGCATGCTGACAGAATCGGTAAGGAGACACGACAGTTGAAAATTTTGTGAATTTCTGTCGGCATTCCATTGTCTTTGGATGCCATAGTTCTTTAGCATACTACTTTAAACAACATGTTTGGGAAGTATACAGTCTTCAATACACATTGGTGGGAGGTATACAGTCTTCAATACACATTGGTGGGAGGTATACAGTCTTCAATACACATTGGTGGGAGGTATACAGTCTTCAATACACATTGGTGGGAGGTATACAGTCTTCAATACACATTGGTGGGAGGTATACAGTCTTCAATACACATTGGTGGGAGGTATACAGTCTTCAATACACATTGGTGGGAGGTATACAGTCTTCAATACACATTGGTGGGAGGTATACAGTCTTCAATACACATTGGTGGGAGGTATACAGTCTTCAATACACATTGGCGGGAGGTATACAGTCTTCAATACACATTGGTGGGAGGTATACAGTCTTCAATACACATTGGTGGGAGGTATACAGTCTTCAATACACATTGGTGGGAGGTATACAGTCTTCAATACACATTGGTGGGAGGTATACAGTCTTCAATACACATTGGTGGGAGGTATACAGTCTTCAATACACATTGGTGGGAGGTATACAGTCTTCAATACACATTGGTGGGAGGTATACAGTCTTCAATACACATTGGTGGGAGGTATACAGTCTTCAATACACATTGGTGGGAGGTATACAGTCTTCAATACACATTGGTGGGACGTAAATTCATTTTGGTGTGGGGATAATTTCAGGTAATGCGGCGTCACATGGATTTGAACAGAGATCACTTAGCTTGATTCAGGGGCTGGCGGAGATACCAGTCGTCATATCGGGAGAGAAGCCAGCCATCGTCCGTCTCGCTTCTGATATTGGGTGACTGGCCCGAAACGTCAATTGAGAATACACTCACCACAATGAGTGGAGTGAATTTTCGTAATGTTCTAAAACTTCTGTTTTTAGACTGACTCTTTTGACCTGGATAATGATGGAAGTACAAGCAGGAAAATTCTAGCCATCCCAAACCCCGACCATCATCCTGGAATGATTACTTTTGTAGTCTATCCTGGCTGTGATTCATTCACACCTGAAATGATCGGTGAACCGCCCCTCAGCCAATCAGAGAGAGTTCAGCACGTATTGTTTGTTGTTTCTTCATGCGGAAGGAATTCAGCCATCAGTAAGAAGAAACAAACCAGAACATTCTTCTAGCCTTGCTGATGGCTGAACTCCTTCCACGTGCAGAAACAACAACGCTGGCTGAACTCTGATAGCCGGAAAATTCGCGAAGTCCAAGAATTTCTCTAAAAACAAATTTGCTGTTCTTGCCTTTTCAGAGTCTGAATGCTTGTCAAACTCTTGCAAAACTACTTGGTGTCAGCAAGACTGCACCACAATTTCGTGTGAAGAGAAGAGATAAGAAGGCAGCAGCAGCAGCAAGTACAGAGGATCGTTCTCGTCGCACAAGCGGACAGCCAGTGTGAGCGGACAGCCACTAAATGCTGGAAGCTGCAGTGCCATACCACACAAGATGACCCTTGCAGTCTTACAATAGTGTGTGCTAAATGGAAATGAGTATTGAGAACTAAGCTACTTTCCTACCTACCTAAAGATGTACTGTGTATCTATGTTACTTTAACAGCTGTTTTTGAAATGCCATAGTATGAATCAAATGTGCAGGTATGTATGTGTATTGAATAATAATATGCATATCACCCATCATAGATACTAGAAAAGAACAAATTTGTACCTATAATTTGTAAATGTTATTGACAACAAATGCAGCTCTGCCTGCAAGCCATAACTCACTGAGAGCTATTCTTCTATTCCTCTGCATCCTGTAGCTCAACTTCCTTCATATAGCGTACTTTCAACTGCTGCAGATAAGTCTGCAGACTTTCTGGATTGAGGCGAGAGTTGCGTGCAGCTTGCAGCAAACACGTGGCCAGTGTGTGGACAGCTCGTTTTGTGCTGCGCTCCCTCGAGTTGTGAGACCGGACCTATCACCACATGGAAACACAGGAAATTATGTGGCATGGTCCTGTGAAGGCTTGAGGGCAATGTGATAATCGTATCCAGTGCTGCAAATATTTTCACCCAGATTGGACACCTTTCTGCAGACACTCCCATAAATGGGCATTTCTTCCCAGGGTGGTAAAGAAGCATGATTGTATTCACCTTGCCATAATACCAAAACAGTAAAGTGCAGTCATACTGTTGTACAATCTTTGATATTCCTTCGTTAAAGTGGGAAGTTGGAAATGTTCCTTTTCCGAAAAATTGGACAGTGTCCGCTACATGGGCTGATTTGGCAGAATTGCATAGCAACATGTGTGAGCAGGTCGGGGAGAAATCATATATGTTCCCCCCAAATGGGCGAAGTGGAGTATTGAATTTTAGATTTTCTTCGCTTGTTTCTCCTCCCTCATGCAGAAACAACAAGAGTTCAGACATCAGCAGGCCAAGAAGAAAACACTTGCTGAACTCTGATTGGCTGAGGGCGATTGGCCAGTCATTTCAGGTGTGAAGTTCAGAGCCAGGATAGGCTATAAAAGTAATCATTAGGTTTTCTTCTAGGCCAAGAAGAAAACACTTGCTGAACTCTGATTGGCTGAGGGCGGATGGCCAGTCATTTCAGGTGTGAAGTTCAGAGCCAGGATAGGCTATAAAAGTAATTATTCCAGGAGGGGATGGTGGTTGGGGTTTGGGATGACCAGAATTTTAGATTTTCTTCTAGGCCAAGAAGAAAACACTTGCTCAACTCTGATTGGCTGAGGGCGGTTGGCCAGTCATTTCAGGTGTGAAGTTCAGAGCCAGGATAGGCTATAAGAGTAATCATTCTAGGATGGGATGGTGGTCGGGGTTTGGGCTGGCCAGAATTTTAGATTTTCTGAATTTTAGATTTTCTTCTTCAGGCTTGTCACAGTTCTCCTCCCTCATGCAGAAACAACAAGAGTTCAGACATCAGCAGGCCGAGAAGAAAACACATGCTGAATTCTGATTGGCTGAGGGCGATTGACCAGTCATTTCAGAATTTTAGTATTCTCTTCAAAACCCTGCCTAGGCTATTGAAAAACACAGTGAACACGAAAGAAACGGGTGAAAATCCTTAAAACCCGTTCAAGAGACAGTTTAGCCCCTACTACTAATTTTGGTTGGTTCCTGAAATTTCGGGAACCAACCAAAATTACCCTATATGTAGGATTCCCTTTCCTAAGACAAGATTCCCATTCTCATTCTCAGGTTTCACCAGGCACTCAAATTGCTCATATTGGCCTATACTACATATATTATACCACTACAACTTTGCTAGCTCACTTCTATGGTTTATGAACCTTTGAACTTGGAACTGCATGTATGCTTCATGTTCATATATGTAGTTGTAACTACTGCACTTGCTGGTCTGTACCGTTGTGTGTACTGCCAGCTTCAATGCATCATGACACATCTACGAGTTCATACTGTTAATTAAGTCCCCAGCTCTAGTCTATTTTATTCCCGTAGCTATGCAGAAGACGTTACTTCAGTGACGTGTGGCGCTAGCCAGGGTCCACACAGCTTTAATTTGGTATTTGTGTGTTTGTTTGTTTGTTTGTGTCACGCCTGGCGCTATCCCGTATCTGTCCCGTACCGTACCGTACCATCAAACACAGCTGGCCACATACAGCTGGCCGCAATATTCAAATAGGGCTTTCAAACGCAAGATCATAACATGAAGCAACTTGGAAGAATGGGTATGAATGCGAAGTGTATGGGGGAATGCATGTACATGAAGGGCGATAGTGCGGGTTCGAATCCCAGGATATGCCTGAAAAAATAGGAGAATTGAAAAATTTATAACATCCTTTTTCTTTTCACGGTTGCCGTCATCAAGGCTGTAGATGGTGTCGTATTACCCTCGATTGTACCTGTCCCGTACCTATCCCGTACCGTACCGTACCATCAAAGACGGCTGGCCACAATGCATATTCAAATAGGGCTTTCAAATGCAAGATCATAACGTGAAGCAACTTGGAAGAATTACATACCGGTAGTATGTATGCGAAGTGTATCGGGGGATGCATGCAGGGCGCGCGATAGTGCGGGTTCGAATCCCAGGTTGTCTTTAAAAAAAGAATTTTTTTAAAGAATTTATAACCATGATAACATCCCTATGCTTTTTTTTGTCTAGGTCATCAAGGCAAAAAAGCATAGCGTAGGGCCCTGAGCTTCCAAGCTCTCTCGTTCCCGTAGCTATGCAGAAGACGTTACTTCAGTAACGTCTGGCGCTAGCCAGGGTCCACACAGCATTATTTGGTGTTTGTGTGTTTGTGTCACACCTGGCGCTATCCCGTATCTGTCCCGTACCGTACCATCAAAGACAGCTGGCCACATACAGCTGGCCGCAATATTCAAATAGGGCTTTTAAACGCAAGATCATAACGTGAAGCAACTTGGAAGAATGAGTATGAATGCGAAGTGTATGGGGGAATGCATGTAGGGCGATAGTGCGGGTTCGAATCCCAGGGATTAAATGCCTGAAAAAAGGAGAATTGAAAAATTTATAACATCCCTTTCCTTTTTTTGCCGTCATCAAGGCGGTAGACGGTGTCGTATTACCCTCGACCATACCTGTCCCGTACCTGTCCCGTACCTGTCCCGTACCTATCCCGTACAATCAAAGACGGCTGGCCACAATGCATATTCAAATAGGGCTTTCAAATACAAGATCATAACGTGAAGCAACTTGGAAGAATTAGTATGTATGCGAAGTGTATCGGGGGATGCATGCAGGGCGATAGTGCAGGTTCGAATCCCAGGTTATGTCTAAAAACAAAAAGTAGAAACTTATAACGCTTACGTGGAGATAAAAATGTAATTAACGCAATAAATAGAGTAAGCTGCGCACTCAGTACAAACACAATTAGCAAAACTTGTTTTCAAGCTTCTATATTTACATGAAAACAAGTTTTGCTAATGGTGTTTGTACTGAGTGCGCAGCTTACTCTATTTATTGCGTTAATTAGAAACTTATAAGAATTTATAACATCCCTATGCTTTTTTTGTCTAGGTCATCAAGGCAAAAAAGCATAGCGTAGGGCTCTGAGCTTCCAAGCTCTCTCGTTTTATCCACACCGGAACTGCTGCTACTGGATAGCCTCAATTCTAAAGACTTAGCAACTTCTCGCCTCCACTTGACTTGTTCGCTATGATTCCCTCAGTATTTCTCACCTTGCTCCCCCTTATGTTCAGGTTGCCCGTTTCGGAGCCATCAGTTGCCTGATGATCGTAGTAATACGTGAAACTCGGAGATTTCGGCCTCCCAAGGCTAATACCCATTTCGGCCGCATCAAATTTTCGGCTTGTACTGCTGCCGCCTGTATACACTGTCACAATGAACCTTGCAAAACAAAATTTCGGCCGCAACAAATTTTCAGCCAAACATGACCAGGCCGAAAATAGCCGAAAATAAATATGCGCCGAATATTGTTGCCTTAGGGCATGTTCAATTGGTAGGATCGGGATCCCGATCCACCGGATCCATTGGAATCGCACCCTTTCGATTGGTCGAATCCGGATCCAACGGATCCAAATGTGATCTGTGTGCGTATATAGCAGGTAAAAATCATTTGTGTACATGTTGTGGTACGCACACGTTGATATCAAGATCGAGATATGGCTTGTTGACTTTTTGTACGACGCGAGCGATGAGTACGACTTTCACCCTTTTGGGTGACTTGTGAGCGCCATTCGTCAACATGGCAACAGTCAGGGTTCAAAATAAAGTGTTCAGTTGATTCTGAAGGATCCGACGGATCTGAGATCTGGATCTGGATCCCGATCCCGATCCTTACTAATCGAACATGCCCTTACAGTATTGCAGTGCTGCATGCAAATTACTAGTGTTGAAACGATCTCACCGGGTACTCGTTAGCTCGCTCGCCAAAAACTCGGCTTGTTTGTGCGGCCAGCTCGTTTGCACTAACGAGCACCGTACACCATACTCCGTACATATTTCAGTACATTTAGATCGGGGAGTCGTAAAAATTAATTAATATTGTACAACTCTCTGGTCGATCGAGAGTCCAGTCCCGAGCAAAGTGAAAATCACTCGCAGTTACAGTGACTGTATACCTGCACGACACTTGAGTTGTTTCAGTTGTCGTTGCAGCTTTGGTGGACTCCACTGATGTCTTGTTCCGCATCTGCTAACCTGTCGCAGGACACGCTTCGGTCAACTCTGCATTCGAGTGAAAGTTACGCTCAGTCGTTTGGAAGTTCTCCCGCGATGCAGCGAAGAACAAGGCTACTTGCAATCGTTGCAAAACAGTCTATTCTTACAAAGGCTGCTCAAAGACGGCGCTGAAAAATATCTCGACACCAAACAGCAGTCCGAAGTGAAGCAGCAGGAACCCCAAACGTCGGCGGTGATAATTTGAACCAGATGAAAAAAATCGAACTGTAATAGAAAAAATATCCAAAAAATGATTATTTGCAATTTTTGTCACATCAATGAAGCTCGTTAGCTCGCTCGATAGCTTGCTCGGTAGTGGAACTGATCGCTCGTTTGTTATAGATACGCTCGTTTCAACACTACAAATTACAGCCTGGTAAACCGTATCCTCCCTTCTTTTCTGCAATCGGCCTACTGCACCTACTGTGTATACATATACGCTAGCTTTTTATTACCACAATTTCATCCCCTGATGAAGCATTCAAAATGCAGAAACCGGTAAGGTATGCCAAGACGCGTATGCAGGATTGGCGGGAGGGAGGTTACATAGGGTCCGTTGTAGTAAATAGCTACGTCACGTCAACCAACTCTCTCTCTCCCTCTCTCTCGCGCTCGCGCGCGCGCGTCACGTGTTTCAGGGCATGCACAGTGCATGAAGACGTCAAGTAGTCGTAGAATCTGCGACTTGACGACTCGTTGACAGCACGGCGCGACGCCCACACGCAGGGCAACAAAAGACGAAAAACGAAAACAAATTGTTCAGTCGGCTGACAGAAAGGGGGGGGGGGTGTTCGTCTCAACCCTGTCCTTTTGGTGGCCCCTTACACTACGGAAGCGGAAAGGTGGTTCTTGACCAGGGAGTTGTACGACTCCTTGTTCTTGACCTGCCCGGTACGCGAACCCGTCGAATTTTTTTTTACTCATTTTTTAACACATGTACTGGGTCACCAGGGTGGCGGGTAAATACTGACCCTGACATACCTGGTACTGCTGCATCTTCTCATGGAGTTGCCTTGCTGAGGAAGTGATAGCAGTTGGTAAAGTGGACATCTCGGCAATCTTGATTCCTTCACAGTAAATAATTATAACATAGAACATTGTGACTGGACAGGACAATTCGAAAAATATAACAACGTGTGCGTGGCAACCCCTGAGACAAGGATATCTGTGCCGTGTCACCTCCCTGGCGTGGGTACAACTCCCTGTTGGGCATGCATGAACCGCAAACGTAGCGTGTACACACACCCAGTGCTGCCAAACCGTCCGATTTTTCAGACAGTGTCCGATTTTTGAAGGCTCTTCCGAAAACCGGTCCGAAAAGGGAAACGTCCGAAAAGCAGCCAAAATGTCGGAGATCATTACTTTCCTATGCAGAAGTCCTGTATTTTCACTTTTCAGCGCAACTGAAGGCACAAATCACTGTATATTTGCTTCTCAAAAGGCTAGCGCTTGGCTGTGGAAGTGCAAAGTAACATGCCTGCATCAGGTTGGATGGCATGTACGCTGCCAGTCTGTACAGATTCAGTGTGCGACCACACTCATCGTTACAAAATTCATGACAACTCCGGGGTTACCATGGCAACGAAGCGAATTTTCGTGGTGTTTTAGGCGATATTTTGAATTCTCTGTAAAAAATTTGCCGAGGAGAAAAATTCGGGGTGTCCGATTTTGGGCGAAAATTATTTGGCAGCACTGCACACCAGTTATGAACAATACCGCTCTCACTCACCGTACTGCTTCTCCTGCATCTTTCCCTGCCTCAGTTGGTGTGTGTAATGAATCTTGTCATCCCCGCTTGGTCCTGTCACATGCTACAAGGAAATAGACCAAATGATACACTATTGAATTACGCTGAATCTCAGGGGCGTAACGCATACGTACAGTGCACCACAGACTCAGAAATTGTTTTGTCTTGTGAATAGCAGCATGCTGTGATATGCCCTCATCGTTCCAGGAAGAAAGGTACAGTCGAATATGACTCTACCTCCTTGTATTACGACTTTGAAGGAATCTACATGTACTTTGTCAATTCTGCATGAAAGCTGACTTCAAAAAGAAATTTCTTGCAAAGTACAAATGAGGCACAAAGTGCAATGCTGCGTTTTACCTGAACATCCATGTGGTAACTGCAGGACACACAGCACACGTAGAACATGACAGTCAGCAAAGGGACATGTGAAGAATGAACAAGTATGATGTGTGTGGTCAATTTGAAGGTGAGCTTCCGGGCTACAAACAAAATGCATGCTCTTGTTCTTCCTTGTCACCAAAGTAGTGATGTTCACCGTTGAAGATAGTCACAGCAAAGCGTTGAAGATCATGAATTTGCTTACATTGCCCTGTGCTTATTGGTACAGATTTAAAGTTGATATACTTCATAGCCGCTAATACACAGGAGCGTATTTCGTAAGGTTTCCAGGCTGCCCAAAAACGCTTGTGCGCTTGATCAAGCCGGCGCCAATGCCATAGAGTACATGCCTAACCAGTAACGACAAATCGGAGAACTACAGATGGGCTGATTGAGTGAATTACTGGTGTGTATGCATGCCCAAGAGCAAGGAAACCCCTCCATAGCCCAACCCAGCTATGCACCTGGTATAAGATACATGCACCTACTTGATAGCACTGGGATACAAGCCCTCCAGCTGAGTCAGCTCCAGGAAATGAGTGGCAAAGAAAGTGAATGTCTGCAAAAACATTAAAAAATGAAAAGCATGTACAGTGGCATGAACCCAAGCATTGGCTTTACATAGTAAACATTCTGGATACTAGGCAGCCTGCTGTGAACCTCAGCCACTTGGGAACGTGCGACCTGGCACAAGGGTAACACGGATGCCGCAAGGTGAATTTCGACCTTTGGCCTCTGGTTGATAGATGTGATCTATCCACCCCACCATTCAGGAGCTAACATAGTTCTGCATCAGTGTCTGCTCCAGCGCCGGGTGAGCCGGGTAATCCACCCGGTTGGGCGGCGCTTGGACCCGGTTGAAAATATAGTACTGGGTCACCTGTGACCCGGTTGGTACTTTACACTTTCGAACTTTGAAAGGACTGACTACATGGCTTGTATGTGTCAGATACTTCTTCTTCTTTCGTAATTTTCTAATTCCTGTCCTCTCTTTTCTATATGCGGCTTATCCATTCGCCTTTATATCATTGGGCCTAGTTCCCGTTTATTGTCCGAATTAAAATAAACCAACCAACCAGTTAAAGCATGTGACTCGGCTGGTGAGACAGCACCAGGTACATGTGTACCCGGCTCCGACCCGGTTGAAATGGTTGCACCAGATACACGTGTACCCGGCTGTCCTACAATCCTAGAGCAGACACTGTGCATAACATCGAATCATGGGGTTGTGGCATGCCACGGAAGCGGAAAGATAGTTCTTGACCTAGCCGGTACATGGGTTATATAGAGCAGCCTAATGGATGATGAGGAGAAAGACATCATCAGGGACCTACACGTGTAGCCTAGGAGCTCAACATCCATTGTGTTTTGTTGCAATGATGCCGAGACCCTATGGTCGGTCAAGCTGCCCCTGCCTCTCCCCCACTCCTGCCATTCCATATGTCTCATCGCTGCCTTGCTGCTTTGTGCCGTCAAATGGTGTGTGGTTTTTATTGTAAAAAAATCGATGTCACTGCTAAGACACGTATGTGCGACACCATTGGAGTGGAATGGTAAAAAGATGCATGCATATCATTAGACTTGGATGGAGAGCCAAGGATTAAATTGAAAAGAACCCCCCCCCCCCCCCGACCAAAATGTTACAATCATCATGTTATCCATAGTTTGTGTCCAACACGGATAACATATAACATGTTGATCCTTTCCTTTTTGAATATCATTAGCATAGGCAAATGACGGCGACATCACATCTCCACACTAGTAAATAAACTGACAGCCACACCCAAGTGACACGGCCAGGGTACTACTATACTTGAGATCCTGGAAACATACCTTCTTAGCAATTAATTCTTCACAAATTGCATGGCATATTCCCATACCTTCCTCGGAACTAGTACCTGTGGCGGCAAGTATAGAAAAAAAAGCATAGAAAACACCATCAACAAAATGTAATGCTTCAATCATCGCTGTTCACACTGCGTGCTCGAAGATGTATCACAGAACAGTATTTTGGAAAAATGGAAAAAATTGGTTATGGGGAAACTATTTCTGTGGCCTCTTCTGGGCTATCAGAGAAAGGATTACCAACCTCTTCCCAGCTCATCGATAATCACAAGACAACCTTCACTTGCCTCCTGTGTAGAGAATACAGAAACAGTAGGGTGATTGTAGGGAAATAGTGTGTCTCCAATAGACAGCCAAACTGGGCTGAACTGCAGGAGATTAGTGATTTTGTCATTACAGTACTGTCGGGCACCGAAGAACTGGGGGGGGGGGGGGGGGGGGGTAGGGTTCTAGCCTAGCCCGTTCTTATTTTTAGCGAACACAGCAGCTTCGTTCTTATTCGATGGTACAGTCTTACATGTACATTTGGCCCAGAATCTGCGAAAACCAGGCTTAGGGTGAAATTTCACAAAATGACTTTTTCCCATTTTCAGCTTCTATTGGGCAAGGGGGGTCAGGAAACAAAATATTACAGGTGTGGGTCGACTCATAGTGGTATTAAAAGCATCTCAAACACACCAGGGTATTGTGTTAAAAAATCCAAAAAAACACAAAATTGTTATCACAGAAAAGAAATGAAGAGAGATCCACCAGACTGAAGGAAGAGACATGGATATTTTTTGTTTAGGTGACATGACAAGGTAGGCATGTGGGGGCAGGCTTGTTGTGGCCCCTTCATGCTGCAGGCTGTAGTGGCCATGCACAGTTCTGCATGAATTTTGTTTGCTCCTCACTATACTACTAGTGCACTCAGCACATTCTGGGGCTGAATACATGTACTGACATGCTCTGGCGCTACACACCACAAGGAAACCTGACTCCAATTGAGATGGCACCTTTTGAAGGGTGAATCTAGTACACCTGTTCAGAAACAAGCAAGAACACAGCCTTTTCAAACTGTTCCCTGTTCATAGTAAGCGCATAGTGTGCTGGCGTGCTGCAGTATCTGCTTGGTGCTGACCAGCAAGTGAAATATCAGCACGCGGTACAATCCCTTGCAGCTAGCCGTCCAGCGAGGAAAGTCTCGAGTGGGGGCCTCTCGATCTGCTCACTCATTCGCCTGGCATTCAGTAGGACTTCATCGCCAAGGGTTTCAATTCAAAACCGTTTTCACACTGCGCTTCAAGCCATTTTCCTCGTGAACTTGCTGCAAACGTATGAGCTCCGCTGCGCGTGTTCCCTTTGCATGAGGCCCAGAAACAGCTAGTATCTCCGTACTTCGATTGGCTGGATTGATGTCGTCCAGGTTCTCCTCGCTATCGCCATCACGACTCTAACTGGAGACGATTTCTTCACCATTTTCCGCAAGCAGCAGCTAGCGCAGAAATTTCGCCATCCATGAGTGTAGGAGATGGAATCCGTTCGATCAGCTCAAAAACTCTTCATCGTGACTAGAGGAGTAGCAGGGATACTCTACCGGAAGCCCTTTGACTTCCCTGACTGCTGAAACCCTTCCTGCCATGACTGCTACTTCTTCAAACAAGCGAGATTCTCTTTGGTTCCACTTCACTGCACTCGATCGTCCACGCGACACAACCTTTTTACAAAACATAATTTTTCTCAAAAAAATGATTTTCACCCTAAGCCTGGTTTTCGCAGATTCTGGGCCATTTATGCAGAGTTGTGTACGTCTGAGTGTACATTATAGTGTACATTGTACAGTTTCCGTTCTTCAGCAGTATTTCAGACATAATCAGGATAAACCACCTATATTGATGTAACTATTCTCGAATGAAACACCCACTATCTACGTCATGAACAAGCTTGTCAGAAGCACGGCGCTATGTTCACACAATGCAGGTAATGTCGGAGAGAAACCGTCCAGAACATTTTCCCACATTGGCTCACGAGTGTGTGTGAGGGGCGCCGTGATTCATTTGCTGTAGTCTTTGTATTGTTTGGAATGGCAGTGCTGCTATGTGCCATGATGCATTGAACGTGTGACCCTTCATGAGCTGACTGCGGGCCTGTAATGTCAAGAGTTTGCATGAAACACACCATGAAGATGAGAACGTTGTGGATTACATGTACAATGTGACAACCCCATCTGAGACTACTCATAGCTACAGGTCACTCTTGCAGGTCACCACTACAAAGTCTGCATGTACCTGTAGGATGTAGTGTGCTTCTCTCATCTGTGCACAAAACAAAGCAGAACAGAAAGGTTGCACATGGCGCTGTGTGTTTAGTGATCTATTGACCGGAGAGATGGGAGGGGGGGGGGGGGGTAGGGGGTGTTACATGTCAGAATACTAGTACATCTGCAAAGCAGTACTAGGGGTAGATTTTTCTTTTGACCAGACGAGACCAGACGACGCTTGCAGATGCCAGCACGAACACTGCACCAGTCACACTCCACAACAGCTAGAAGTTGCTCCTGACAAGCCTTTTTCATTCAATTATGATGTTGGGAACTCAGAGGAGAGGTAGATGTTGAATGAAATGAGTTGAACTAAATGATATTGTTTTATGGAAGATATTGGCGCAATGTGTACACTCAATGAACTATCATGTGTGACAAATCGACACGAATGAAATAGTGTAGAGCGGAGGTGTTATGAACCCTACCGACACATTTATCACAGGTGCTAAGTCAATCACAAGGAGAAAGAGAGGTACACAGAATAGGTTGCGCTAAAAAAAAAACGACACCTCACAAAGTATACTGACGTGTGACAAAGATGGGTGTAAAGCAGAAGCCGAGTGACAGCCAAAAAAATCATTTTTGGGTGTCTAACGTCACATTTGAAAGTTGCTTACTGCACAAGACAAAGACTTCACGAACCTCGAAAGCTGACATTGGGTAGAAAGGAGTGTGTGATGCAGTGGCGAACTGTGAGATGCTACAGCAACGTTTCCATCCAGATCTTGACAACAGGGTTGGCGTCTGCCGCTATAATCCTTCCATCAGATCATCCTTCTTCACATCAATGGCAGATTTCCTGGCCCAGGAGAGTCATAATTTGGTGATGCCATCTTCAGTAGGTCTGCCAAATAGTAGTGCTAGATTTTTCTTTTGACCAGACGAGACCAGACGACGCTTGCAGACACCAGCACAAACACTGCACCAGTCACATTCCACAACAGCTAGAAGTTGCTCCTGACAAGCCTTGTTTCATTCTATTATGATGTTGGGAACTCAGAGGAGAGGTAAATGTTGAATGAAATGAGTTGATATTGTTTTATGGAAGATATTGGCGCAATGTGTGTACACTCAACGAACTATCATGTGTGACAAATCAACACGAATGAAATAGTGTAGAACGGACGTGTTATGAACCCTACCGACACAACTATCACAGGTGCTAAATCAATCACAAGGAGAAAGAGAGGTACACAGAATAGGTTTATACCGACGTGTGACAAAGATGGGTGTAAAGCAGAAGCCGAGTGACAGCCAAAAAAAGCATTCTTGGACGTCTAACGTTACATTTGAAGGTTCCTAGCTGCACAAGACAAATACCGCATATATATATACACTTGAATTGGCATGGTGCTGACTGTGATTCCCAGCCCAATTCAGGTGCAGGGAATCAACTGGACCAGTAGCGCCCAGCTCCCTGGAAAGCTTCTTGTCGACAATGCTTACAGTGAATCCTTCATCCAGGAGCGCATGTGTCTCGACGCTATGCCCGTTGGACACTGAGAGCGACACCGACACAACACGCAGGGCAATCCGAGTCCGCTGAACGGTGTGGGAGTTAACGCTCTCCTGCTGTTCAGTGTGGCCAAAACTGTTCTTGTCAGGCGGGTGCACTAGTTCATGTGACGCTTTCCGCAATCACCAACGGAGCAGCGAACGGCTGGTCACGGGGACTCGACTGGTCACGGGGGACTCGACTGGTCACGGGGGACTCGACTGGTCACGGAGGACTCGACTGGTCACGGGGGACTCGACTGGTCACGGGGGACTCGACTGGTCACGGGGGACTCGACTGGTCACGGGGGACTCGACTGGTCACGGGGGACTCGACTGGTCACGGGGGACTCGACTGGTCACGGGGGACTCGACTGGTCACGGGGGACTCGACTGGTCACGGGGGACTCGACTGGTCACGGGGGACTCGACTGGTCACGGGGGACTCGACTGGTCACGGGGGACTCGACTGGTCACGGGGGACTCGACTGGTCACGGGGGACTCGACTGGTCACGGGGGACTCGACTGGTCACGGGGGACTCGACTGGTCACGGGGACTCGACTGGTCACGGGGACTCGACTGGTCACGGGGACTCGACTGGTCACGGGGACTCGACTGATCACGGGGACTCGACTGGTCACGGGAACTCGACTGGTCACGGGGACTCGACTGGTCACGGGGACTTGACCTGTCACGGGGACTCGACTGGCCACGGGGACTCGACTGGCCACGGGGACTCGACTGGCCACGGGGACTCGACTGGCCACGGGGAATTGGCTGGTCACGGGGAATTGACTGGTCACCGAGTTCTACACCCATACACTCTGCACACAACCCGATGTGTAGTGAAACTGTAATTCTCTATCAATGTCCCCCAACACAGGTTGTAAATGTACTAACCTCCAGCATGAAAGTTGATGCATTGGTCTCAACATCATCTCTGCAGCCCATACGGCTGAAGAGCTGCTTACAGAGACGAAATGACGCATATTGAGCAGGAACAAAGCACCCGATCTGGGCCATGATTTGGCAGAGCATTATCTGCTTCAAGTATGTTGACTTGCCACTCTGTACAGTCATTCATACACAAGCATGCAGCGACATGGGATAGCAATGCACTGTTAGATTTGTGCAGAAGTACAGTACTGATCGGCTATAGCGTTGGTGTTTGATTTTCGTGAAAATATCACTATAGGCGATATATTACTACAGGCGATATGCATACTTAGGTATGCCTGACACATGCGTGTGTGGTGTCATTCGAATCAGTGCAGCGTGCAGAAGCGTGCTGTGCATGTGACTGTGCAGTACGCGTAGTGCAGAGCTACTTCACAAAAAACTTCGTGACTTTTGACATGAGTTTTCAAGGAGTTGTTGTGCTCAACAAATGCCTTCTTTTGGAAAAGAAACACTTCAACACATTCAATCGACATATCAACAATATCTACAGGATCGATTAGTGGGAGTAGAGTCTCAGTCTGGGTTGCCATCGCTCGACTCATCACCGCTGAAACCATTCCAAGTGGCAGGTCGATTGACGCGTGATGTCGTATGTCACGGAGAAGCTTCTCCGCGTCCCTGATCGTCTTCGCTGTTACCTGAATGCCTTCTCCAACATCTCGGCGGAGTCCATGGTAGCGCTTCAACGCTGATACTCATCAGGGGCGTCACAGGGTGGCTGGGAGTGGTACGACCGGGGGTCCGGGGGTGTCCCGCGGAGAAAAAAATAAGGATTTTTCGGCTAACAGGGCACGTTTTAGCACTCTACAGCCGCAAAGGAGGAGGGTTCCCCTAGCACTTATTAGACAACCCCACTCCAGCTCAAAAAACATACTTCTCAATTTCTCATGGATTTTTTGGTATTTTCTGTACATCGTAGGTAGCCAAGCAAGGCAAAAGGAACCCATTGCCCTCGAAAAAATCGCAAAATCCGAAGTACAAGCGTGCTGCGCGCGCGTTTTAGCGCCAGCCGCTGGGCAAAAATGTATATCATGTGCTGCAAAAGTCCGCCGCGTCGCTATGTACACGGCCGGCCTGGACAGTCGCGAAGTAATTATTTTAGTTGTTTTTAGAGAGAGAAGAAGATCCTTTTTTTTTTGTTCGGTGGGATTGAAAGATCTGCCATGCCAGTGGACCGGTCCGGAGAGATACGACACTGGAAGCAGAAGAAAGGGCTTGCGGAATAATCTTCTCTGTCTTCGTGGCAACAGGACTTTAGTTTGCGAGAGACCTTCGTCCTCAGTGTCGTCGCGGACGCAATTCTTGTTGCTGCTACCAGAAACCTCGGAAAACGAAACGATCGTAAATCGTTAGGTGAAGCGGGTCGTGTCGGTGAACAGCTGCAGAATATTCTGCTGCCGTGGAGCAGCAGTCCAAACACTATTCAACTAATTACTTCCGAGAAAGAAGCGCTTCCCTTTTCCGTTGACAAACGCGGCGTTCGCGGTTGTAATGCATTTTCGCATCAGCTTGCAGTAGATCGTCAGAAGCCAGAGGTACTAGGTAGGTGTCGTTGTGGAAAGAATAAATATTATGTTGTAGCTGACAAGTGACATACATGTAGTGCCTCTTGACCGTGCTGATCGCCATTGTAACATGGTAGATCTTGGAAAATTTTAGTTCTGGACCCAGTGATCGCCGCCAGCTCAGCTCTGTTTCCGTCAAGTTTGCAGTGAATGCGTCCGTGAGGAATCCATCGTCTGGTTGTCTCTACCCGTGACTCCAACCGCCTATCGATATCGTAATGGATAGCCGCCTGGAGTCTTGGGCAATAGCTAGCTGCTAGTGCTAGGCATCAAGTCTGTATGCTCCTTGCAATGAAAGTTGCGATGTTATGTACAAGTCCGAAGATCCTTGAATTTTTTTATTGCTTTTTTGGATGAATTGGGTGGACCATCCTGGACGAAAAGTGGTACGACCATGGTCGTAGTGGTCGTACCGTGTGTGACGCCCCTGCTCATTACTGCCTCCGCTCTCGCCCGAGGATGCCCCGGAACAACAAGCCCAGCCAACGCCAAACATTTCGAATTTCCTCCGAGGGATATCATAGTCGTATCAGCGCTTCCTGACTGCCGCGATCAGATGGTGCCATGTACGATGTATAATTTTTTATGATCATCACTATAGCCGATGAAAAATGTATGCAATAAAATCATTTTGACAAAGAAAATCGCATCATTATAGCCGATATATTACTATAGCCGATTATTACTATAGCCGATCCAATATGTATAGAAAGGGGTGGTTTATGAAAATGAATTTGAGAATACGATCACTATAGCCGACAACCCTATAGCCGATCCGCACTGTATAATCCAAAGTCATAACTATCTTCTTCTTCTTCTTTTTTTACAAATAACCACACACTTTTTGACAGCACAAAGCAGCAAGGCAGCAATGAGACTTATGGAATGGCCGGAGTGGGGGAGAAGCAGGGGAAGGGAACGAAAACGTTCAATAACTGATTAGAAGTGCTTTGTTGACTGGATGGGAAAAAAACGCGTGAATGCTTGTGGACCTACCTTTGTTCCGACCTCCTTTTACAATTGCTCTCTTTCTGCTTCTTTTCCTGCCATCTTGCGTGTTCTGTTTGACGTGCTTCTACTTTGTAAGGTAAAATGTGTTTTATCTTCGAGGGGCGTGGTGTATCTTATATTTATCGCCGTGGTTGGCTGTCACCCACTCTCTTTACATTGGCCGGTGTTTTCACTGAGTCTTGAGATGTAATAAATATCCCGCTCTCCATATGTGTCTGCTAGTATCGTTTCATTCATCCGTACTCACTTCCTGTACGCATGCCAGCACAGCATGCGCACTGTTTCTCTGCTGTCGGAGTCTCTTCCTCAGTTCTTGTTTTGTTCTTGTGTTTACATCTATTGTATTTTGATAAAGATGTTGAAACCCAACAGGGCCTCTATATACAGTTAGTGTCAGGTAAATAAAATGCGCTTACCATATTGGGTCCAGTGACTATGTGGAAGTGACAGCCATCTGCAGCATACTACACACAATCAAACACAACAGCACAACTTTCTACACCACTAGTCAACCAGTGATCGAACACTTATTAACCCATTCCACCCGAAGCACGTCGTTTGCAAAAGCATCCTGGATTACGAAGCACGAGATAACTCTTATGCAAAGTGCGCCCATTGGGCAGTGCATATACATCACTGTTCGAATTGCTGTAACTCCATCGTCCTTTCTTCAATTGCCCAGAATGAAGGCTTTTTGGAAAGCTGAGAGAACAGGCTTTGTGGTGATGTGTCGTTTGAAAGAGCACGATGAAGAATATCTCAGCGCCAAAGAGCGAAACACGAATATGGTATTTTCCCGAATTGGTGCCGTACGTAAAATAGAGCCATACGGCAATAATTGCCACGTTTCGAACCTGCAGACTTGTCACAAGTGCTGAACGCTTTTTACCGCCGCGGTGCATACCACCCTGGAATGTTGAATCCTTATGCGTGTGTATCTAGTGTGCACAATTTTGTTTTTAATTTCCATGGTGTGGTATAATGCCATTACTGTACTGCTCTGCTCATCTTCTGTGTGAAGGCTGTAATCTTGAAGTAATTGTTACCCGAACGTCAAAAACCATACCGATACTGTATCCTTGGTTACTTGATCATGGCATGTATTATCCAAGAGGTCTGGTCAGTTACAAAGCCAGTACATCACGAGCACATTGCAGGTATGACTGGGGATGCGGCAACGGCACTTAGTCAGTGACTCATGACTCATGATGTACTTTGCTTCAGAACTCACCCAATCCCTCTATTATCGTTTTCCACCAAGGTCTAGAGCTGCTATGTGAACAGTGATCATGGGTAGGACATACCGTGTTGTTTGGCACGGGCGGCTCATTAGATATTTTATCCAGGATAGGATGGCGTGCCTGTTTCAGTGCAAGTGTGTTTGTGAACTCTGGACGAACTGCAGCAATCAATCAACAGCAGAAATGGCATCTGAGAAAATTTCAAAAGTTTGTGTCAGGGTCGGCCAGATAGGTTTTTCGCATGTGCAGGGCTGCCACCACCCTCAAGAATCAAGGTGCAGATCAAGGTACAAATGCCGCCCCATCCAGTTACATCCAGTATACGCCACATAACGAACTCACATATATAGCGAATTTCGTGATATAGCGAACCATTGTCCATGTCCCTGTTTGAACCCATACAAAATTGACTCTTTATAGCGAACAATATTCGTTTACTGCGAACCGAATCCTGTAGGGCTGCTCTTCCCTTTTAAGCATAAGACCCTCTTCCTTTTAAAATCCCTGTGCTTTGGCACAAGAGCACATGGAGCTATGTAGCATGTACTCTTGCTTGACAGGATAAGTTTATGTTTGTATACTTTTAGTGTAGTGATCCTCTCAGCTTTTATGTTATTGTTGATTATAGTATGACCATAAGTATTATACACATCTTCTATATGGAGCTTTTATTAGTTAGAAGACCCCCAGACTCCAGCACCCCCAGGCTCCAGCACTCCCAGATTCTTGGATATGTACTATAATTTAGATGCTCTGGTTTGCTGATTGAAGACCCCCCTATCGTCTTCAATCAGTATGATAACCGTGAGGATTTGTCTAAGCATTTCATTCAGATTCGGAAAGCTAATTTATTCGGATGACTTTTCGGGCTCCTTTGCAGTGTTCTACGAGTCCAGTGCCAGAGGCCTAATAGTATTATTAGGCCTACAACAGTACTTTCCATGCTCTACACTTACCATAGTCGGAAAGTGTGCAGGCATGTGAGAAAGACACCAGCATGTCAGCCATGGACACACACTCACTCAAATTGTACAAGCAACTTATGTGCTCACGTACAAATGTCAGCAACTCGTTCAAGGCCCTGCAAGAAAGTAGTAGATAGAACAAAAGAAAACTGGCATGTGCAATACTGCAGCTCTAGTCAAGTGTAACTGTCCGACATTCTCTTTCCATGAAGTGTAGCCATGGATACTTACACATTGGTCATGAGGTAGATTTCATGTAGTGACTCTCGGACACGATCTACAGCACAACACAGAAGAGAGGTCTGTTGAATAGAGATACGAGACAACAGAACGGCTTCAAGCTTTGCACGGTGCACTCCTTCTGCTTACCAAGCAGAGCAAGAAAGCACATGGCGGCTTATCTGACCTCCTCGGCTTACCAAAGCTGATTAGTTCAAGTTGTGCTCAAGATGGCCAATACACCGTTGTACCCATTATCAAAGTCAAAGAGCCTGGTGGGAAATGTGTTGTGTTACAGAATCAGGAATTCACGGTACAAGACCAATTGTGTACAAATCCACCCCTAGCTTCTCTACTTCAGTCATGATGGCATTGTCATGATTCTCTGCCTACACTTGTCAAAGCAATCAGAACAAGATAGCAAAGAGTGGCGTATGTGTGTGTGAATGCTATTTGGTATGCTTTTTCCTTACCATTCAGCTTAATCTGAAGACACCATCAGCGTTGAGTGGGTCAAGACCGACATCAGCGTTGAGTGGGTCAAGACCGACGAGATAATAAAACCATTATAAAATAAGATCATATGCACGCACATGCATACACACACATTAAAAAGGACAAACATACATACACACACTTTTGCACTCATACAACCACGCACACACACACACACACACACACACACACACACACACACACACACACACACACACACACACACACACACATGCACACACACATGCACACACACATGCACGCACACATGCACACACACATGCATGCATGCATACATGCACACACACACATACACACACACACACACACACACACACACGCACACACACACACACACACACACACACACACACACACACACACACACACACATGTACACACACGCTCACACGCACACACGCACAAGCGCACACGCACAATGTGCTCGCACGCACACACACACACACACACACACACACACACACACACACACACACACACACACACACACACATACACACACACACATACATACACATGCATACACACACGCACAAACACACACACACACACACACACACACAGAACAGAACACACATAAGGCCAAAACTAATAGCCTTATTTCAGGTCAGCCGACCACGTTATTTTTTTCCCAAATTCTGTATTTTTCGGTCCGCATACAGTAAAACCTGTGACTACCGACCACCCCTTGGTCCCAGCAAAAGCAGTCTTTAGTAGCAGGTGGTCTTTAGTTAGAGGTTTGCACCATGCGACCATATATGGATCCCAGTATATGATATGCATATCAAAATGCAGCTAATACAATTTCCCAGTACTTGCGCAATGCCATTCTTATTTCAGGTCAAACAACACTTGGAGAGAAAGACGGAGAGATGGAGAGAGACAAAAAAGAGAGAGAGAGAAGATTATTTTTTTTGCAGACATCAAATTCAGCTGCTACTTCTGAAGCCAGGAGTCAAACGTTCCCTGTGGAAGTTTCGTTTTGCGCTGGGCTTCAAATTTGTTCCTCCGATCAATCGTACCGACTATCCTTGTTGTGACTTCTCGATTGTTCGAACGCGATCCTTCAGCATCACAGGACCTTGCGGTGCTGCTTTGTTTCTGGATTCCTTGACGCCATCGTCGATTCATTTGTATGACTGGGGTGACATGTATGACTGGGGTGACAGAGCCGCTCAGTCTTCGTTTCTCCTCCGAGTAGTAACATCGAGCAGAGAGGGCTTTCGATGCGCTCTCAAAGACGTTTCCTATCATGTTTATTCTTGACAGCGCTTGAAATTCTGACAGGTGTAGTGCAGTCTAGTCCACGCCGACTCCACAGTCATAATGACCTGCGTTCATTTGTTCAGCTGTAGTACCGAAAGATTCCTTTCAGGACCATGGAAAATCAGCAAAATTTCAAGAAGGAGCTCTGAGCAACATTTGATTTCCTACATCGCGGTCGCTAGTTACGGGTCAAAAATCGTCTTTGGGACAAGAAAAGGCGGTCGCTGGTCGCGTTCAGCAGGTAGTCGCTAGTCACAGTGCATTTTGAATGTGAGACCGTCCGTGCCTGGCCAAGTGGTCGGTAGTACCAGGCTGGTCGGTAGTACCAGGCTGGTCGGTAGTACCAGGCTGGTCGGTAGTACCAGGCTGGTCGGTAGTACCAGGCTGGTCGGTAGTACCAGGCTGGTCGGTAGTACCAGGCTGGTCGCTAGTCACGGTGCCAGTCTTTAGTTACAGGTTTTACTGTATGTATATGATCGATGCACACGTGCATCTGTTGTTAGCTGCCCAGACCGCTTATTTGAATTGTGCATGCACACGTACAGCGTACAGCGCACAGTGTACAGTGTGCATACATCCAGTAGACGTCAATGCTGTCAGGAGTACACTCGATCCCTCCGCATGGGTCCATTGGAATGTTGAAACCTACGATGTGCTCACATCGTGCTTCTGTTTGCTTGTGCATCGGTATGTGACCATGCATGTGAATGCATGTATGCAGAAATGTGCTGTGCCTGGGTTCAAGTGTGAGGGCAATGTCAGTCGATGACCAGTCGATAGTCAGTCAGTAGGATTGAATCCAGTGTAAGTTGATAAGGAATTTGGATCAGTCGTTTCACCCCTACGCGGAAACATTATTTCACCAAGGAGTTGAGTCTGGACTGAAGCTGCCATCAAAGTTCAGGCTGCTGGAGAGGCCAGTTTATTCAAGTTGTTCTTCAGCCCTGAAATTGTGTCTGGTATCCACCCAAATAATGCATGGGCGGCAAGTGTAACCATGCTTTCTAGGTAAATCTGCACACATTACTGGTGACATCAGCTACATGTTGCTACAAGAGGCTATCCCACACAGAGCACAAATTAGTAGAGGTTTTGGTCATGAGGTTGCCAGTACAATGTATTTAGGGGCGTTGGGTTGATTGCGGTGAGGGGCAATTGCTTGGAGAATACTACAGACATCCAACAAGAGAAATAGGCCGTGGGCGAATTTGGTTTTAGCTTTTGATAGCTGTGCTCTGGACAGTGTTTGCGGTGTTTGCATTGCCAGCTCTGAGCGCCTGGCGAGGGAGCAAAATCAGATCCCTGCAAGGAGTCTGTTGGGACTGTACAGGCTGCTTCCCTTTGCCATTACAGCTCACTTACTTGCCATGGAAACTCACCAGATCATTGGTAGTGAAGCTGATAGTTGCTTTGCTCCTGACCACCTTGATGAACTCCGCTGGCAAGCCACCAGTCTCAGATCGATTGGATGGTGTAGAGCGTGCAGTAGCAGCACCAGTAGCAGTACCAGTACTGGTAGCCATAGCAGTGGCAGTGGCAGTTCTCACACTTGCAGTACTGCTTCTAGCACTGGCAGCAGACAACAGGCCAGGCAATGCAGGCATCTGTATGAAGAATGAACGTGTTGCATTGTACCCGGTGCGCAGTGGAAGATTGTATTTCTCGGCCAGCTGGGTGATCAAGCCTGTACAATGGCATATGAGAAAGAGCATGCCAAGAAGACTGACAGACTGGTAATAGGCAACATACAAATGTACGAATGCACTGTCTGAACACGACGCTTTCCACTTTTAACGATTTCCAGGCAAGTACACTTTGTACATGAAATCCATCACATTTAGAAGAGTTCCAGCAACTCACAATACGGGCACGTATGTACGGGTTTTATTTTTCCGTACTTTTAACCCTTTGTGTACCAGCCCCATCTCGAACCGTAACGTACGTTACGGTTCGACGCACCGCACTGCGCCGCGCCGTTCGGCGGCGTCCTTGTTCCGATCGACTCGCGGTTTTTTGCGCTGGGCAGCTGAGATCCCACTGCAGATTTTGATGTATGATGTGGGTGGGTTGCCATTTGAAAGTATGGAGAACGATCGCGGCGAAAAGTGCGCTTTGCAATTTCAGCGCTCTGCGATATATTTTAGCAATTTCGATCGTGTTTTCGTTCGGTTACGCTGCTTGTATCTGGAATATAGCTTGCTCTAGCTGTTGTCGATGTCTACTAGTGATGGTGAACGCCAGGAGAGAGTTGTAGTAGCGATATAATCTCAGGATCTGAATCGAAAATGAGAATTTCCATCGCTGAAGCCATTGCAGTATTCGCTCTCCAAGCAGCAGCGAGAGGGAGCGCAGCGATGGCCTGAAATAATCAAGGCAGGTGAATTTCCTCACCCATCGACTATTCCTGGTCTTCTCAATCGCCAATACCCTCGCTGGACGCAAGTAGATAAGTGAAAAGTACATATTCAAATCTGACACAATTTCAATAATTTGAAATTTTGATGCAATTGTTTGGCATCTGGTATTCACGCAATATGGCTCTTTTCCGTCCATTTCGCTATTGTTGAAGCGTGCAACTGGCGGCTATACACTAGTACAGTGGTCTCCTGTTGCTCTGTGTGAAGAAGGGCAATGTCAGCAAGTATATTCACGATTCCAAGTGCACGGATCTAAATTGTCAGGAATATGGACAATTGACTCAGAAATAGATATTCCAGGTATGGCCTGTATCTGTAGTTGTGTGCTCGGTCAAAATATTTTCTTACCTGGACACATTGATACCAACAGATTCAGAAAAACATAACTTGCACATACAAAATGTGTCTTAGTTTTATGCTATAGGTCCATCATTACCGATGAGTACCCCGCGCATACATTAGATGCCTGGTACACAAAGGGTTAAAAATCTGGTAGACCCTGGTGACCGAAGGCCAGCCATGGAATCATAATTATGACCAGGCTCACTGCTGCGTCATTTTTTAGTATAAAGTACTGACCTTATTTATCTTCCAGTCATTCAATAACAACCGTCTCTGATGAGGTCCCAATGACCGAAACAGCTGTCGGACGGAATTTCAGTACTCAGAGGGAACCTTGTTTTGTCCTGGGCAGTGTTTGTGGTTAGCCGCACAGCTCAACAGTGGTGTGGTGTGTAGTCAATTTATGCAGAATAATTGAAATTAGTAAAGTAATTACATCGTCCATTTATTCCTCCACTGCGAGTGGTAATGGCTCTACAAAGAATATGATGTAGTTAGACAAAATTTTAGCTTCCAATGTAAGAAATTGGGTTACGCCTCTTGTTCCTTTGGTCTCGTCGTGAGCACAGCAATAAGTGGCCAGACTTAGAGTTAGAAGGATAAATTCTTCCTTCGGACAAGCCTCCATAATTCCAATAAACTCCATCTGGGATCTGCAGTACTATGCTGAGAGAAAACTTCCCTGAAGCGAGGTTCCAGAGCAAATTTTGAATGGACTTTGTTCAGGTATTTCTATACGGGTAGCACGAATACCCTATCGGGTATTTTTTGAAATAGTTTGTACAGTGAGTGTGCACTGGCACTACATAGACAGTGTACAGTAAGCACATAGCCGTGCTTTTTACATACACCGTTGCGAAAACACCACACTCCCACTACCCGATCGGGTTCTCAGGAGCAAAGCGCCACCCGAATACCTGCTCTAATTTCGGGTAACACGGGTACCCTACTACCCGTTGACACCCCTAATTATATAGGATATTATCCTAACATGGAAAGTGCTAACATGTAGTGGGCACTTACATTGGCTTCAGTAGCTTTTACAGTACCCAGATTTTCCAAGTCCCCCTCTGTGATATCCATGTACATGTCTTGTGTTGACGTCACTAAGACGTCACTAGGACTCTGCATGCACGCAGGCCAACCTGTGCTTCCTTGCCCTTTCCTTGTTGTTCTGTCTTCCGAGTCCTTGAAGTGACTTCCTCGTTGTTGGCTTTTGTGAATAGAATTATACATACCGGTAACATCCTTGTCTCAGTCTGGGTTGTAATAATTGGCGACGAAGATAAAAGTATTAGACGATGGCCATGGCCTCCAGTTTCTGCCAGATGAAGCCATTTGACGGCCAGAACTTCTCCGATTATTTGGATCGTCTCGAGTGTTATTTTGCCGCAAATAGAATCGGAGTGGCAGCTACCACCGATGCAGACGACGTCACTGCTGCAGGAAAGGTCAAAACGGCTGCCCTGATTGCGCTGGTGGGTAAAGCTACCTAATCGACGCTGAAAGACTTGTGCTTTCCTGACAAGCCAACGTCTAAAACGTTCGATGAGATAGCCGATCTCCTCAAGAAACACTTCCAACCGAAGCCGAGTTCAGTGGCGGAAAGCTATCGTTTCCATCAGTGCCGGCAAGGAACGGAATCTGTCACGGAATTTGCAAATCGCCTGAAGAGACTGGCGTCCACTTGCGAATTCGACTGCCACTTGGATCGCGCACTGAAGGACCAGTTCGTGCAAGGGCTACGAGGCCAATCCATCACGAAGAAACTGCTGACTATGGCGAACGACAAGAAATTTGCTGATTTCTTAGCCACGGCAACTTCGGAGGAACTCGCTGATGCGCGGGCTGCAGAGCTGACATCGGCCTCAAGGACCACAGACGTCCACAGTCTTCGGTCCGCGCCATCATCGCTGAAGTCGCGTTCGTACAACGACAGGCCTCCCAAAGCTGGCCGCAAGTGCACTGGCTGCGGCGGACAATGGCACGAGAGACGAGAGAGCTGCCCTGCCTGGGGAAAGTCGTGTAATTTCTGCCACAAGCAGGGCCATTTCGCATCTGTGTGCAGAGCCAAGGACAAGGTAAACTTTGTGCACAATCCAGCGCCGGACGCGGGGGAATCAGACTAGGCAATAAACAGTGAGGAGTATTGTCCGGAACTGCACCACACCGTGTGTATCAGCCATGTAAGCAGTACTGTCGACCCGTATGTCTGCACTGTTCGCATTGGCCGCACCCCAATGGTATTCGAGATCGACACCGGGGCTGCAGTTACTGTGATTAATGAACGGCATTACCATGATTTGGCTTCCAAGGAACAGTTGACGCTGGAAACTGACGACTTACCCAGTCTACGTACGTATGCCGGCAAGATCATCCCAACGGTAGGCCGCGTGAGAAGCGAAACCAGCCACGGAGGACGCAAGGCTGAGCTGGTCTATTATGTGGTCAAAGGCACTGGACCCAATCTGCTAGGTCGGGACGCATTGGAGAAACTGAGGCTCAACTGGAACCAAGTTTTCAACGTCACTGGTGACATGCCGAAGAATATCCTGGACAAGCATCCGGAACTATTCAAATCTGGCCTGGGCACTTGGCGACATGGCAGTGTCAAGCTGGCAGTGGACCGTAACGTGAGGCCACGATTTCTGAAGGCACGGTCGGTTCCCTATTCACTCAAGTCGGCAGTGGAGAAGGAGCTGGACCGGCTGGTGAAAGAGAACATTATCCACCCCGTGCAGAGTACCGATTGGGCTGCACCGATTGTACCAGTGCTAAAGAACAATGGCCAGATACGCATCTGTGGCAACTACAAGTGTACCATTAATCAAGCATCCAAGACAGACAAGTATCCGTTACCCAACATAGAAGACTTATATGTGAAACTGAATAAAGGATGCTGCTTCACGAAGTTAGATCTCAGCCAGGCCTATCAGCAGCTACCGTTAGACGAACAGTCTCAGCTTCTCACGGCTATCAACACAAGCAAAGGCCTATTTGTGTATAATCGCTTGCCTTTTGGAGTGTCCTCTGCACCTGGTATCTTTCAGCGCACCATGGAGCAGCTGTTGGCCGACATTCCAATGGTCGTAATGTACCTGGACGACATCCTCATATCTGGCACAACACGAGAGGAACACAACCTCCATGTCAAAATGGTCTTGGAGCGTCTTGAATCGGCTGGTCTGCGCTTGAACCGGGACAAATGTGTGTTTGGCCGTTCATCTGTCACTTTCCTCGGCCACATCATTGATTCAACCGGAATAACGCCGACAGCTGAGAAAGTGCAAGATGTGCTGGACGCCAAGGCACCGACTAGCGTATCGCAGCTCAGAAGCTACTTGGGCTTGATTAACTATTATCACAAGTTTGTACGGAACTTAAGTACTGTGTTGAAACCCCTGTACGAATTGCTCTCTAAGAAGCAGTGGCGGTGGTCTGACTGTGAACAGTCTGCTTTTGAGAAAAGCAAAGCCATGCTACTAGAAGCACTATGCCGTGTACATTACGACCCGAAGATGCCAATTGTCGTCAGTTGTGATGCGTCACCGTATGGTATTGGTACCGTTCTCTCACACATCACTGCGGACGGAGACGAGCATCCAGTCGTGTTTGCATCGAGAACATTGTCCTCAGCGGAACAGAAATATGCACAGATCGAGAAAGAAGGTCTCGCTATGGTGTTCGCCGTCAAGCGCTTTCATAAGTATTTATTTGGCCGCTCGTTTGTGCTGCAGACTGACCACAAGCCTCTACTTGGTCTATTTCAGGAAGATCGTCCGATTCCGCCGATGGCCAGTGGTCGCATCCAACGCTGGGCCCTACTACTAGCAAGCTACGACTACCAGCTTCAGTTCAAGTCGGGCAGCAACAATGGTAATGCTGATGGACTCAGTCGGCTACCATCACCCTCATCGGTACCAGAAGTCTCAACACCAGCCGAAGTCGTTCTGTCGATGTCTGTCCTGGAGAACACTCCGGTCACATCCACCACCATTGCTCAATGGACGAGCAAAGATCCGGTGCTGTCACTTGTCCTCAAGTACGTCCAAGAAGGTTGGCCGGACAACATCCCCGTGGATTATCAAGCATATTCCCGTTGTCGTAATGAGCTTTCAGTAATAAGTGGCTGTCTTTTGCTGGGCTCACGTGTTATTATTCCACCAAGTGGCCGTGAGACGCTCCTGGAAGAATTACATGAAGGTCACCCGGGCATAACCCGGATGAAAGCCCTCGCCCGCAGCTACATCTGGTGGCCATCTATTGACGACGAGATAGAGCTCAAGGTCAAGAGCTGCCAACCGTGCCAAGCCATTCAGAAGTCACCAGCCCTTCAGCCGCTACATCCCTGGGAATGGCCAGGTAAACCATGGGTGCGTCTGCACGTCGACTACGCAGGTCCAGTTGAAGGCAAGATGCTCCTGGTTATCGTTGACAGTTTCAGTAAGTTTATTGAAGTCCACCCGGTATCGTCTGCAACCTCGGCTTCAACTATTGCCAAGCTCCGTCAGACATTTGCAACGCACGGACTGCCGTTTCAACTTGTTTCCGACAATGGCTCAGTATTCACCAGCGACGAATTTCAACGATTCTGTTCTGCTAATGGTATCAAGCATACCCGGTCATCTCCGTACCACCCAGCCAGCAACGGTCTAGCTGAGCGTGACGTACCAGCGGCGGATCCAGAGTTCACCTGAGGGGAGGGCGCGGGTACTAATGTTCATGACAGGGGAACCAATGCGGTACCTGTATTTTGTACACATTACGACATAGCGGCTATTTTACGTCATAGGCTTAGCGGTTATGTAGAATTACTATTTTAGCACATGCACTCACTCCCACTTTTTCAACCACTTCATTGAGGACTCTGGCTGTAGTAGAACATAGCCGTACTACATTGAATTGTGTAAAGATAGTGCTTCAAAGCTCCAGACATGCTGAGATCGAGAACCATGGCAAAATAATAAAATATACGATTATTTGGATGGCCATGTCCAGCAGTAAGAATGGATGATGAGGTATTCACCTCGGGTTGATCCTTGTCGATGCAATGTAGGAAACGGGACGCACGACGCACAAAAAACGCCTTCCTCGCCAGCCTTTCCGGAATAGGCAAGCCACTCAAACCTCTTCAGTAGCAGCGAGCGAGTGGAAGTACCGGTCTTTCGGCGGCTGTCGGGATAATCCCTAGATGGCAACACCGTCTGCTTATCAGGCTTCCGGATCCCAAGTATGTTGCGCTTTCCTGCATCGCTGACAGTTGCACCGCCAATAGCTGTATCAACGGCATCCGAGTAATTACTTCGCTCCGTAGCAGTGCCACCAGCCACATTCGTGACAGTCACAACGTCGTCATCTGCGATAGTTTCAACAGGTAAACGCTCCTGACTCGCATCCGATGGTGGGACTGTCAGTAGTAGTGACTACCACTGACAGTCCCACCATCGTCGTCAGAATCTACTTCGGATTCCCTTTGGGGAAGATCGGAGTCTGAGCAGACCTCGATCTCAGGGTCTTCGCGGTGGTCCGAATTCTCCCCCAAAGGCGGATTGCTCGACTGAGCAGCTGACGAAGCGCAAGTTCGCTTCGCGAAAAAACCCGCGGAGAGTTTGTTGGCTCCCTAGCCGCTTGGGCGGGCGGTGCGCCATCCCCTTCACCGACTTAGCTATACAAGTTCGTGAACTGAACACAAATTTCAAAACTAAAAGTCAACCAAAGTCTAAGAGAACAACTACTCCGTGTTCAGAAGAACTTTCTTACCTGACACTAGAAACTAAGTCTTGTCACAGCATGTGCAAACACTTGCGCAACTGCCCATGTGCATGCACTAAAAAAAAAAAAAAATCGAACTGTTTGAGGGGAGGGCGCGCGCCCACCGCGCCCTCCCCTAGATCCGCCACTGCGTACAAACCGTCAAGAATGCGCTGAAGAAGTCTGTTGGTGATTCTGATTTGGAATCCCGTCTGTATCGGTTCCTGTTTCAGTATCGCCTTACGCCACAATCAACTACTGGTCAATCTCCATTTCAACTCATGATGGGTCATAAGCATCGGTCCCGTCTTGACCTCACATTTCCGGACACTCCTCAGAAGGTTTTCAGCCGACAGCAAGCAGCCGTAGACCGCCGCCCGGCTCACTCGTCGTCCTTCTGCTGTGGCGACCCTGTGTCCTGTGTCAACTTTGCTGGCTCACCTAAATGGATGGATGGAGTTCTTGAAGAGTGTCTAGGCCCAGCCACATTTACGGTGCGCCTACCCGATGGCAGATTGTGGAAACGGCACAGTGACCACATCCGCCCACGATTGCCGGCCGAGGAGCCACCTATTGCTGCGCCAGAACAGGCAACAACTGCATATCCAGCTGTCGTTCCATCTGGTCAACCTCTGAGCTATCCAGTGTCGACATCATCTGTGCCGGATTCAGACGCATCCGAACTACAGCCTTCAGTTGATTCTGTACCAACAGCCGTATCTGCCTCACCAGTTCCTCCAGCACAGGAATCAGTCACACTTTCAGAGTCGCAGTCAGCTGGGTCGACTCCTGCTATTCATCCGCGTCGCTCAACTAGAGCTGTTCAGGCGCACATCCGTTTGGACTTGTAACAGTTCTATCATAGCTACTCACAGTTAGAAATGCTGTCTTATTTCTGTGTTTACAGCTATATTTCGCCATGTCTCGTGTTACTGTTTCTACAGGTGATTTGTTATTTGTTATTGTTTACTTAGTCGTTGTTTCATCTAGGGTTGGAAGGATGTGATATCCATGTACATGTCTTGTGTTGACGTCACTAAGACGTCACTAGGGCTCTGCATGCACGCAGGCCAACCTGTGCTTCCTTGCCCTTTCCTTGTTGTTCTGTCTTCCGAGTCCTTGAAGTGACTTCCTCGTTGTTGGCCTTTGTGAATAGAATTATACATACCGGTAACATTCTTGTCTCAGTCTGGGTTGTAATACCCTCCCCTCCCCCTTAAATTTTAAGCTGGAACAAGCATGCTACCTAGTACAACTAACCAGCAATGTCATCAACAATCTCCGTGTAGGTGCGGCGTGCAACGTCAAGAAGACCTACAGCAGGACAGCAGCAGCAGCAGCAGCATTAGGTAGACACAGATAGCAAGGTAGTCCATTAGAGCCCAGTGCGGTGTTGCCAGGTGCACCGAATCTTAAAATGCTAGGAATGGGCAAGCATTGAAAGGAGACAAAGATGTTAAGTTGGATGAGTTTCACAGTTCATGGCAATACAATACAGTGGGAGGTGAGTTGACCAGACTTAGCACCATGTGATCAAACATCAGTAATCACACTAGCTCCAACCATGCACAATCTGATACAATATCCCGACAAAATACAATCAAACCCTGGGGAAAGAGTGCCGATGGAAAGCAGGATAGAAAAGGCTGCTGACACAACATTTAATGATTTCACTACAGTAGAGAGGTTCCGGGTACGACTTTCCGTGCCAAAATCCGTATGGGCGCTACAGATTTTTTCGAGGCGTGCTTCATACGATTTTTCGGCACGGAGAATTGGACTGGCTTTCATACGAACCATGTTTCGTATGGAGATTTTGCGTCATCGAATGCAGAAAGATTACTCGCGCACAAATTTGGTACAAGAAACATCGATTTTCCGCGGGAAGTTTAGGTTTTGGTACAAATTTCAAAATAAAAAGGCATAGCGCGGAAATATGACGTGTTTGCGATCGTAACCTAGGCAATGACGACAAACACATAAGTTCCGTACTCCGGAACATTTCACTGCTTGAAAACAAAGTATAAAAAATCCGTAGCGCCTCCACGGATTTTGACACGAAAAATCGTACTCTGGGACCTCTCTAGTATCTATTTAGAAGATAGCGGATGCAGCAACATTATCATTATCCATAGTACCTACAAAGAGGTGGGGTTTGGGGTTGTCAACCATTTGCTATCCTTTATTGCGGTGGCATGTGGGGGGGGGGGGGGGAGGGGATGCCACAAACCTTTTGCCAGACGTTTCAAAATTGGCAGACTGGCAGAGCACGTGCATGGTTGAAATTGTGAGTATCCACTCGGAGATCTACCCGACTTCAATCAGGGTCAGAGGTTACAGACACTGTATCATGATTCTTGATAGACATACTATACAAGCACAAGCCACGATGGCGTGATACAAGGGCAGTAGTGAAAGAACAGTCAGAGTAAGTCAAGACAATCACACGAGAGTGATAATTACTTGGTCTGTATCTACTGTAGCTGCTGATGAAGCATGCTATCTCTCCTGCTTTATCGAGCGTACATGTAGTGCACTTTTTCTTGGGTGTTGTTCGAGGTAGCACAACCATCACATGAGTGCTCAATACACTATAGTGTAGAGAAACAATATCAATGTGAAATCCAGTACTGCTCAATGAAATCCGATCCAGCGGGTGAATGCCATGCTGGCCGCTGTGCAGCCCTAGACCTGCGGACACTGGGATGGTGAGCTGGTGCAGGGCGCATACTTGATTCACACGACCGGATTTCATTGAGCAGCCCTGTGGATACATGTACATGATTGTACCGAGAAGCTGGAGATTGCCTGGGCCGACAAGACCCGCTCCCTCAACAAGAGGTCAGAGCTTGTGTCCAAGTGCCGTCATGAAAACAAGTTTTACCTCTGTAACTTTGCGCGCAAGGTCAAGTGAATCTAGCTGGTAGTCCCGCTGCCAAGTGTGTGTGTGTGTGTGAGTGTGTGTGAGTGTGAGCGCGCATGTGTGTGTGTGTGTGTGTGTGTGTTTGTGTGCATTCGTGAGAAAGAGAGTGTGTGTGGGTGATTGGATAAGTGCGGGTGCAAGTATGTGTGCGGTAGGTGTGAGAATGAAAGGATGAGTATTGTGGCCGTGTGTGTGTGTGTGTGTGTGTGTGTGTGTGTGTGTGTGTGTGTGTGTGTGTGTGTGTGTGTGTGTGTGTGTGTGTGTGAGAGAGAGAGAGAGAGAGAGACAGAATGTTTGTGTGAGATTTGGAGAATGTGTGTGTGTATGTAAGATTTAGAGAATGTGTGTGTGAGATTTGGAGAATGCGTGTGTGTGTGTGTAAGATAATGAATGAATGTGTGTGTGCGTGTGCATGTGTGAGATATAGAGAATGAATGTGTGTGTGTGTGTGTGTGTGTGTGTGTGTGTGTGTGTGTGAGAGAGAGAGATTTAGAGAATGTGTGTGCGGATGCGCGTGTGAGTGTATGTGAGAAAAGGGAGAGAGTGTGGGTGTATGTTTGTGTAGTGGTGTGGGCATGTGTGGATTTGGCATTTGTCCCCAGCTCTATTCTATATCATTTATGCCGGAACTACTGCTGCATAGCCCCAAGTCTGAAGACTTGGCAACTTCACGCCTGCACCTGACTCTTGCGCTATGATATGCGTCGCCTATGACACCCCTCGGAATTTCCCACCTTGCTCCCCCTTATGTTCTGGCTACCCGTTTTGGATCTATCAGTTGCCTGATGATCGTAGAGATACGTGAAACTCGGAGTTGCGACAAAGCTTCCAAACTCTCTCTCTTGTGTACATGATTGTATACAACTACAACTATCTTACCGTTGATTCGTGGCTGAATGGTGCAGCATGGGTGATGGGCGATTAGCGAGACATGGCAGTTCAGGCAAGTCATATGAAAGAAACAGCACATAAATATACACCACCGGTAATGTATCTTTATAGTTTATACCACGGTCGATGACAGTGCAGGTGGGGTGGCCGATTGTAGAGTCGCGGTGTATGCCAATAATGCACTAGAAACAACTCGTAAGCATCCCGGCTAAACAGGGTAACCGCATCTATCAACAATATCCAGCCAGTGTTCTTTGTTCAATGAAACTGTGAAGCAGTCTATGAGAGAGTTTGGCTGGCTTCGTCTTCCCTTAGCCACATCAGCCCATTGGCTCTGAGTACTATCGCAAGGCACTTTATAGTGCTGAAGCTTCATAGGATGCCAACCCCAAGCTCTCACGAAGAACATGGCCTAGCCTTAGCAACCGTCAACGCTGGCATGTGGTATTAGTCAAGCCAAACAATCAGACGTGTCGAGAACAAGATGATTTGCGCCCACAATAAGGATCATACGTACACTTAGCTGTATTAGCTCCATTTTGCTGCTCTTCCTTTGCCTTTATTGTGGGCGTGTAGATAGCCTTATGAGATTCCTTTATCTACCTTTTTTAACCCTTTGAGACCCCAACGATCGAATTCGATCGTTTGGTATACAGTGACACTGAAATAATCATATCTCTGGTGTTCCTTCACCGATTATCATAAACAAAGTATCTACGTTTCGAGAAGAACCGTGGCTATCACGTAGAAGTTATCCGAAGTCTCTAGGAGTTAGGGGCTGTCCGAGGTTACCAATAATATTTTCAAAACGAAATGTTTTCGTTTGTGGGTGGGTGGGTTTGATGGAGTTTCGTTTTGAAAATAATTATCGAATGCTGATGGAGAATGCCCAGTTACTTCTGGATGTCGAAAATTGACATCAATATTTTATTGGAATTCGTTTTACTTGCAGAAAAGGTGGGTGGGTGGGTGGGGGCTGAAAAATACTAAAACTTTTCGTTTTGTAAAAACAATCGGTAACCCCGGACGGCCCCTTACGATGCCGCCGTGGTGGGACTGGAAGTCGGAGACAAACTGAAAAATGCACTCAGATCGAAAAATTCAAATTTTCACGCTGCACTTGGCAGGAGATTTCCCCGGAATGGTATGTCATACTCAAGCATGCTGAACACCAATACTTTGCGCTTGAAACGAGCTTTCCGCTGTAGTTTGTTTGAAGTCGATGCGATGAAGGAGAATGGAATGGCGGCTGCTTGAACTTTGCTGAAGCTGTTCGCGCACGGCTGCTGTTTTGGGCGGCATTATAGGCCACGTAGAGCAGAGGCTGTGCAGA